AAAAAAAAAAATAAGCGATATTCGGACGGATCAGCACTGACGACGCCATGTATTGGTTGGTGATTTCTATTTTAGGCTCGGTCGGTGGCCCTCCAATCCGGGTACATGCTTGGCGAAGCGACCGTGAAAAACTTGTCAATAGTTTGCTATCGGAAAAAGTTTGTTAGTATTGATTTATGCTATTTTACTGTTAATATCCTAAAATCACTTTCACAGGAAAAGTCATTTTGAGAACCAGAAGCAAAGCCCATGTCACTGTCACGGTTATAGCCGGGAGAAGCACCATTGGGGCCATTCTTGAGTGGGTGGGTTCTTGAGGCAGTCCAGTGTCTATCGCCATTCATGTGTTGGAACAGTTTTAATAGCAGAGCGCTTCATCTCGATGCCAATATTTTCATCCACCATGAATTCTTTATCGATGGCCAAAAAAGGTTGACAGTCCCGTTTGAGTTGGGTTTGCAGTTATGTGGGCAAATATGGCCCTTTAGTGTTTTACGATGCAGGCTATATATAGATGCTCTTCGTGAGCAAGTTACTAGTTCCTGCCGGAGACATGGCGTCGGGGCAGACGGCAGAATTAGTTTGTAAGCTACTTTTCTAAAATTTGTAGCTAATTGCATAATGAATAGATAAAAAATTTGTGTTGCTTTGCCTATTCTGGCAGGCAATTGTAAATAGCCTCCCTGCATACCGGGTGAGCGAGGCATGCCATTTTCTGTTTGGCGGGCTATAGACTACGTACTGCTTCTGGGAAGCGCAGGAGAGAATTGCTTGCAAACTCGCACAAAATTGAATATTCCATGGCTACTGACTCGCCTGTACCTCGATCGGCATCACGCTTTCTTTACCAGGCCTAAAGATTCGAATGTATGCAGCAGACTGTCGATTTGCGGGTAGTCATTCCAGCCGTCGTCATTGTTTCGGCTGCTTCACCTGAAGGCGAGAACTGGTGACTGCTGAGACATTCAATCACCAGGCGATGGCCGTGTCTTGCGACATCCGTCTATTTTCTATTCCAACAACAAGCGCCTTACGGCCTAAATAGAACAGACAGACAATGGTCGCAGAGACTCTGGCAAAAAAAAAAAAAAAAATCAGTACCTTTAACTTCAGCCACCATGTAGGAACATCTGTGCTAGCTAGCAAACATATTCAACCCCACACTGCGAAAGCGATTGTAGCACTTCCCAGTTATTTAGTGAGCAGAACCGATATTTCTCTTCGAGCCGGTGGCTGTAAAATCGCCCAGCTCAATATATTGGACCACAACGTGTGACTTTTTTTGAGTGCGCTAAGCTCCCCTCCCGCGATCAGAATGCTACAACGTGGCTTTTTGTTAGGACGCGACCTCTGGACTGTTGCCCGAAAGAAGTACATTTGCCAAGCTCAAGCTCACATGCCCGCACTACGTGGGGTGGCCACTGACCAAAATTGTTGTGGCACGAGTCTTGTGAAAGTGGCACAATGGAAATATGTGTCTTGCCCTTTTCTCGTCACTGATATCATAGGTAGCCTTTTACGTTCACGAGTTATTTCGAGCTTTCCCATACGTCAACAGATATATGAGCTTCCCAGGACGTCAACATGTATATTGCGCGCATCATATTCATCATCGCACCGAGTTTCCGAGCACAGAGGTCACACTCGGAACGTCGTATGCGCCTCATCCCCCCGCAAATGCCAAAATGAATCGGGGGCCCTGCGAGACGGCGCTTTTCCTGACAGCGGAAATAGAGTCCAGAGTGGCGGCGCCACCTGTAATAAGCCGAAGCTACCTACTGGAGCTCAAGAGGTACTACATGCCTTTTCAGGCAGCTCACTGTCACATACATCACGAGCCACCTTTGGCTGAAACGTGATTCCCCTTGCATGCAAAGCTCACTGGGGGGGTGATTGTTGAAATGGGCACCCTCACTGATAAACCAACATTGTCTACTGGAAGCACGACACTAGTTGTCATCATGCTATACCGGCATAGTACGCCGTGATTAATCCCACGTTACTCTTTCCATGGCCTTTACTCGGTGTTACTGGAGAATGTCTCTAGAGAGCTTGCTATACCAAGGTGGCAAGGTCATCAAGATGCTACCATCCCCATGCCGTGGGGGCCCTGGGCTTGTAATGCGAACAAGACTGCCAGAATAATAAATACCACGGCCAAGTCTCATTAACCTCACGATGAAGAATCCAACTCAGAGGCGCTAGCAATCAACCGCCGAACTTTCATTTCAAGCCAGTAAAAAGCTTGGTAGTATTTATATCTTCTCTCTTTCACGTTCTTCTCTTCTCTCTTCTCGACTATCCTCTTCCCTCTTTCAAAAAACTTTCACTTTTCCTCTTTCTGACTATTCTCTTTCCCTTCTACCCTTGACTTGTTCTCTTTTTGCTCGCAACATACCAATCATGGCTCCTTTTCTTCAAACCAGCCTCGCGCTCCTTCCATTGTTGGCTTCCACCATGGTCAGCGCCTCGCCATTGGCGCCGCGAGCCGACACCTGCGCAACCAAGGGCCGGCCGGCCGGCAAAGTGCTCCAGGGCTACTGGGAGAACTGGGACGGTGCCAAGAACGGAGTGCACCCTCCGTTTGGCTGGACGCCCATCCAAAACCCCGACATTCGCAAGCACGGCTACAACGTCATCAATGCTGCCTTTCCCATCATCCAGCCCGACGGCACCGCGCTCTGGGAGGACGGCATGGACACAGGCGTCAAGGTGGCGAGCCCGGCCGACATGTGCGAGGCCAAGGCAGCGGGCGCCACCATCTTGATGTCGATTGGCGGTGCTACTGCGGCCATTGACCTGAGCTCGTCGGCTGTGGCTGACAAGTTTGTCTCGACCATTGTGCCGATTCTGAAAAAGTACAACTTTGACGGCATTGATATCGACATTGAATCCGGCCTCACAGGCAGCGGAAACATAAACACCCTGTCCACCTCGCAGACCAACCTGATTAGAATCATTGACGGCGTTCTCGCGCAGATGCCCGCCAACTTTGGCTTGACCATGGCGCCAGAGACTGCCTACGTTACCGGTGGGACGATTACGTACGGATCAATCTGGGGCTCCTACCTCCCCATCATCAAAAAGTACCTCGACAACGGTCGTCTCTGGTGGCTCAACATGCAGTACTACAATGGCGAAATGTACGGCTGCTCTGGCGACTCGCACAAGGCCGGCACTGTCGAAGGGTTCGTTGCTCAGACCGACTGCCTGAACAAGGGACTTACTATTCAGGGCGTGACAATCACGATTCCCTATGACAAGCAAGTGCCTGGCCTTCCTGCCCAGCCGGGGGCTGGTGGCGGCCACATGTCCCCGTCCAACGTGGCGCAAGTTCTCTCCCACTACAAGGGCGCTTTGAAGGGATTGATGACTTGGTCTCTGAACTGGGACGGCTCCAAGAATTGGACATTTGGCGACAATGTCAAGGGGACTTTGGGGACTGCGTAATAAAAGCTGAAATGTTCATGTTAGGTAGGGGCCCCGCAATCTCATGGTTGGGGGGAAACTGGACTTGGCTGACTCGCACTCCCTGTCTGCCCTTGGATCTGTATATATTTTGTTGGTACATATTGTAGATATCATCCCCATATATAACTTTCATGAAACGTTTTGCACCATAGTCAGCGCCGTTGATATTAATGGTGAAATTCTTGGCTTGGGCCGCAGATGAGTAACCCATGTGCATGAAAATTGATATAGTTATGCTCTGCGAGGAAATCATGTAAAGGAAACGTGTTGCAAACCTAAAAATATGGAGAGGAGCTTGTTTTCCAAAATTAGGACGTCCCCTGAATGGCTTTAATCATGTTGCTAAACAGGGCGTCAGAATCCCCGTACAGGTCCGGATCCGCCGCCGCGAGAGCTTCAGCGGCGTCTGTTGGGGGATAAATCAGCGTCCTGTTGATATGTCTCTTCACCCTCTTTGCGACATCTCCAGCAAGCCGCATCTCCTCCCTCTGCCAGCCCCGACAGATGACGGCGCCGTGCCCGCCCAGATCGAGGCAGCAGTTGTAGGCCTCTTGGGAGTAGTCCATGTTGGGTATCTGGATCAGGTCTGCCGCCGCATTGTATCCGGCCACGCGGCCAAGAAGCAGCGCGTGCTGGCAGCACATCAAGGCGACGTTGCCCCCCGGATCAGCAAGAACGTGGGCAGCGTCACCCGTGACAAAGACGTCATTGGTCGAGGGCACGCGCAGTGTCGCATCCACGCGAACGCGCCCAAGTTCGTCTTTTTCTTCGGCAATCTGCTGCGTCAGGGGAGTCGCTCGCACGCCAGCCGTCCATACCGCCGTCAGCGTGTCGATGCGCTCCCCAGACCGCAACGTCACCCCCGTCTTGTCGATGCTCGCAATGGCAGATCCGAGCTTCACCTCGATACCTAGCTCGTCGAGAGCCCTGGCAATGGCGGGACGAGGGCCCGGGCCAAGCTGGGCCCCGATTTCGCTGGCGCCATCCACGAGCACGATGCGTACGCCGGAGCCGATGCGCGAGGGAAGCTCTGTGGCGAGTTCGATGCCCGTAAAGCCGGCGCCGCATACTACCACGGTATCGCGGGCTTTGCTCGGCGGCAGGTTTGGCCGGTTCTTGAGGTGAAGATCAAGGGTGGAAGCGGAAGTAATCGAGTCAATGTCAAAGGCATACTTGGACAGCCCGTCTACTCCTCTTGGATGCACAACGGAGCTGCCAGCTGCTAGAATGAGACGGTCGTAGCCAAGCGTCGCGATGCCAGTAGCCTCGGAAGCAAAAAGAATATTCTTTTTAGAAGTGTCGATTACTTCGACGAATCCCTCGACGAATGCGATATTTGTGGCTTGAAATAATGGCTCAAGGTCGTGTATCATGGCTGAAGGATTGTCTTCATAGAGTCTCGGCCTCACCACCAGTGAAGGCTGGGGTGCTACAACGACAATCTCGACCTCATTTTCCTTTTTATGAATTTGAACAAGGCGCTTGGCGGAAAGCGCACTCCACAGTCCTGCAAATCCTGTTCCAATGATGAGGATGCGTTGTGGCATTTTTTGATCTGTTCTTTGTGATTCGATGAGAACTCTAATGATAACTCTGATGGAATTGATAAAGGTGGCCCGACAACCAAGTGCGGTGACGGGATATATGAGGGAGCAGGGTGAAACGCGTCCATTTATATGCAGTCGTCGGCCAACTTGGCCAACTAGATGGGCGGTTACAGAGTTTGGGGGCCAATTAGTTTCATGAAGTCCGATCCTCCTTAATAGCAATCTCCATATCATGCCAGAACAAGTGAAGCCGCATGGCGCCTCTACCCGCACAGGCGGGCGAGCCACCAAACGCTACGCTACGCATGAATCGGTCAACTTTTGGTTACATGACTGCGTACCCTGTGTCCAAACTCTCGCCTTCCCTTGGCTCTCAATCTTTTCTTTTTATCGTCTCAAGTAATGTATTCCATGATGGATCCATTTGGTCGCACTTCGGCCGATACCCGATTACCCGCATACCCGGCCCTGGTGTGGCTAGTTCCGATGACCCACCAGATATCTAGAAGCTAATCAATCTTTCAACGTGCGGCATCCAACGTTAGTTTCCCATCATGCATCTCAGGGTTTTCCAATATCTAAATCGCAGCTTGCGTCAATGTCACAAGTACGGAAGCAAGTCTTGACCCGTTCATCTCTGGCATGCTTGTCCTGCCGCTCTCGCCATCAGAAATGCGACGCCAAGAAACCGAAATGTACTCGCTGCGGCGAGGCGGATCGTCAGTGTCAATACACAAAATCTCGTCGAGGCGCCAATAGCGCACGGCAAGACAACCCGCGGCGTCATCAAATACCAGACACTCCAAATCAGCTCGATGACTACATGTCGGCGCTCATCACACCGCCAGAGATGGAAGGGCCCGCGACGGTCAGCGTCCTGCCCTGCAGCTCTCCAGCACAAGGCCTGACAAGCAAAGATCTGCCTTTGACGGACCGCAGAGGGGTTTCTTCGAGAAGAGGCTCTGCCAATCTCGATTGTGAAGCAATCGGAAAAGATGCGCTTCTCGAGGCATACTATCAAAATTTTCACAAATTCCATCCCATGGTGTTGCCTCGCCTCCATCTCGCCACCTTTCTAGACAACCTCAGCTGGAGGCCCAGGCTGGAACCGCTTCTTGCCGTTCTTAGACTACTGGGCACAATCTACCTGCGCCATGAATGGTCTACTTCTCTGCAAAATGATGTCGAGAGTAAGATGGAGTGCTTGGCAAAGGCAGATCCCATTCGTGTTCAATGCCATTTACTATACTCGGCAGCACTTTTCTGGCAGGATCAGAAGTCAAAATCTCAAAGCGAAATGGGCAAGGCGGTAGAGATTGCGTTACAACTCAAAATGTTTGAGAGGGACTTCGCATCGACGCACAGCGATCAAAATCCGATTCTAGCAGAGTGCTGGAGACGAACGTGGTGGATGGTCTATGTGTTTGATGCATTTTATGCAGGCACGCTGGGGAGCATGGGCTTTTCAGTTGTGCATGTAGACGCGACCGCTGATTTGCCCTGCGATGAAGCTCAATATGAATCAGGAGTAAGTGCTCGGCCCTCGTGCCCATGAGTCAATGCCAACAAGTCAATGACTGACGGCTAATGTTGCTAAAAAATGACTCGACTCCAGGATATCCCGGAACCGAATACACTCCGCGAATGGGACTGCAGAGAGTTTGACCAAGAGGATAAGCCATTTTCTTCCTTTGCCTGTCTTGTGGGCGCCATCCGGTGCGCAACCCTGGCGAGAGATTCTTCTTTAAAAAGCGACTCTCGGAAGAATCCCAATGACATACTACACGTTGCAGATTCTATGCTGGACAGCTGGATTCTTCTTTTACCAAAATCAAAGAAGCAAGTCATGCTAAGAAACGGTGACATTGACGAGCTTTTATTTCAAGCCCATCACCTCATACACGTGTACGCCTCTGCCGCTCCTAAATACTCAGCCTTGATTCACTCCACCAGTGTTGCTAAATCTCAGGCAGCGTCATGATTGGATTCCATCGGCCGCTCTCAGATCTCAAGTTCAACGCCGTCGAAGACATTTCAAGCTGCGCCCGCGATCCCGCCCCCGACGGCCCAACCCCAGAGCACATCAACGTGCACACCGTACGAGTCCTGCGCGCAGTCGAATCGCAAATTCGCCTCCTTGCCCTGCCGTCCCGCCCATTCAACCACACGCCGTTTTGCACATGCATGATTAGCGAGGGGACGCTCGCTCTCCTCTCCGCCTGCAAGTTCTTGCTGCGGGGCAACGAGCTCGCCATTGCAAGGGACCAGATACGTCTCACCATTGGATGCTTGAAGAACCTGGGCGCTTTGTGGCCGAGAGTAGCACGCAACGTGTCGCAGATCCAGACGATTGCGAAACACGTTTTGGGTATTGAAACGCACAACAGCGCCGCCGACAAGGGTGCGTCTGCGTCTGGCTCTGCGCACTCTGCAACTTCTACTGCGGAGGAAAATGAAAGCTCTTGCGAAATGGCCAGTTTGTCGAATAGTGATATCTTTTCAACGATTCAAGATTTTGACGATATTTGCGGGTGGTATGACATTGGCGAGCTGGACCCGGCTTTGCCGTTTTGGTCAGCTAATCAGGAGGCTTCCGTTGAGAAACAATGATCGAATAATGTTCTCTTGCCTCAGTCTTGGTCGAATTTAAGTTGTATCTATCAATCTATCGCATCTTCATCATTTTATCTCTAATGAAGCTCGGCCGAGTTGAAAAGACTCTTTCCAGCTATTATCGCCATAGAGCGGCTCCAACTAAATAGTTGATTAATTAGCCCCAGATCCACCTTGCATACTGTCTAACAAAACATCTACTCGAATAAGCAAACTCGTGCAAACGAGATATAAAAAGGTCATGGTGAGCAGCATATTCAAGTATCTTTTTTTTTTTGGCCTTCTTATGTCATTGCGTTTATCACTAATTCTTGTCAAATTCATCATCACACATCGTCACTCATCGTCACTCATCGGCAATAATCAGCAATCATCGGCATGATCATCGCCATCACGAGATCTACAAAGAGAAAGGCGGTCTAAATCGAAAAGGACGCAGATCTATACCGAAAGCTAGCGAAGCGCCACAGTCTAACACTTGCATGTACATTGTCGCACCAAAATGACTTTACAAGTCCTTGCCTTCTTTCCTGGCAAGCTGTATTATGGCCCCCAAAGACACGCTATACTGGCATAATAGCAACAGTAATGTGCTGGGACTTGATCGTTTCAACCCATCGCCGAAGCGATGCATTGCGCATTGTCCGTTACTTTCGGATTCCGCCCATTCATTAATTACGTCCATCATGCAGGCGGGGCGTTTATACATACCAGTCGTTAACTACTAACTAGCAAAAGCAATAAAATCCTACCTTGTTCCCCGCCCACACACACTACTTTGCAGTTGGATGGTTAAAATGGGAATGGGCATTGTAGTTAGCACTGCTACTAGGGGTGCAGAGCACATCGATCGTTAGATTTAGGCCCGATCAGACTGCCATTCGCAACGGCAAAATGAAAGTGAGACGCAAGCTCTGCTGAGGCCTTGAAGCGATAAGTAGAGGGCGAAACAGCAGTCGTTCCATGCTGCGTTCGTGTCGCCCTCTCGCATGAAATGGGACTATTCCCTAGGCTCTGATGAAAACGCGGGGGCATCTAAATAATGCGCCAGCAACATGTAATAACAAACTAGACAGACCTAACATGGGCAAAAGTACCAGGTAAGATTGCAGCTGCAAAGGATCTGGCATCAGAATTTACCACTGCCGCTCAAAAGTCTCCGAGTCCGTGTCCGTATCCCTTGCTTTGTCAAATGACACTGAGCACCCATACTGTGCCGGATACTAACTGTGCCGGATACTAACTGTGCCGGATACTAAGTAGGCACGTCGACTAGTCACGGCTGCGGTCTCGTATTAGTTATTTTGGTTCTTCAAAAGCTTTGCCCATGACGACCTAACCTCTCGCGCAGCCCACAAAGACTTCCGACAGACTTTATAAAATTGGCAAGTAATTTCTTAACTGACTGGTAATTATGATCTTCTTCTTCAAGGCGAACCGAGCACAAGTCTCACAGAGCTTCCCACAGTCGCCACGCAGGCAAGCTAAGGGAGCCGCTCATCTGACTCCTTGCATGAGAGATGTCAACCATAGTCTGTCACAAGGCTCTATACTCGGGCAGCACAGGAAGAGGAGACTGAGCTAGCGGCCCTATTTCGGGACTGGAAGCCGGTAAATGCTCTTTTTTAAAAACATATTCCCCTAGAGGTTGATGCAGCATTACCAGTGATGGCAGCGCATTGACATTACATCGCATTAGCTGCTCGCTAGCTTGCCCGTCCATACTGGATTGCTGCTCTCATGCGCAGGTTGCCGTGCATTCAAGGTATCAATGAGAGAGGAGCCATGACGAACAGAATGCCTACAAGTATTCTGCTCTCTCCAGAGACTCTTTACAGAGTTTCCGAGTAACCGAGACTCTGGAACTCTGTCAAAGTCTGGTCAGTTCTTTTTTTTTTCCCTCCATTATGCAAGTCATGTTTTCCAAACCTCGACTCGACCGCGCAAGCCTGCTGGCTCTGGCCCTCGCTGCAGCACCGTCCACGGTCAATGCCGGCCCCTGCGACATCTACAAATCCGGCGGCACGCCCTGCGTTGCGGCGCATAGCACAACTCGAGCCCTCTACGACTCGTTCAAAGGCGCACTATACCGAGTGTCGCGTGACTCTGACGGTGCCATTAGAGACATTTACGCAAATGGGGCCACTGGCATATCAGACGCTGCTGCCCAGGACGCATTCTGTGCCAACACGACCTGCCTCATCACCACAATCTTTGATCAGTCTGGCCAGTCTAATCATCTCACGCAGGCGCCTCCGGGAAGCGCTGGCAGCGGGCCCAACCAAGACGGCCATGACTGGCTCGCGAGCGCCACCGGAGCACCCGTCACCTTGAATGGGCAAAAAGTATACGGCGTCTTCGTTTCCATCGGTACTGGCTACCGCAAGTTGGTTGGCGAGGGCACGGCAAAAGGGGACGAGGCCCAGGGCATGTACGCCGTGGTTGACGGCACCCATTACAACAACGACTGCTGCTTCGACTATGGCAACGCCGAGACCAACAGCAGAGATAATGGCGACGGTCACATGGAAGCCCTGTACTGGGGCGGCCCTGACAAGAGCCCCTGGGTTCTCGCAGATTTGGAAAACGGCCTATTCGCCACGGATCAGCGCGATCAGAGACTCGAGTCAAACCTCACCTCTAGGTTTGTCACTGCGATTCTCAAGGGAGAGCCACAGCACTGGGCGCTTCGAGGCGGCGATGCCAACTCGCCCCGTTTGCAAACTCTGTATGATGGCGGCCGTCCCCAAGGCGCATACCAGAAAATGTCCAAGGAAGGATCCATCATTCTCGGCATCGGTGGCGACAACAGCAACCGCGCCCAAGGCACGTTTTACGAGGGCGTCATGACCTCGGGATACCCTTCCGACGACACGGAGAACAAGGTGCAAGCCAACATTGCCTCTGCCGGCTACGCTGCCACCGTGCCCCTGACCAGCGGTCCCAAGCTCAGCGCCAACTCTTCCATTTCGCTGCGCGCCTTGACTTCCTGCTGCACCAGCAGTTACATCAGCCACGGCGACGACGGCAACGGCAACGACACTATCAAGATTCAGGGCGTGTCGTGGTCGAGCAGCGACAGCCTCAAGCGCCAGTCCACCTGGATCGTCCGCGCCGGCTTGGGCAACCAGGCCTGCTTCTCATTCGAGTCCAAGGACACGCCCGGCAGCTTCATCCGGCACTACAACTATGAGCTGCGTCTGCACCGCAACGATGGCAGCAAGCTGTTTTCCGAGGATGCCACGTTTTGCCCGCAGTCTGGCCTGAACGGCCAGGGCAGCTCGATTCGTTCGTGGAGCCAGCCCACGCGCTACTGGCGACATTTCAACAGCAAGGCGTACATCGCTAGCAACGGCGGCCCTTTTGCGCAGGATGCCAAGTACCTGTTTAGCGATGATGCGAGCTATTTTATTGCCGGCGGATGGGCCTAAGAGCAGTGCTAGTAACTCGACAAGTTTCTTAAAAAAAAAGAAGAAAAAAAAGTCCACATGATAATATTCTGTGAGTATAAAACTTAGGTGTCTATGCTAGACAAAGGGGTAGATGATATGAAGCAAAGAAGAATGCACTCGAAGCATGTTCTTCTCGCATTCTCAGTTGGCTGCATCAACTCAAAGATTTACTTGTACCCTCGTACATTTTGGAACCATTTTTTTCCCGTCTGTCGCAGATGATCTAAAACATGCCATAACCAATCACCTGGATTGCTAGTTCGCAATACTTTTTGATAATTTCTTCTGGAAAGCAGTCGCAAGCATTAGATTGTATATCGCTCATTATTTATATCAATACATACGAATCCTTGACAGCCGACCCATTCCTCCCCATCCCTATCAACTGATGATGATGCTCTCACCATGTTGTCAATACAGCAATGTTGCAGATTAGCCTTCCACTTCTTAGACCGACGCGCCGACAAAATACACGCGCCTTCACTGCTGCAGCGTATAAAGATGTGCAACCAGAGAGCAAGGTCGTCCGTTGGAGCCAGTGCATTATACAAGGCTCATGTTGGGCATTGTCGCCTCGCTGCTACTGCCCACTCCCGACATGTGGTGCAACTTCGGTCCGTCCCAACTCCTCGCCGCTGCCGGCCGGATAAAATCAGAAAAAAATTGTGTGCTTCCTACGTCGTCCCCCCCTCCTTTTGCATGCCCAATCCGTGCGCAGCACCAGAGCGAACATTTCCAGTTTCTTTTCCAGTTTCCATAATAAACGAGAGCAAAAGCGGCAGTCTGTGGCAGTCGGCTTACTTCCTTGCAACTTTCCCGTTCAACTGGCAACTTTGTTTGTTGAAAATTACCAATTATTACCAACCCCCCACGCTAAAAGGGAATCCCCCTCCGTTTGATCCATAACTTTTACCCCGCATTTTCAACAATTTGTTTATTAGTCCGCCGGCCCAAGGAGGAACTTGTTCCCCAGTAAGCATATAGCCGACTCCGCCCCAGAGTTGCGGGTCCCCGCGGCTATGCCCATATCTGGGGTAACCGGGGGATTGGTGTCTGCCCATGAAATAGAAGCGTATAGGCTGTCCTCCAGTCACCATTTGCTAATTTTGATTTTATTCTTGCTCCAGTGTGTTTTGAAACTTTGATCGAGTTGGCCATTCTCCTTGACGCTGCCGGCGTGACCTTTTCCACATTCGCAGTTGTTGAAGAACCACCACCACCAACACCACCACCGCGCCGTCGCCGCACTATGTATAACCCCGGCGCAGTTTCCGCTTACATCGAGGAGCTCGGCGCTCCTCCACCAGCCGGCCAGGCTCATGGCGTTGCGCTTCCGGGCACCGAAAAGCCCAATCGCAGCCGCGTATATCGCCACTGGCAGTTTGCCAACCGGCCGCTGCTCGAGACGCTCGATCCCGCCGTCCGGACCCTCCACGACCTGTTTGAGTCGTCTGCGCAGCAGTTTTCCAGGAATGCCTGCCTCGGCGCGCGCAAGTGGCTGCCAGAGTCCAGGGCCTGGGACACCAAGTTTAGCTGGCTCACGTATGCGCAAGTCGCCGAGCGGCGCAAAAACTTTGGCGCGGGCATCGTGGAGCTTCATGACCGCATCGGGCATGTCAAGCAGGGCCAGTACCCAATTGCTCTGTGGGCGCCGAACAAGCCGGAATGGCAGATTGTTGGTAAGAAACACACAGCCCCTCTCAGCTGCTTCCGTCCGTAAAAGCGCCATATACGTATTGTGTTCGTGTTGCTGACGGGAAATCGCCTCAGAACTTGGCTGCATGTCACAGAGCCTCTTTACCGTTTCTCTTTACGAGACACTCGGCCCCGATACCGCAGAATTCATCCTCAACCACGTCGAAGCTTCCTGCATCGTTGCTTCTTTACCCCATATCCCCAGCCTTTTGAAAATCAGCTCCCGTCTGCCTCATCTCAAGATGATCATCTCCATCGATCCTCTCGACAATGGAGAGCAAGAAGCTTACACCAAGCGCTCGCTGCTCTCGCAGCTGGCGAGCGAGCGCGGCCTGCAGCTCTACTCGCTCGACGAGGTGGAGAAGCTGGGCCGCGCATCGCAGAGACCCATGCGCCCTTCGACCGCCGACGACATCTACACCATCAACTACACCTCTGGCACGACGGGCGTGCCCAAGGGCGTCATCATCACGCACAAGTCGGCGCTCTCCTCCAACTGCGTCAGCCGCATCATGAGCGGCGGCGTGAGCAGCGACGTCGGCCTCTCCTACCTGCCGCTCGCGCACCTCCTGCAGCGCCTGGTCGAGCAGGAGGCCTTTGCCTCTGGCTCGCGCATCGGCTACTTTCGCGGCGACCTGACCGGCCTGCCCGACGACATCAAGCTGCTGCGGCCCACCACCTTCATCTCGGTGCCGCGCCTCTTTAACCGCTTCAACGCCGCCATCCGCGCCGCCAGCATCGACGCGCCCGGCTTCAAGGGCGCCCTCTCGCGCCACGTCATCGACGCCAAGCTCGCCACCATGAAGCTGCCCATGGGCGAGGCCTACAACACGCACTGGCTCTACGACCGCGTGTGGACCGCCAAGGTCAAAGCCGCCATGGGCTTTGACCGCCTGCGCGCCATGGGCGGCGGCAGCGCGCCCATTGACCCCCAGGTGCAGACGTTTCTCGGCGCCGCGCTCGCCGTGCCCTTTGCCCAGGCGTACGGCATGACGGAAACCTCGGGCGTCGCCACCTGCCAGCTCAAGGGCGACTTTGAGACGGGCCACGTCGGCCCGCCCATGCCGTGCGTCGAAATCTGCCTCGAGTCCGTGCCCGAGCTCGACTACCGCGTCAACGACCAGCCGCGGCCGCGCGGCGAGATTCTCATGCGCGGGCCGTCCATCTTTGGCGGCTACTACAAGAACGAGGCGGAAAACGCCAAAGCCCTCGAGCCCGACGGCTGGTTCCACACGGGCGACATTGCCGAGATTGACGAGCTCGGCCGCGTCAAAATCATTGACCGCAAGAAGAATATCCTCAAAATGTCGCAGGGCGAGTACGTCGCCCCCGAGCGCATCGAAAACATTTACGCCGCAAACTGCGGCATGATTGCCAACGGCCTCGTCCACGGCGACAGCTCAGAGTCCACCCTCGTCGGCATCTTTGGCGTCGAGCCCGAGGCCTTTGCCGCCTTTGCCTCTCAAGTCATGGGTCGCAAGGTCTCGCCCGCGGACCTGGCGCAGATCCGGGACGCGGCGGCGCATCCCGCGGTCAAGAAGGAGTTTCTGCGCACGCTCGAGGACATTGGCAAGAAGAAGAAGCTGTCGGGCTACGAGCGCATCAAGAACCTGACCCTAGCAGTGGAGCCCTTCTCTGTCGAGAATGAGCTGCTGACGCCAACGTAAGATGCCAACAAAAAAAAAAAAGAAAAAAAGAAAAAAGTCTGATATTAACTTATTTAATTCTCAGGTTGAAACTCAAGCGCCAACAGGCAGCCAAGGCGTATCGGGACGACATTGTCAGAATGTACAAAGAGATAGCGCAACGCACTCCCATTGCGAAGCTATAATCGAGATGCGCAGTTTAGACGAGTCTGCGTGCATTCACAGGAGAATCTGCTGACTGAATTCCTCTTCTCAATCATGCCTACATAAAGCCACTGATTTATCAAATCATTCCTTAACCTTAGTCTCACATCGATTGATGCATGAAAATGTATGTTGTGTAATTATGTTAGATTGTCATTAGTACATTGGGTATCTATTAATGGTCGCAAATTCGACCGGCATCTACAACAAGTGCTTGAAAATCCTGCAAGTGCTTTCTTTAGATAGCGACTTGCTTCCGCATACAAAGAGAGAGTAATTGATCAACGTACGTGGCCCCTTGTCTCTCTGCATCTTGTTCGGCACGGAAAGCACCCGCCGCATGTCGCGTCTGTGCAAAGACATCTTCCTGCCTGAGGCTGACGGGAGGGGGAACACGAGAGCGGGCCACCCGCAAATTAGTAGCACCGTCGTCGATGCTCTGCGCATCGGAAATGTTGGACGCGTCTGGCTGATGCGAAATCGTCACGGCGACGCCGGATTTGCGCCTGCCAGGGCTGTATGGCGGAGCGTCGCCGGGGAGCTCCGCCGTCTCAACCACAATCTCTTGCGACACCATGATGCCACCAAAGGACTTTGTGGGCGAGGACAGACCATTGGTGCTCAGCGACGCCATTTCCATGTCCAAGGTATTGGCGGCCCCATCGTGAATGGACGAGCCGTTTGCCTCGGATTCACTGTATCCCTCGCTCACAGCATTAATAGACAGGTTGTCCTCGAGCTTGCCAGGAGACAATCTTGCTTGGCTCGTTGAACGCTCCACGGTTGGGCGCGATCCGTGGCGGCCTCTGGCTGCAGACTTGTCTCTGTGTAGGTGCGAGGCGGAAGACGTCGGCAGTGCGTCTCTGGTCCTTTGCTTGAATCTCTCGAGTACGTCCCGAATGGGGTTGCTCCCGCTGCTCTGCAGAATGGAAGACATGTCGCGGTGGACGGCATGCGAAAAGTCCAGGTGGTATGGTGAATTCTCCTGCGATAGCTGCTTAATTTTGAAGAAGCGCAGGGGAATGAATGTGCATTTCGGGATGTGGATGACGTTGTGGATGGGAAGCACCAGCTGAAACATAATGACCGTAGCGTTGAGAGACAGTGATGTTCTGTCTCGTCCATGGTAGGGTATTTTGATCGGCTGCTGCATCAAGATAGCATTGTCGAATGTACCATCGTCTTCAAACGTGCTACGCAGCTCCGTGATGCCTTCGAGGAGCGTTGAAGCAAATGTGCCAATGTCAGTATGTTCAGAAACTGCGGCCGCAAGCCTGTCGGTGACGACCGTCATGGTCTGGTTCTGCAAATGGTTTAAGTAGCCGATGTGGCGCTGCTCGAGATGTTCCATAGGGAGTGGCACCGTCGGCAGCATATCTCGGGAGCGGCGGCGTACCAGCACATCGAAGCCAGTGTGGTCTACTCGAGCTCGGATCGCAAAAGCGCCAACGTGAACTCCGGGCGCAAGAGCAGTTTCGCTTTCATTGAGGGCGGCCATTTGTCGCAGACGCAGTCCCAAGTCGGGTGTCTTGATTTGCATGCTTGCTCGCATAATTCCAACGACCTGGTCAAGTTCAGCGAATCGATATCCGATGGATTCAAGTTGTTCGCCGACATGGCGGGTTGGAACGTGTTGGACGAGAACCATGAGTGAGCCGCGCCCGTACTCGATACGGGTAACCTCGGCCTTTTCCGCTAGAGAATCCGAGTCGGCCATCTTGGACGAGTGTCTAGCGGGGGGTGTCGGCGCTCTTTCTTCAACGGGTTGGGGGGTCGATCCTTGCGTTCGGCCAGTTGCAAAAATCTCGTCCCATAAAACACCAACATCGGCCAGGTTGACTCTCAATTTGGAGGCGAGAGATGCAGCCGCGATACTGAATAACTCGCAGCAAACAACGTCATATTGGGGAATGGGGCTTCCATCCTCTTGCATAAGCTTTACGCTGCTGCTGTAGCGCTGGCGGGCCAACTGTCCAACATGCGCAACCATGCGAGTGATGAGATTGGAGATGCTGGCCCAGTTTCTCGATGCCCGATAGGCCCAGTGGAAAAGCGGGTGGTTCGTGTCGAAGATTTCGTCATTGGACCGGAGAAGCAAAGAGTCGGTCACAACTTCTGTGGGAAGCAGACCCTCCTTATTGACAAGAATGCGGCCACGCTTGTCAAAGACAGCCGCTGCGAGAACAACCTGCTGAGCTCTGCTCGCGTAGCTCCTCTTGATAATCACCGAGTATATCGCACAGGCACCGGTCACCACAAAGGCGGCGATGGCCAGGCAGATGACAATGATGATGGTCGAGTCTCGAGACATGCCAGAGCCGGCGCGTGGGCCGAGCAAGACATATTGCGTGCCGACGGCGGCACACCAATGCATGCCCGACACGGCGCCGGCGAGCACAGCAGCGCACAGAGCACGCCTCCACCAGGCCGACTTCCAACTACTTTCAAAGACGAAAAAGACAGCAAGGGCTGTAGTACTCGCGCTGACTGCAATGATTGCTGCGCCTACGACGTAGGCGGCTGTGTAGGTACAATGGTAATTGCTGATCGAGGCGTTTCCCAGGTAGTGCATACCGCAGATGGCTCCGCCGGAAAGGCAGCCAGCCAGAGATATCTTCCACCATTGTACACGATCATTGTTGGTGACAGCAAGGAAGGCGAGAAGAAGAACGAGAATGGGCACAAAGAGGGAGGCTACCGTCAAGCCGGTCGAGTAGGCGATCTGAAGATCCGATTGGCCGTCAAAGATGAATAAAGCTCGGTTTCCGATGAAGTGCTGATAGCAGCAGGTTAGTCGTCAAATTCGCCTAGTATATAAATATGCAGCAAAGCAACAGAAGAGGCTTACCATGGACCAGATGGCGATTCCACCCATGCACATGGCTGCGCCAGCCAGCAGAAAGCTGCAAGAAATGTCAGTACAGCCAACACGTCTGAGCGAGGGCCGGAGATTCTTCGACCTACAAATTGTGAAAACCCTTGTGCGATGTCCTCCTTCTCATCAGTTCCAGCGTCGAACCGGCACCGACCAGGCTCACGGCATAACTAAGACAAACGAAGCCGGCATGGAAGGAATAGGGCACAATCCTGCCCGAGTATTCCTTGTACAATTCCTCTACCGACGACATTGTTGCAGGTGACCCAACTCGAATCAGTCGATGTGTTGGTGTTTGTCTTGGAATAGATCGACCAAGATGCAAAGACAGACCCTGGCACCCAAGCACGATGAGCGTCCACGGCCAGTATATACGAAAGGCTTTCCTCCTCGAGCAGCGGCGAGCGGGTACAATCACGCATCGCTGCGTAAAACCCCTTGCCCCCCTGTTTTTATACACTTGGCTTTTGCTTAGGACGAACGTCCAAGCACCCGCCCGGTTTTCCCATCTAGGTCACGGACGCAACCCACACAGGCTGGGGGATCGCTTCGACCGGGATGCAAGGGGGATCCACCACGACTCGACACGGCTTTGTCCCGAACCTGGTGCCTCCCCCAGTGGGAAGAGGGCGTGGGTACAAGGGCGAAACTTGTTGTTGATACTCAATCTCATGTACTCATGGGTTTTGATTTGACTGAAGGAAAAAAAAAAAAAAAGACCCGCCGGCTCGCCACAGAGTCATGAATGACGCTACCCGCCAAAAACAATGGGTGGAAGAAATGGGAAAAAAAGTGCCTGAGCGGCCCGGGGCAAATCCGCCCCAGTTTTTGACAGCAGGGCAAGCTGTACCGGGAACGCGGAGCGAACAAAAGTCTTTGAGGCTGCGATTTGCTACGTTTGGCGTTTGGCGGGCGCCACAACTGCGGACTTGGAGCTGAGAGAAAACAAAGTCCGTGGCGTTTTTTTTTTTTTTCTTTCTCACAAAGTACCAAGGATTCTGCCAATCAAACATGCCGGGAAGCAAGGAAGCTGGTCTAAAAATGCATGGCGAATTGCGGCAATGCGCAGGTCCTGGCCGTTAATCACCTCCAGGCTACAAGGTCCCGACACGCTGGGCGAGCCCACTTTGTGAGGAGTAATCCCCCCTCCCAATCGTTTTAATAATGAACAAATATATTCTAGGCCATCTCGCCAACGAGATGTGCAGGGATCATGTGCTAAGGCCACTTCCGAGGCACTGTACGATACAGCTTGACAGCCAACCAGCTCTCGGTTACCCTGGGCCTAGTACCCCTGGGTTCCAGCTGGATCGCCGTCAGGCCCACTGCAGAACATCAGAGCGTAATCTGGTACGCTTCGCCGACAGCCTTTGTTCTCCGAGACATTGTATGTATTTGGCCTGGGTGCCTGGCTGTGCTCAGCGAGAGGGCTGCTGAAGAAACAAATGTCCGCACAGACTGCACTCTCGCCACAGGCTACCAGCACGCTTATTACCGATTGCGAGATAGACACATAGCCTGTCACGCTGTGTTACTACCACAAAGTGCCGAGGTCTGCTTGTTTCCTCACTTTCGTTTCATTTTGCCTCTTTACTATCGAAGCATTAAGCGAACCTTACCCCTCACTTCAATTACAACTACAACTGACTTGTTTTTTTTTTTTTTTATTTCCTTTCTCTCTGTACTTTGTCAAGTATCATTTCCCTCAGGGTGTGTTGTTGCGCCCGCAGGAACAAAAGTAAGAAAAATATTCATGCCAGAAATAGTGGCCAAGCAAATGTCAAAAAAAAGAAAATAATCAGAAATAAAACGGCAAAACTAGCGAAAGTGGCGTGCATGCATGAAAAGTAAAGCCCGCTTGCAATACCAGAAAAAGCAATTGGGCAAGTCCATCGAGTCCACTGACAGTTCTCGTCCTCACAACCCCATTTCTTCCCACTGGGCCTAACAACATTTAAACTTTTCGCCTACAAGCCAAAAACACGACGCTGCAGTTTACCAATGAAAGGGGCCCTTTGTTCAGCTGGGTGCACACTTGCCTAACCATCTTCACATACTAGCAGGCGAGCAAATCACCAAGTTGTTTATATTATCGAGTCGGGGCAAAGGTAATGAACTCTACGCGAGCTACTCCGAGATTGTTGCCAACCATTGGCAACCCCCCTTTGTTCCCCCCTTGCGCTTACGGAGATTTCTCGAAGAGGGCGCCGCAGAGCTGGGGAAGGCAGAAAGCCTTCGCACGAATCGGGATCCTTCTTCGATGTATTGACTCGCAGAGAGAGGCAAAGAATGACCCCCCCCCCGGCGCGCGCTCCGAGCAGACTGCTGGCCTGATCCTATTCATGCACCGACCTGGCAACTTCGATAATGCACAACGCAAGATAGACTTTCTCGGCGCGCCCACCCAGCAACCCACCGTACTCCAGCCAACCCACCCAACGCCCACCGAACCGGTGCCACCGCACTGGTACAGGACCAAGCGCATCAGTCTGATCTGCTGCGTACCGCGTGATGGAAACTTTGTGGCTGCGTTTTTCTTCGACGATCTCGTGTCGTCTGATAGTTTTCCAGGTGGCCATGGGGTATCCATCACACAGAAACATGGGCAGCACGAACAGCTTATCCACTAATCTAGCATTTATCACGCCAAAAAAGACAGGACGACAGCATGACAGGAGCGCTATATATTAACCTTCAGGGTCGGTACGAGAACAAGAATGTCTGTTCGAAACCTCCGTGCAGAGAGGCGCACGTGGGTGACAAAACTGTTCGCCGCTTTTTGGTGGTGAGCTGGTGAGAAAGCGGCGATAAGTTTTGTCACCCAGCTGAGGCGTTACTTGGCTGGGGGAAGCTCGTCTGGTGATTAGTTGCCATGGTTTAATCTGCTGTTGGTATAAATGCATCGATCAAATCAGCAAAGAACTAGCCCGGCAATCTGAAAGGCGTACAATGGAATGTAGGACCTATGCCTGCCAATGCTTATTCTAACTTGCTGGGAAGAAGGGCAGTTGCTTTCTGCGACGTAGACTTACTTCATAAACTGGGAAAAGTACCCGAGGCTTTGGCCGCCGTCGCCGACGGTATGGTCAACATTATCAAAAGCTAAATAAGACTACCGTAAACTTTGAGATGGAGGGACATCCGCAGCTAAACTACAGAAAAACTTTGAGAGTGAGAAAGCAACCTACTAGAACAGGCAAAGTCGACGACGATCAAGAGGTTCCAGTTGCAAACCACCGACGGCTGTCGCGTACACTAACGGGGCCGCCACTGCGCCAAGAACGTTTCGGCATTGTCTTTTGCCTGCTCATTAGAGCCGATTTCCGACCTCCTTTGCCGGTAGTGACCCAGCACATCCGGTCATGATTCGAGCACGCAATCACATGGGTATGAGGAACATAATGCAGGACAAGACCAACGGGTGTGTGTTGCTGAAACGACCTATTACATGTTGATTGAGTCTGTAAATATGATTGAGTCTGTACATATAAATGAGTCTGTAAATACGATCGAGTCTGTCAATATGATTGAGTCTGTAAATTGAGCCGTCTATGCGAGTATGTAATTACAATTGAGTATGTATTTGTGATTTGAGTCTGTAAGCATGAATGAGTCTATAATCTGATTGAGTGTGTATAATGACCGAGTCTGTAAATAATGATTCCGCAAACTCTCAGTGTCGTCTATGCCAGTAGAAACACAACTTTTATATCCGTCTTCAAATTAAGAAATGTGAATGGAGCACCAGCAAATATAGGGAACAGTCGACTGCATAGGCAGCTGTTCTTTCCTGCGCGGCAGAGGCGATTATATCACGAATTTTAGGCTGATGCAAATCAGCTACTCTTTGGCTTCATGCCCCGACTCTGCTCCCATTCCTTTGCCAGCGACATGAGCTTGATGCCCGCCTCGGCGCTCGACCCGTCTTCGACCTGCTTCGTCCAGAACCGCTCATCTCCGGTGACCAGGATCGACTTGCGGCGCTCGCGCTCCGCAACGCTGAGGTGGAGGCCCGCGCGCTTGTCAGCCTCAATCTCTTCGAGGTACGCAAGGCGGCGCGCGTAGCGCTCGGCGCGCTCCCGTCGAATCTGCTCCGAGCCGTACTTTGTAAAGACCCAGCGCGTCACGGCGCGCAGCAGCAGCAGGATGTGCTCGCTGACGAAAATGGTAATGGGCAGCGTCACCCAGTTCTTGTTGATGCCGTCGGCGCCAAAGATGTGGACAATGGCGCCGGTCGAGATGCTGCCGATCCAGGTGAGTATGTCGAGCGATAGAATCCAGGGACCGACGCCGTCGGCGCGCACAGGGTGAGGGCGCTGGTGCTCGATGCAAATTTTGGCAAAGTCGGAGCGCAGCTCGATCCAGTTGTTGATGAGGAAGCCGAGTGGGATCAAGGGCCAGACGGGTGAGAAGAGGGCCAGGTATCCGAATTGTAAAACAAGCTCGGCCATGTCATCGTGCACGTTGTAAGTTTGGAGAGATGACTGATTGCGGCAGCGTGCCAGAAACTCGGTCTCTTCCTGGTCATCTTCGACCATGGTGAGAAGCATCGCGTGCTTGGGGTATGACCTCCTGTACACGCGGTACCATTCCGTGGCTTTGTGCTTGAGGTACGGCAGGATGTTTTCTTCAAAAAAGCTGGAGAGCTGACCCGTCAGCGTCAAGGCAATAACTTCGTTGCGGAGCTTGTCCGCATCGGCTTCGAAGGAGTGCGTCGCGAAAGTATGTTCGAGGCCCGGCAGGACGGCAAGGACGGCACTCTTGAGATGCGGGATAATCTCGTGCCCAAATGGAATGTATACAAAGGCAGTTAGAAGAATGGGAAGGTAGTTGGTGATGATGCTGAGGATGAAGAGTTTCTGTGTGTAGGAGACTTCGTGCGCGTCGGCTGTGCGGTGGTTTTCAAAGGCAGTGAGCGTCTCTGCTATGCCCTCTAAAGAAGAATTGAGAAATGGAATCGCGACGGCGAGAATAATGGTCGGTAAGTACTCCTATACAGTTGTTAGCTGCCGAGTCTATGCTCCGCGACGGGGCCGTTCGCACCAGGTAGAATTGATGAGGGCCGGTGTAAGTCTCGGAAATGAGGACCTCGACACCGAAAACGGCGCAGATTATGGCGCCAAGCGCAACGGTAGCGACTGCGATGAAGGGAATCTGCACGAGTTGCCTTGTCATGTGTTTCCACTTTGGAAAGTAGTGTATCTCCCGGCCGTGGGCATCCTTGATAATCATCTCGTACTTGAACTCGGGTCTGTTGACCTTCGTCTTGTGGATGCCGCGGACATCCCAGCGAATGCTAAGGTCGACCTCTTGCAACTTCCAGTACTCGAGAAACACGGTGCACCAGACGCTCGTGAGGACAGCGTATGCGAGCGAGTATTTCGGCAGCCACAGCCAGGCGGCGACGCCAGTCACGGCGGGAAACGTCAGAAAGGTAGTGTAATTCTGGATAAAGGCAAAGTAAAAGGCCACCTTGGAGCCAAAGAGGTTCCGGATGCTGTCGAGGTCTTCGGTAGTGAGCCACAGCCGGCTGCTCATGTGGCGGAGCAGCGCTCTGTTGACGGCCTCGTTGTGGATGGGGAAGCACGACTTGACGTTTGCCCACTTGTCAAGACCTGGGTAGATACCGGCGCCGCCCTTGTCCTTGGGCCACTGCACGAGGTGGTACATGGTGAGCAGCTCCTCGGCCTCGAAGCGGCCATCGACGACCGAGTCCTTGTCGCCACCTGGATGAACCTGCGTGACCGAGTAGAGCCAGTCCTTTACCCTGCGGTCATGGTCAGCATCAGAGCACACGAGATGACTGTTTTGTTGCGTGGCAAGTTGCTCACCTCTCCTTGTAGACTGAATTACCAAGCAGCTGTCGCGGGGCCTTGACAAAGACCAGGATCGAGCGTTCGTAACCGGGTCGTACTTCGGTGTGGAGGCCAGCCTCCTCGAGGTCGACGAGCAATTCCGTGAATTCCTTTGTCGCGACGTCATAGTCTGGAAGTAGAAAGTATGGAAAGTTAGCAAGTCTGTTGGCGCACGGCATTGTAACAATGCTCAACCCGCATGCCAATGTTTCGCACCTATATCTGAAAAGTCGTAGACGATGACGTATTTGTCGTTGCAACGCAGAGTCGACTCGAGCTTGAGCGGCGTAGGCAGGGCCGCCGAAGCGTCGACGTTAAGCAACGGGATGGACGTCATAGCGGTCGCTTCACTACTGCAAGTGTCGAACCAGCGGCAGCAATTGCAGGTATCAAAGGAGTGTCGAATGGTCTCGTTCGCTTTGGCCGTCGTCCCGTTGCTGATAAAGACCTGCAGACCTGGTCCCCGCGCAGGTGTCGAGTGTGGGCGGCTGTGAAGGGGTCCCAGAATTATGCTTTTCGATGCCGTTTGCCGTCGATCCCGTGGCTCCCGAAAAACGTACAGGCAGGGGTAGTTTTAAGCCCCAGTCGACGTGTTATTGCGATGCGAGACCTTGATATTAAAAAAGCTCGAATCTGGTCTGAGCTCATCTGTATAGGTACTGAGTACTCCGTAGCTCGCTTCGGAAGCTGTCTCCGCGAGGATGTTGAGGTGCTAGTTGATCTTGACTGCGGATACCGAACAGGAATACGTAGAAGGCTAGCGGGCAAATGGCAACTGTTAAGCGCTTCTCTAACATGTGCCGAGATTTTATATCGCTGTTTTTGACAAGGAGACGAAGCACGGTGATTCGAAATTTCTTGGTATTCCCTGGTGCCGAGCTTACAACCACGGCAAACAAGCAAGGCGATTCGCCGCTTGCGAGGGGCGCAACGCTGGTGGTGCGTCAATAGCTGGAGCCAACTCCACCAGTGCCACCACTGAATGACTGCGGGACGAGCAAGTAAATTCGGCTTGGCTCCCAAGCTCAGTCGTAATTTTTACGTCTTTTGAGCCAGGCCACGCGAAAATGCTTTTCAATTCTCTTCTTGTTGGCCATTTCAACAGGGGCCGCTGAATAAATGATGCGCCTACAATGTCATTGTGCGACCGGGCGCCATGCATAATGCGCAACATATTAGAAGAAAACATGGTGGCTATTTATAACTTGAAAGGGGCCGCAAGGGCTGAGCAAAAAGTAATGGGTCTGATAAAAGTCGGGCGAGGAGTTTGAAAGATGAAGCCTATTTCGCCGATGGCATTGCGACGGTTCATTTGGTCCAAGGCCAGCATGTCTCCTGTTTAAGTAGTTACCCTTACACTGCCGCACTTTCATGGACGTTTACGAACAGTATTCAATTATCGCTACTCAAACGGTTTACCATGTTCCATGTCTATTCATCAGCAGGCGGAAGCGGCCAATTCCCCCGGTTTTGGTGTCGGCCAATTCCGCCCCGGATGTGGCCACCAGGGATGGACCCCGAGCCCATAATAACAGCTAATGGCCACAATTAAACACGACTCAGGAGTATGCTTGTCTGTTTACATGAAAAACAAGGTTTATTTTCTATTCTCTTTTTTCATGCTCATCGCAAAATACAACAACAAAATCATTGATACAAACGCATTCGTCAACAAATCCGGTTGGCACCGGTCGGCCCATCGCCGAGCGATCACGACTTCATCCACTTAGTTGCCCTCGACCTGCTTGAGGAGTCCGGCGAGGTTGATGCTCTTGGGGCGCTCGATGGGCAGGCCCAGGGCACGGTCCCAGATGAGCTGGGCGAGCGGGCCGAGGCCGCGCGAGACGCCAAAGGTGGCCGTGTAGTAGAGGGTCTCGTGGAAGCCATAGTGGTGGAAGAGCACGCCGGAGCTGCTGTCGACGTTGGGGTAGGGGTTCTTGGTCTTGCCGTGCTTCTTGAGGACCTCGGGCGCGATGCGGCTGTTCTTCTCGACGAGCTGGAAGACGGGGTCGTTGGCAATCTCGGGACGGGCGGCGGCGTAGTCCATCAGCGCCTCGAAGCGCGGATCAGGCTTGCGGAGCACGGCGTGGCCGTAGCCGGGGACGACGCGACCCGAGTTGAGGGTCGACCAGAGGTAGTCCTCGACGTCCTTTTCCGTATGCGAGGCGGGGATGTTGTCCTTCATCTGGAGGATCCAGCGGAGGACTTCCTGGGCGGCGAGACTGCGGAGCATGTTTAGTAAGTACGTTGTTTTCTTATTTGCTTGTCTTGTCCCTCCTGTTTACTTTCAAGAAGCAAAGACGCAAGAAACTTACCCGTGAAGAGGGCCGGCAAGACCCTGCAGACCGGCACTGTAGGAGAGGAAAGGATCGCTGAGAGCGCTACCGACGAGATGGGTGGCGTGGGCAGAGACGTTGCCGCCCTCGTGGTCACCGTGAAGGGCGAGGTAGAGACGGAGGAGGTCCTGGAAGTTCTCATTCTCCTTGCCGCCCTTGCCGAGGAGGGCAGCATAGTTGTAGGACCAGTCCTGGTTGACGTCGACCTCGGCGGGGAGGGCGCCGCCGCCCTTGTAGGCGTTTTGGTAAATCTTGGCCGCAATGGTGGGCAGCTTGGCGAGCAGGGAGATGCTGTCGTCAAAGGTGGGCTCCCAGTAGTCGGCCTTGTTGAGGCCCTTTTCATAGGCCTTGGCAAACTTGCTCTCGTAGTTGAGCGCCGAAACAGCAATGGCGAACTGGGTCATGGGGTGGAGGTCGCGGGGGAAGTCATCGAGCATCTTGGAGACGAAGGCGGGGATGGCGGCCTTTTCGGCGAGCTCGCGGGAAAAGGCGCGGACCTGGCCAACCGAAGGCACCTTACCGGTGAGGAGCAGCCAGAACATGGCCTCGGGCAGCATCTCAGTGCCGGTGGTGCCCTTGGGCAGCTCGCGCTGGCACTCCTTGATGGTGCGGCCGTGGAAGCGGATGCCCTCGTTGGCGTCGAGGACGGAGCCCTCCCAGACCATGGCCTTGAGGCCGCGCATGCCGCCGAGCGTATTCTCGACCTTGACTTCGCCAATGACCTTGTCGCCGTGGGCGCGCACCTTTTTGAGCAGCTCGCGCTTCTCGGGAATCACCTCCCTGAGGGTGGCCTTGAGGTCGGGCTCGGTGGCATAGGAGCGGGCGCCGCCGAGGGCGGCGCGGGCCAAGGGCTGGAGCGAGGTGGAAGAAGCGTTAGCGGAACGAAAGTCTGCGAGGTGATTGTGGGTGATGAGCGCGGGCGGTTGCAGCGGATGTGGTTTGTTGTTGTTGTAGCCGGTTGCCGTCGCCGTCGTGCCGCGGTGTGTGTATGTGCACATACCTTGAAGGAGCCAATGGCCCGGGTAGAGGTTCTCAGGTTCATCGCCATGATGTGCTGGTATATGCTGGGTGTTTGGAAGAAGAGAGAGTTGGTGCAATCAACTATCTCGATCTCTGGGGAGAAATCAACGTGGGGTTGGTTAGCTGGTGGTCGGTGCGAGGCGGGCAGCCAGCCGGGGTAAACTTGTGGCCGGCAGGTGACTGGGGTCCAAACTCACAGGAACGTTTGCGTCAGGGAGGATGGAAGACGGCACGCACACAGAGACAAGAAGAGATGAGAAGGGGAAAAAAGGAAGCAAGATGTGCTCGGCCTTTCGTCTGAGAGGCGTTATTTTTTGCTCTTTGCCAGCGGCCTGCGATTGTACCCAGTGACCGCCCGTAAGCTGGCCCCCCGGCCGAACCCATTGACGCAAGCTGGGGTCCTCTCGGCGACACGGATTTTTTCGTGGGTGAGCTTTAGCCAGAAACAGCCGAGGGAAGCCGGCTGAGCGGCGCAAGCCATTGGCCAATGAGAGTAACATGGTGTCCGGTTACCGGAGCGCTAACATGTTTGCTTCCAAAAAAAAATAAAAGTATTGGTTGGGTGTATTTTAATTGCTGGCACTACTAAATTGTCATGTACAGGTCCGATGAAAGCCGATAAAACAGCTTGTTGGTTTGGGTGTTAAAGCTGGCTGTTGTTGACATGTGCATTGCTAATCCGTAGTCCAATTGGTGTTGGTGGCAGACTGATCCAAACGGCATTCAATTGCAACCGACTGCCGCTTGTTATAGCCGAATCGAACCCGTCTGCCAGCTCAGCCCCGGTCCTTGCCGAAGCCAACGCTGGGCAGACTCCCGCAACACAGGCATAGCTTGGAGAGAAGCAACGACATTATATAAAACATATTGGTTTCATCGTCGGAACTCTCAAATGGCCCTCTCGACGATTGATTAATGATCCACCCACTGTAATTCATATCGCCTGGCCAGATTGGAGAGGGTCGGGGGCGGTGGACGAGCAAAGTAAAAACAACTCATTCCATGGCGTCAAAAGAACGGCACCCATCCATTTCCTGAGCTGAATCGATTTAACATACCCTAATAAATCAAGCTATGGTTTGATGACTGACAACCTTCTTTCTCCGATCCTGGCAGTAGAGATGCCATCTGCTCGTCACTGCACTCAATGCCTTACCCTGCAGTGGTGACGACCAACTTGCGCGGGGATGATCTGAGAGGCGGGAATGGCACGGGTATAGAGTCAAATCGGTCAGAACGGGTATAGAGTCAAATCGGTCAGAGGGGAGGCAAGTGATGCTGGAGCAATGAGATGGCTAGAGAAACAGGGAAATAGCCAGATGTTGGCACGACAAATGTCGAGGTCACTGATTAGGACGTGTGGCTGTTGCGCTTGATCTATAAATGACAAGTATTGTGCGTGCACAAGGTGGTCAGCCCTAGGAGCGACAATGCGAAGAAATACCAAGAGTAGAGTTTCATGCATCCTTACTACCCACGTACGCATCCATGAACCATCATGCAGACCTGGCCGCTTCAAAAAGGCAGCTCACCTGGACGAATGGGGTACCTGTGCCGTGCAACGTTGTACCTGGCAACGTGGGCAGGAGAACGCTGAAAGCGGTGCGCGCCGCCTGGGCACAGCGCGGCTCCCACTCAATTGCACAGCGCGGCAATGCAAGCGTACATGTAGATTACTCTGAGCGAGCACATTATTTCTGGCAGAGGTACAGCCATGCAATCGCCTCTATTTAATAGCAAGGTCATATGGTGAGAAGCCACCAATCCTCTCCACGCATCGCTTTGAATGCAGGGCTGACGCAGGGCTGATCCAATGCTGCGCTGCGCCGTGCTGCGCTGTTCCCGGGCCTGGAGCGCGCTGGACCAGTTGTCGCAGGCGGATTTGCAGAGTCGCAGCGCGGTCCTCTCCCCCACCAATCCGACCTGGTCACCTTGATAGGCAATACCTAGGTACCTAGCTGACTCTGTGGTTTTTGCCAGGTGGAAAGGGCACGTGGTGAAGCAATTGCGTGCTGTCGGGGTCCCTGCCAAATGCCTGTAAATATTTACCCATTGTGGAAGCTATATTATTACATTTTACCTGATATTAGTCGGTCCGCTCCAAAGAGTATGGGGAACAGATCTACTATCGAGGCGAGATGCTAAGTTCAAGACATAGGCAATACGAGCCCTCCAATTACACAGTTGCCTGCTCGCCTCCCTCACCAGCTTATTCTAAAAATGTCAAAATGTCAAGGTGTCTAGGGACCGGCGACGCTGGGGAAAAGTGGGCCACATTTCTCCAACGCTGGTGGCCCACTTGGCGGTCCGCCTTTGCATGAGAAATTGAGAATTCGAACAACTCGTCTCCAGATAAAGGAATCACCATCATCTAGGCGCTCTAAATGATGTAAAAATACTAGTGTAAATCTGTAGTCGTCTAGGATGACTCGTCTAGATGGGATTGCCCAGTCACGCGCCCATGAAGCACGTGCACCCCAGAAATACCAGAGCTGATGGGTACGTACCTCAAACGTTACTAGGCTGTTGGTGCCCATGACGCACCCACCAGACAGACAACTTGCCGCCACCATTTTCACCTTCCAATTCTGCGCTCTAATAATATTTGCATCGAGACAAAGCTGCAGGACAACTTACAGCTGCCCCTCTGTCACGGCTCCGTTTCTGCGTCCGCGACTCCAACTGCTTTCCGCGCCTCCGGCATCGCACTATTACAATTTCTTATCCTCCTTACTTAGTTACCTCTACTCGCCCCAGAGCTAAAAATTGCAACCCTGCACCTTGCAGCTTGCATGCCCGCAGTCTCCCCCGCCTTTCTCCAAAATCCAGAGCTTACCCTATCTTGTGCACAGCTCTGCTATTTCTCAGCTTGTGCCCCCCATCCTTTGTCCTTCTTTGCTCCCTCTTTTCTCTGGGATCTTCAGACCTTTTTCTTTTCTTACTTACATAGGATTTTTCTTTTCTTTTCTTGTCAAATCTGTTTGTCGACGTCTTGTGCGTATCTACTCCTCCTCTCCCCCCCCCTTCCCCCTCCTCGCCTGCGCGACCGACGTGCCGCCCGTCCACCCATCAACCATGACGACACCGAACCGGAAAGCGCCGCCGACGGCCCAGGACCTGCCCAAGCTGCTCGAAAACGACAATCGCGTCAAGCTGGCTGGTCTCGACGTCGACGGCATCCTTCGCGGCAAGGTCGTTTCGAAGAAAAAGTTCCTCTCCGTCGCCGAGGCCGGCTTCGGATTCTGCTCCGTCATCTTTGGCTGGGACATGCACGACAAGACGTACATGCGCGAGCTCAAAATCTCAAATGCCGAGAACGGCTACCGCGACATCCTCGCCATCCCCGACCTCACCACCTTTCGCAGGATTCCCTGGGAAGACAACATTCCTTTTTTCCTCATCAGCTTCGTCGATCCTGAGACCAAGGTGCCCGTATGCGCCTGCCCCCGTGGCCTGCTGCAGTCGCAGCTCAATCATCTACGCAGCAAAGGCTACGGTGCAATGGCCGGTGGTATGTCTTTTCCGCGCTCTTTACTCCCGTCAGCTTCTCGAGACGGTGAAATCACTTGCTAATTAACCATCTGCCACAGCCGAGTACGAATTCTACACCTTCAAGACCCCCGACGACTCCAAATCCCCCGCAGCCTTCTTGCAACAAAACCCCCATAACCAATTGCCCTCTCTTACAGAGGGTATGTTTGGCTACTCTCTGAACCGACCCGTCCACAACAAAGACTACTACTACGAGGTCTTTGACAGCTGCGTCGACTTTGCCTGCAACATCGAGGGCTGGCACACCGAATCCGGCCCCGGCGTCTTCGAAGCCGCGCTCGAATTTGACGAGATTGCCGAAATGGCCGACCGCGCCAGCCTTTTCAAATACGTTGTTAAGAGCGTCGGCACTCAGCACGGCATCATCCCCTGCTTTATGGCCAAACCCAAGCAGGGCCTGCCCGGAAACAGTGGCCACGTGCACGTCTCCCTCGTCGACGCCGACGGCAACAACCTGCTCGCCCGTGCCACCCCCGACGACAACGCACCGTGGAAGGATGTTGCCCACCTCTCCGACCTCGGCCGTCACTTTCTCGCCGGCATCCTCACCGGGCTGCCCGACATAATGCCCCTCTTCGCGCCCACCATTAACTCGTACAAGCGCCTCGTCGAGAACTTTTGGGCCCCTGTCACCGTGTCCTGGGGCCTCGAGCACCGCGCCGCCTCGATCCGTCTCCTCTCCCCGCCTACCTCCAAGCCGGCCGCTACGCGCTTCGAGGTCCGCGTCCCCGGCGCCGATACCAACCCGCACTACGTCATGGCCGCTATCCTCGGCTGCGGATGGCGCGGAGTCGAGAAGAAGCTCGACATCCCCTGCCCTCCCCTCGCCATGGGCCAAGACGTTGGCGGCGACGCCGATATGGGCGAGCGCCTTGCAAGAACCCTGAAGGAGGCCACAGAGCGCTTCATGCGCAAGGGCAGCATCGCCCGCGAGGTCTTTGGCGACGATTTTGTCGACCACTTTGGTGGGACTCGCGAGAATGAAGTGCGGTTATTCGACGAAGCAGTCACGGACTGGTACGTCTTGCTTCTACCATCATCAGATGGCTTCAAAACACTAGAGTCACAGTTGCTAACAAAAAAAAAAATAGCAGGGAAATGAAGCGTTATATTGAAACAGTCTAGGAACGTGCATACGACATGAAAAGGGTGGCAACTTTTGATTTTAGCCGTATTTTCAATTCTTCTTCTTCCCCTTTTCTCCCGTCTCAATCTTTTCGGTTCATATTGACGCATCTTTCAAGAATGCAAGTACAGACCACATTATGAGAACGAACATGTTGTGTGTGCAACAGGACTTCTACTACCTTTGGGATCCATATTTCCATGTCTTTTGCATGCCATAATGCATCATGTATAACGCAACGTGAAGCTAAACTCACAATGGTGCTTGCTATATGACTCAAATTTCGAAATTGCTCATGAGTGTTAAAAAAATGTGTGAACGTGCTTATCATGCCGAATCGCTTCATAGACGCAACCACACCCAGCCACCCCATTGCGTGCGTATCACCTACGCCACATTCACAAAAGGGGAGAAAAAAGTTGATTGAAAAAAAAAACCTGTCTTGATTCAGGCTGTGGCAGATCCCCAAGGCCCGAAACGGCCGCTGCACATGCCAGGAATCCGATAATATTTTTCTTCCTCACGTTTCTTTGGCGCCTCCCTTCTTCCTACGAGCGCCATGACGGTCGTCAGAGCTGTCGTCGCCCGGCCGCCACTGCTCAGGGCGGAATTCCGGGTTGCCAAAGTGTGCCCTGTTCCAGACGCTATTCTTAAAGGTGGTGGTGGTGACGTTGAAGGGGAAAGGGCCGAGCAGCGCCCTCCTACTGTCCTCTTGGTGGTGGTGCATCTTGGTGAAGCGAATGTTGCACTCCGAGTCGGGCGGCGGAGGCTTGAAGGAGCTGGACAATGCAAGTGCATTCTCGGTGACGGATGGATGGGACCTTTGACACGGAATGGCGTCGGCGTCGGCATTCGGCGAGGCGTGTGTGAGGAGCGACGGCATCCACTGCCCATCTGGCGCAAAGGAGCCGCACGACGACGGCGTCTGCATGTCACCTGGAGAGGAGAGTGTCGTCATGCTTGATGTGGGGGCAGACGGCAGAGATGCCAAAAGGCCAAAATCGGCTGTCGAAAAGGCGCCGAGACTATTGTGTGTGCTGTTGATGGGGGTATGGGAGTAAAAATTGGTGGCGCGGTTTACTAGCATGGAGACGGGAACCGGCTCCGGAGCTGGCACGAGAGATGGCACTGTTGGCCGACGGTACAGAATATCGTAGTGATCTGGGCGGTAGAGCAAATGGATCATGGGCCCGAGAGTTGCAATGTCCTTGCCGTTGGCCTCCTCCGGGAAGCGATACGTATTGACCTCGGCGCCGGGGCTGCGGTCGAGGTAGGCTATCTCGAGGACAAAGTCGAGAGGCTTGAGGAGGCAATTATACAGGGCAATGATGCCGAGCTGTTCAATCTCCCTGTCAGGAAGTTCAATGGACTGAGTGCAGTAGGTGCCGATGCCTTGACCGTCGGGGACAAAGGGGTCGTACTGGTCCGAGTTGGCCTTGAGATGGGCGGCGGCAAGGACGCGCAGGTAGTAGATAAGGTAGGCACCGACGTTCGCATCTGTCCAGCGCTCATGGATGAGGGCACGAGCTTTTTGAGTATCAGTCACACAGCCGGCCAGCTCGCGGAGGAGCCCAATAGCCTCGTCGGCCCAGTCCTCGAAGAAATTGTAGCCGCCGAGAAAATGATTCATGCTCATGAGACGGGCGGCCTCGCCCTCGATCTGGTCGGCGTCTCCGCCCTCGACAAGCTTTTCAAAATATGAGAAGCCGATGGCTGCAGAGCGCTTGTGTCAGCAGAAAGGATGATCGAAATGGGTGTAGCAAGTATAAGTGAATGCTCACCTCTCCATCCGCAGTTGCCATCGCCCTTGATGGGGCGGTACGAGATGTATGTTTGAGGTAGAGCCTGAGTGAGTCGACGTTAGAAAGGAAGAGAGACAGAGAGACGGTGAGTAGAGGGCGCGGTTCTGGCTGGAGGGGTACATGCCATCGTCTTGTCGACGTATATTGGATCTGCCTTGGCGTACTCTTGTATAATGGCTGCAATCGGAGTTCTGTCACCAATGATAGGACCCTGTTTTGCGTTGCGATTCGGGCGGTTAGCAATTTCAGTAGACGTCTAGGGAGAGAGGAAAGTTTGCAATGGTAACATAGGTAGGAAGCTTACATCCTGAGTCGGTTGATAGGCTCTCGCGGCCTCTTGCTGAGCAGCCATGTCGTGCTCGTTAGGGCTAGCCATGGCGAGGGGGCGGCTGCCTGCAGCGCGATGGCTTTGAGGGTGCAAAGGCTGGATCTGGTGATGCTGAGGAGGTTGATGGAGCTGCGACCGTTGCTGCAGAGGAAGAGGCCCAAGATGGAGGTCGTGACTGTGATGGTTGTGATGGTTATGGTGATCGAAATGTGGGTGAGCTGCTGAAAACGCCGTGGCCCCAGCTTGGGGGTCAAAGTAGCGTTGGCTGTGGTCCTGCCTCTGATTCTGGTGGGCAGCCGCACCCCGCGCTGCAAGGCTCGATGCTGCACCGCCTGGTCCAACCGCTATCGGCTCTGATGCCACTTGCATACGGGGTTGGTCGTTGCTATGGTTGGAAGTAGAATACCCAGGTATGCTGGAATACTGCCCGATATAATCACCTGTCGCTGTGTTGACGAGGTAAATGTCGCTCAACGGGTCTTGCTGCGGCTGATGATGTCCCATTGTCTGCTCACAGCGGGCCGTTTTAGGCGTTGTAACGCTAGGTGCACTGTGTGCGGCGGGCAGTTGTTGGCGGCGCTGGTGATGATGCTTTGTTATCTTCGAAATCTCACTCGCTGACTTTACTTCTTAGGTAAATGCAGCGCCAACAGATAAAACTCGGAGCAGATATCCTTGACCGCAGTTGTGTTGTGGCTTGCCCAGAATTACTGCAAGCCCACGGTCCCTCCGCGTGCCTCCCCAAGGTCCTATCACTGCAGTCGAGCACGAGGCGCCAAGAAGATTGTCTTTGGGAAGACGCGTATCAAGCAGTAGAACGTCAGAATCGTTCAGTGATTGCTTTGTATGTCCTGCTTTTCCCCGTATGCTCTCGAGTTCCGACAAAGGTGCCGACAACACCAAGGCGGCCGTCAAGCGGGCGGGCCGGGCCAGACTTCTTTAGCGGACGATCACTGGCAAATCTGGCGTCGCTGGAAGTTCTGTTGACTAGTGGCCGTTGAGGTTGAGAATGTTCCAGCTGGGTGAGGCTTGCCTGCCTGCCCATGTGCTGATGCTATTATTGCGCGCTGGATTGCGATGGCAATGAGCGCCGCGCGAGCACGACTGCAAGCTTGTCGTTGTGGAAATGATATCAGACGAAGGCAGCGACCGCTTTCAGTCTCGATTCTGGGGGGCTCAGTAGACGCACTGTTGCACCCACTCTCTGTCCGATCGTAATACTGAGAGCTACTTCTGTAGATCAATTTCAGCTGCGACGCATGCACCAGGCTGACGATACCAACTCGCTGACCAGAAAACAGAAATAATAATTTGATAGGTAAAAGTTGGTCCTTCAAAAAGCGGATATGCGCAGGACAAGTATGCAAAGGTATAATTTTGTGCAAGGATTGAAACCGCAATGTGAAGCGAGCACATCCTGCAATATATAGTTGCGACCAGCCCAGCATCAGCAAGACACCGCCAGCTTTCTACACGCGCACAAACTCGATAGCTTCCACTTTCAACAAGCTTTGCGATGCCACTGGCCAGCGGCCGTCCAACCCCCAGTCCCGGCATTAGACATGCGTACTCATGTATGCACCAAGGCGAGCAGCCGAGCAGTCCTGCTTCTCTACCAGACACCAGGCCTGTCACCTGCACAAGCCTCACTTGCTGAAAGCCTCAACAAACCACATGTTCGCACCTTGCGCTTCGGCTACCTCTGTGGTTCCTGTTCTTCATTGTTTCTGTTTTTCCTTCTTTCGTCATCCCCAGGCAACAAGATCACCTTCAAATCTCTCACAAAACTTTTTTCAAGATGGTACTACGATCCCAATGGCCACGCCGAGGCCACAGCCTTGCGCCGCACCGCAGCACCGCAGCACAACGCGGCCAGCCGTACGGAACCCATCGTACCAACGACATGTCTAGATAGCTAAAAAAAAGCGGCGGGTCGTTCAATGCTGAGCGATGCACCGCAGTCACCTTGCATTCTTCCAAATGCCGCTCCTCCTGGAGTACGACCAGGAGGTGCAGCGCCCCCGCGATTGTGCCAGGCCAAAGCATGAATTGCTTCAATCAGGGCGGAGTTGCGACCCAGAGACGAGTGGCAATGAGCAAGAAAAAGAGAGATCAAACGAACATGTGTAGTTGGCTTGCAGCAGTGCGGCCGGGGGACGCCATGTGCTGATCACTGACATGGTCGCCCACCGCCTCGCAAGCTGGGTGGCCGACTTTTGCAAAGTTGTGTGGGAGCTTGGCCGACCTGGTTGCCCGCCTCTTACTCAGCCCTACTTGTATACGGATACACTCTATACACAACTCATGGCTGACTGTGTCACAGCCTTTGCTGCTCGCTGCCCACGCACCCCATTCAATGGCCGAAGCTGCGCAGTCTGCCGGCCTGGTGCATTCAGCGAGCAAGGTCCCCTGGCTACTCAAGATCCTGCTGGTCCAGCAGACGCGTACAAGGTTTCCGAGAATTTGGTTTGTGTGGTTTCCTTTGACCCGTCAACCGTCCGTCACGGCGCCACCCGCTTTCACGCAGGTCTGACCTCAGTTCCGGACTTGCATCGAGGCAACGTGCGTCACTGTATTTCTTAAGTGGTGGGGGTCACGGATTATTTGGTATCGACAGCCGGGCCGTTATTAAACCCCTCTACATTTAAGATGATGCCGCCGTCACCGTCTTTGTCAATCGCCTGCTCAAGCCTTTTGAATGTATGAATAAAGGAGGTCGCCTAATCGCGCCACACCGCCGCCGGAAGCAGCAGCGCCCGCAAACTCACTGATCCTAGTCAAAGCAGCGGTCGACGTGTGCGCCGTCTTTTGCTCACTCTGCTTGATAGGTGAGCCCGAGTGGTGCCAAGCAAGCATTCGTCACTGTGCCGCGAGTACGCTGCTAGGTGATATCAAAGCCGAGAAGCAGCCACGCTGTTGCACCACATCCCCAAACGGGCCCCGTCGTGATACGTGTTCTTTCAAACCCTGTGTGACTCGATCGACTCCAGCTCGAGCGACTGTCCTAGACGGGAAAACCGCACGAAATAAAGCCCCGGGATGGAGGCGAGCATAAGCGTCAGACAGTGTGCATCATTGACTAGGATGCGACAGGAAATCAAAGTCGAGTTAGACCACGACAACCACGACGGGCCATGAGATGAGATCCAATGCGACACTCAGCTTTCATCTATGTCGTGGCTGAATCATTCTCAAGTGCAATTATGCAGTGCTTACAAGTTACAAGTTACCACGGCCATCCTCGCCCCCACGGGCCGTACTTTGCAGAGACATGTTCGTATCCACAGCCCTGAAGAGAAATCAGGGCTGCGTCGCACCGCGCATTTTTTGTTTCTTGGCTTTTCTATTCTGCGCATTGCATCGCCGTCCAACTTGTGCCATCCTCTCCTCACTTCCTACGCCCCAGCTGCGCCCCTCCCCTCCGTCATCATCGCCCTACCTAACCGCAGGACTAGCCAAGCACAACTTCAGGCAGCCACCCGCGAGTGTTCCACGCAGAAAATAGTGAAATGGAGGAGAAAAGAGAAGAAAGAAGAACGGATCTTGCTGGGCAAAGCGGGGAGGGAGAAGGGGGAGGGGGGGAAGAGGATTGGCGGAACAGCGCCCGCCATCTTCCCCAGTCCATCGCAGCGATTCCGCCCTGACATGCACGACAGAGGTTGGCCAAGGCCATGTTTGCCACGCCTCGCGGCAGGTTTGAGTTTGAAAAGCTTGTTGCCACTCGTCATATAAGTCGCAAGGCAGATGAGACACGAATAATATGACTCGCATAAGGTGGGTTGATGGTCTTGGCCTCGATGTTTAACAAGGCTCGCAGCACCATGGGCACCAACTCGACGTTGGCATGCCGCCAAATCTCCGGTATCATCAGACCGTTCACCCCCCCCCCCCCCTCCATTAATATCAGATCTTCAATAATAGAAAAGGCCATTGGGCAACAAAGACCGCAATACTTTTCATCGTAAAAGCGTATTCCACACAAGTGCTGTGCTACGCACGCTGCAAGTCCCAGCGACCAGCAAACCGTCGGCGGCGGCAAGTCAGCCCCAACAAACAAGGCACCAATAAAGCATGACTGCCTAAATAAATGTTTCATCCGACGTAGCCGTACTGCATGTACCGGTTCGAGATGTCATATTTCTTCTTGGGTCCCCTTTTTTCTCTCCTAGCACATGGTGTGCTTGGGAGAAGCAATGTTTGTCTCTGCTGAGCTGGTTTACAGAGTTGGTCACCTGCCACTATCCGCCGCAGCATGATGCGCATCCCACGAGCCCCTCCCTTGATAGCTAATAGACAGCAAAGTATGGTGGTGCGAAGACGTAGCCGAGGCAAGCAGAAAAAAAAAAGGGTCATCTGTAATGTACGATGTAGAAGCGCAGTGAGACGATTTCGTGTGCCAAACATCATCAATCATTGTACCACTGTTTCTAGTCTAGACTGTGTACAACCACCTTTCGTCATACACCTGACTTGAGTTGTAGGGCCCGATTGTACACCTCTGAACGTAAGCCACCTGCATGACATACCAGAGCTGGCAGTTCATCGCGAAAAGGTCGGCGATATATCACATGATGAGTGCTTTCAGCCCCTATTATCTCCCATCGTCGCGGGAAGAACACCATCAAGAAAGAGCCACAAACAGTTACATTGACCAGACTCACATCCACGCTTGCGAGCTCGTCTTGCTCCTTCGGCTGTGGCTCCTGGTGCCCATCCTAATCGTCTCTCCGTCATACGCGGGCCCGTCTACCATGCCCCCCTGATCACTGCTCCGGAAGCCGTCTCCATCGTGGAACACGGCGCCAAAGAGATCAGAGATGGACTTGGCCAGCTGGCTCATGGCTCTGACGCGCTCCGCGTCAGCGACCGATTCCATCTCGAGGATGCCGTCGCGCTGGTCAATATGGCCGCTAATTTTGCCGTCGACAATGAGGAAGCCGAGAATATCCTGGACCTCGGGCTGTGAAATCTTGAGCTGCTTGGCGATCCACTCAAGCTTCATCCGCGTGTACGGGGCAATGAGCTTCAAAACGCCCTTGGTGCGCATATTGCGCGTGACCTCGTCAATATTCTCGGCAATGAATGGGTCAGCAAGAATATCCTGGTTCTTTTGCAGCACCTTTTCGTAGGCGTGCACGTCGTCCCGCTGATAAGAATCCACCAGCTCCGTCATGGCTGAGATGCGGGGATCCGACTTGTAGGGCTTGGTCTCTTGCGAGTCGAACGGGTTGATGTCCGACTTCATCAGCATCGTAGTGAGCAAGAGGTATTTGAGGACCTGTATGCGCTGAAGCGAGCCTGCTTCGTCGTAGTTGCGGAAGGATTCGAAAAAGTCACCCTGGGCCTCCTTCCAGTTCTCCTCGCTCATGTGCATTTTACCACCACATTCTCGGATAATGCCCATTATTCTCGGATGCGGCACGGCGGACTTGACCTTAAGAGCGCGCTGATATAGCGCCTTGAGCTGCTTGTTGTTTTTGGTCTCGGCGAGCATCTGAATTTCTAGGGCGTAAATTTCCAGCGAGTATGTTCCTTTGCTCGGATCATCTGTCCCATCCTCCCTTTGACAGGCTTTGTGCAAGTCTCGAAGCTTTTTGGAGACGGTTGCGTATTCTTTGCGATCGAGTAGTAACTTCACAAGCTTGATATTGGTTTTGAGCCACAGCCGTTCGTTGTTGGTGCTCTGGAAGCTCTGGAGTGTCAATGAGTAGAATTTCTCCATGCTCTGGACGGCATCGTTTCCATCGGCGCCCTTTTCAATATAGTCTAGCATATTGTTTATCGACTTTTCCGAATAATTTCGTGTTACAGCCGACTTGACGTAGGTGAGGAGCTCTTCGAAATGGTTCGCCGCCTATGGATGTTTGACGTCAGCCAGGTAGTCTCGTAAGTAACGTGTCGGAAGCATACCTCGGAGTATCTACCAAGTTTGAATTCCAGCTTGATTGCTTGCTTCAGGCCTTTGAATCCCCATTCACCTTTTTCAGGCTCCAGTTGGGGGATCGCAATGAACTCGTCCACAGCCTCTTCCGGGCTGCTGAGTTTAAGTTGCTTCGCATTATAGTATTTATTCTCGATATCGACATCGCCCGAGTCCTCATCCTCGTCTTCTTCGTACTCGAAATCGTACCTGCGTCGCTTCAGTCAACGTCGATGTGCAGGGACAGGGCGTTTGCAAAAGCTCACTGCTCCTCATCCGACTCCTGCATGAAGTCCTCATCGTCGGACATGTTGGAAAGAATTCACCAGGGAAAAAAGAAAGAGCGCAAGAAGCTTCCAACGCCAAAAAGACTGTGCGACGTAAAGGATGCCGACTACGAAATGGCGATGGTGGTGAAGGAGAGGAAGAGCTGTTGCGGAGCGACCTCTTCCCAGGTCAGTAGGTAGGTAGCAGGTAAGTGGCGGGGTTAGCCTTCTGTGTCACCCCCCACTATCGATCTAGGTTGCTCCGAGCCTTGACAGCCGATCTGTGCAAGGCAAGAAGTTATGCGCAGTGTCAAGATATCATTTAGAAGTATCAAACAGTCTATTGCGCATTTGGGCACGTATGTATAGAATAGGAAAAATAAAACACCAATTCAGACGTTGCACCGATTCCATTAGCATCCCTGCATGATATCACAACGCGCGCTCTCTGTAAGAAATTGAGACACAGCGAGCAATGAAAATAGGCTGTATATAGAAAAATATGTAGATTACGTCGTATGAGCGAATAAAGAAACTTTAACTTTGAGCAAATGAGAAAGGTAATTTGAACGCAAATACTCCCAAAGTGGATAGTGTTGCGAGCAAAGCAGTAAACATGAAAGGAAGTCCAATCCAGACACCGCCAAGATCCATGCCACGATTAAAAAGCCAAGCCAGGGTTGGGGCCGATATTAGTCCCATGATTGATTCAATCGTCGCGATGACGGTATTTAGAGCTCCTATTGTATGCGGTTCGACGATGATGGAGAGGATCGACCGAAACAAAGGCGAGAAGCCACTTGCAAAGCTGTAAATGACGAGGGCCAGCATGCAGAGCCAGCCCACCGGCGCAAAAGCAATGAGTGTCGTACCCAAAAACGCAAAGACGGCAGACACACGGGCGAGAAACAAGTCGCGCTGGAGTGGTGAACGCCCTCGCCGATCCAATGCCCATGCCGTCGCGGGCAACACCACCATGAGGACCCCGAGGGCAAAAAAGTTTTCAATGGAGAGAATGTACGTAGCCTAAGAGAAAGTCAGTCATCAATTCATCTGCGGTGATGTCATGGCAAGACTGTACCGTTGACCATGACCAGTGAAAGCGCTTGGTCATATACTGAAGCAAGTCGCCGTCAAGTGCGAGTTTCATAGGAAACGCCAAAGCATTGCACACCATAAGTAACATGACGCCTTGCGAAGTCAGGAGAAAGCGCCAAATGTGAGAAAAGTCGCTGCGCGCAGAAGCGAGCGCGCGTTGAATTGCAGACTTGGCAGACACCTTGGCCATTGACTGCGGCCCGGGTTCCGCCCAAGCACCGTGGGACGCTCTCCTTTGATCTGCCGCTCTTCTCAAGTCAAGAGTTTCGGGAAGCAGGAGCGTGCAAGCTGTTCCAACTACCAGCAGGCCGATGCCGATCCACAGAGCTATCCACGGATTCACGCCAAGGAGGAATGCCGCCAACGGCGTGGCCGCGACGCCGACGATGCGAAGGACGGCGTTGACCTGGTAAAACACCATGGTCCGCTCAGCCGCGGGTGTCACGTCGCTGAAGAGCGTGTAGCACATGGCACCTGCCAAAGTCCCGCCTCCACCGATGAGATAGGCCAAGTTTCCCCAGAGAATAGCCCATATGTTGAGATTGTTGGGTAGGGAGACTACATTGCGTCAGATTGGGCAAAAAGAAGAGAGAGAGAGAGAGAGACAAGAACAGAAAGCTCCAAAGCTCCAAGACACATGATTTGGTATTTTGATGAGTAGGGGGAAAAAGCAAACTTACGAACAACCACAGTCCAAAGTATCTTCAGAACGCAACCAAAGAGTGAGAGGAAAATGACGATTCGACGACCGTATTTGTCTGCAATGATTCCGTATGGAATTTGCACTAGTATTGCTGTCCGCCTGGTTAGTATCCGCAAGAAGAGGCAAGAGAATACAAGCTGGTACGTACGGACTATCATTTCTGCTGAAAGATCGACAGCAGAGACCATGGACAGGGTCTTTTGCACGTCGTTGCCCTTGCAGCGGCTATCTGGACGCGAGAGCATGTTGAGCTGGTGATCCGCATGTACACCTCTGCAAATGACATCCTCCATAATCTGTTGCAGCGCAGGAGCAAAGAGCTTCTGGCTGACGCCGACCAGCGTCAAACACAAGCCGCCGATGATGCTCACGAGCAGACGCAAAGACCGATCGGGAATCAGCTCAGCGGGCAAATCCGTCGGCAGAAGCGGCGTGTCCTCGGCGGTTTGGTGCTCATCGAGGTTGCGAGGTCTGGTGTCGTGTGGCACGCGGCCATCGCCGGCCTCTGGGTCGGCACTGCTTCCGGACATGGCGGGCTGTCGTTGTACAGCCAAAAGTGCTTTGAATTACTGAATTGACTGGTCCATGAAAAGATGGCTCAGTGCTCGGGTATAGTCTCTCTAATTTTCCGACAGAAGGGAGAAGCAAGAAGTGGTTACAATGGAAACTGCGCGATTCGCAGTGATGAAGAGAAATTACGAAACTGGCCGAAACCAAATGCCCGGCAGCTGGCTCGCGACACGAATGCTTCAGCACGTCAGCTTGATAGCTATAGCTGCCCAAAGCGGAAAGGTTGACGCGGCCTATAACGAATCCAGCGGGTACCTTACCCCCAGTCCCGTTGACGGAATGCGAGGCTCCTAAGCTGTGCTGAGAGTAAAAAATGTGGCTATTATGTGTTGATGAGATGAGTTTCTAGTAGTCTGGAATTCGACGTCGGAGAAAATTGAGCCGTGTTGTTGTGTAATAAAGTACAACATTCCTCAAAATAACCAATAAATGGCACAAAGCTCCGCAAGATTCGACACACTCTTTGGAGAGTAGAGCTTAGCGTGACCAAAACCTAGCGAAGCCTCGTTCCGCAGGGCTGACCCGCCATGCAGCCCTATTGGAGAACTGTAAGGTGCTACTTTCGATGACGCATGTTTAGTAATTTATTTGGTCAATGAAGATGCTGAATTCTCACTGTTAGAGCCAAGCCTCCCTTTCAAGAATGATGGAGCGGCAGATGGGGCTTATCTTTCATCCAAACCCTCTTTGGTGGCTTAGACAGCCCAGCGCATATATGTACCAACCACTAACCAGTCGAATAAACAATGTACCGCTCGAGGTTTGCATCTAAGCTGCCCCTGCGTATAAAGTACTTCGTCGGCTGTTATAAAGACAAGTCCACTCTGACCCATCACTCAGATAAGCTGACTGAGTTGGTCTTGACTAGCACGTCAACACGTCTAGTGGAAAAGAGGAATGTGGGCGGCAGTCGATTTTGAACACGCAAGCACGCGCACGATGCGTCGCTTCAATATATTCGCCTACGCGGCGCTTCGCCGAGTCAATGCAATGTTCAAATTGCTCTGCGAAAACATGCCCGCATTGAAAGACTTCCACGGATTGGCAGGATCCACTAGAGTGAATTCAAAGTGCCGAAAAAGCTACAATACCGTCAGGAATTCTCCCGAGGATGCTTCCATGTGTCCTGCTACTTACCTCGACAAAGACCAGGTTCAGCTCAAGCTGGGCAATATTCTTACCTAGGCACTCCCACCGACTGCCCGCCGCAAACGCCATCATGACTGTCTGCTCCATAAGCTTGGTCTTTCCAGCTCCCAGCCAACGCTCTGGACGGAAGAGGTCGGCGTCTGCACCGAAGATGTCGGCGTTGCGCATAATCGTCCACGGCGACCACGCCACGTTTGTGCCCGCGGGAACGGAAACGCCGCAGAGAATCTCGTCCGTGTCGCAGACTTTGGGGTACAGCGCCGCCGCGGGCGGAAAGACGCGGAGGCCCTCGAGAATGACGGCCTGGAGATAGGCGAGTGACTGGGCCTCTGCATTTGTGACGGGGGTGGATATGCGGCCTTCTCTTTCGGCTGTGTCGATTTCGTGTTGCAGGCGGGCGTAGGCGTGGGGCGAGGTGATGGTGTGTAGAATGGTGGCTTGAATGGCTGTGGCGGTCGTTTCGGAGCCTGCAATTATTTGAATGAGGGCTTCCGTTTCGGCATCTTTTTGGGAGAAGCCGTGCTTGACAAAGGAACCCAGCATGTCGCGCTTCAGCTGCGCATTGGCACCATAGCGCTCCGCGACGACCCTCTCAGCTGTTTTGATCACGTCTCCGATGCCAGCCATATCTTTGACGCTGGGCGCAATCCATTGGAGATATGGGGACTGCATCAGGCTGATGACGCCGGGGATAAGCGCCGTCGCGACTAGTATGTAGACTGTATTGCCAGTCGTCTCGATATAACGAAACTTGTCCTCGTCGCTCTCCATAAACCCGAAAGGGTCATCAAAGGCAAGTGAAGAGATCGTGTCGAGAGCGAAATACTGAATCTTTTGCGCCATATCAATAGTGCGTGCGCCGCCGCCCTCAGCGACATGCTTATCGAGGAGACGAACTAGGCTCTGAACCTGGTCCTGCACAAGCTCGTGCAAGTTGTCAACCTCTTTACCGCTGTATCCTGGGATCAGTTTGCTGCGAATAGCGTTGTGAAGGGCGTCGTCGCGCGTGGAAAACGAGCTGTCGCGGTAAGGGTCGATGCGCATGCCGCGGTACCACCAGGCTCTCGTCCAGGGGGAACGGGCGCCCCAGATTCTGCGAATCTCGGAGGGGTCGCCGCAAACGACCCAGTTGGGTCCAATGCGGGCGACAGGACCTGATTGTGCGAATAGATATCAATCAGCAAGTTTTGTTACGCGGCAGTTCGGAAAGGCTGCGTCGAACGAACCGTGCTGTGACACAAGCTCATGGAGGATAATGTGTATGCGACCAGTCAATTGGGCGTAGACAAGCCAGAAGCTGGTCCAGGAGGCGAGCGCGGGACCAGAAATGTGCCGAAGGCGTTGAAAGGTGTAGACCTGGTAGGTGATGTAGGCGAGAGCGAGAGTGGCCAAGGAGGCCACGAGCAAGGCCATCTGGAGGAGTATGTATTGTATGTATTTGACCGCGATGATTCGGAGATTCTTTGACTGGTTGAGCTTGAGATGGCACCGACTCAATGGGTAGAGATATGTTGGTCAAGGTAATAAGGACTCATCCGGAGTGATATGGAGAGCCGCCCAGGGGCGGACCATTGATGGCCGAGTGGCTGAAGAGGCTGACCGAGGGGACTGGTCATATTTCAGTGTGGGGAGCAGAGCGGGCCGAGTGGATGATGCTTCTTTTCATCTTATTCTGTGAACTCGATGCATCGAGCGATGAAATCAATTGCTGGGTCCATGATATTCAATTTTGAGGACCTCGGGAGTCGGTGTCCATCTCGATCAAACCACAAGGTTGGATAAAGTTTAACCAACAACACTTACCCCAGGGTCCCGTACCTGTCGTTTTTAGCGGCTTATAAATGCTGGAAGGTTATTGGTCACCAGGCTGTGGGAGCAGGTTTGAAAATGTCTTGGTGAGTTCATGGCGAAAAGAAGAAGAAGAAGAAGAAGAAGAAGAAGAAGAAGAAGAAGAAGAAGAAGAGAGAGAAATAGAAGCAGAAGAAGCAGGGGAAAATATCCTCGACCTTATGAACAGTGTAGATTTTCTTTCGTACATTGCGTACATTCAATTGGGTGCCTCGCGCACAGCTATGTGTGTGTAAAATTAGTGGGGAGCTTGGCGCGGGAGCTTGACACTGGCGGGAGGCTAATTCGAAAAGCTTCCTCAATTCAGAACGTGGTCTGTCCTAAAAACTCATTATCCAATAGCAAAGCCTCGAAGAAAGACGGGCACACAGAATTCAGAGAAATAAGTTTCGAGAATATCTCAGGTGTATCTGCACGTCTCTGTGAGCTAACCGGTTCCCTCCGTGCCCCCGTGACCCTCCCCCAGTTTTTCGTTTGGAATCTTTCCGTGTGCCAAGCAACGCCCATGTCATCGATGCGCAATGCCCAATTCGCCTTGTCAACAAGATAGTAAATATATTCTCAGATCTTTCTAGAATTGTTCCCCGAGGAAGCTTTTGCGTGTGATTTAAAGTTGCGCCCGAGAAATGTCCCGGCTCCCCTCGATTCGCACGCTTTATTAGCAGTTAACAATCGCCCTCGTTAGCGTAGATCGGAGCTGCTCGAGATCTTGGCATCTTGCTCGGCCGGGACATAAATACAATGTCGTAGCTCTCTCTGGCTGCATCTGTACCACAGCTTCACCTCAGCATTAACAAACAGTCGTTTGGTCTGACCTTAGCAATCCTCTCCAGCTTCGCATCAATTCATCAAAACTTCTCTTCTTAACCATGAAATTCTCGCAATTGGTTCTCGGCTTTGGTGTCACCGCCGCCACCCAGCAGGCCCATGCCGACGTCGCCCCAGCGCTCTGGGACGGCAAATGCTTCTACCCTCAAGCCGACGCCTGCTTCAAGCTCGAAACGTACCTCGGGCGATGGTATCAGCTCGCAGGCACCCTGGCACCTTTTACCGCGGGCTGCAAGTGCATCTCGGCGCGCTATGACATTAACGTGAGTGCCAATCTGTGCGCCGGCGTTTACCTGGCCATCACATTCTAACTCGGAAACAGGACGACGGGAGTCTATACGTCAACAATACCTGCCAGAGAGGCGACAAGCAGACATTTATCGAAGGAAACGCGGTTCCCGCGGATGCTGCCTATGGCAAAGTCGGTGTGCTCCGCGTCAAATTCCCTGTGCAGCCCTCGCTGCCCTGCGACGGCCCGAACTATGTGGTGCAAAGTATGTAAATAGCTGCCGGCCTGTCGAAATACGCGCTAACAATGTTTTCTTTCTTGGAAGAATACACGGGCGAAATTGCCATTGTGCAGTCGGCAAACTTTTCTAACCTCTTCATTCTCAGTCGGAAGCAGCAGTTGGAAGAGAAAAAGCTCGATGTAGGTCTTTTCTCCAATTGCGAATCGACCAGTATTTCTGACAGCTTCTAGGCTTGGATCGACCGCGCCGTCGAGCTTGGCACACCCCGCGAGCGCATTGTCAAGACCGATCAGAGCGACTGCAAAAACGATTTTTAAAGCTGCCGGCCGTGCGGCTATACAAATCGAACAGCTCAAGGTGGAAGAGCCCATGGCCCATGTGAGATGATCATTCCTCATGGGAGTGTTTATTATCATACATTTTGATTCCAAAGTGTCTCCAATCTATACTGCATTTGCGCCCGATGCGGCGGGGCGATCCAACTGTCTAGCGTCGTGATGGCTGATCGTCAAAATGCCACGTGCTCTTGGCGGGTATATTTACCAGATTGCATGCAGTAAACATGCATCTAAGTTGATAAATAGAAGTGAAGCTGGTAATTTGAAATAGGGACAATATATCATATAACGATTGCCTGTGTTTCAGGTGCCAAGCAGCATGCGCAGTGCCAGGTGCCTCTAGACTGGGCCCACCATTTCTGGTTCCATCCAGAGTGGCTGCTGCTTCTGATTTAGCGTCAGCATCGCCGTGCAACGAAACATCAGGCAGGGGAGAGCAATGACGTGCTACATTTGGCCAGCAGAGGCACGGCCTTGCGACAGTCTGCTCAGATTTAATACAGAGTTCTGACCCTTACTCCACGGCCGAGACCTCTCACCCGAGACCTCTCACAACACCAATTTATCCTCTTGCCAACTCTTGCCAATAGCCCACGGCCATACGCTCGGCTGAAAAGATGAATTACGGTGAGTTCTAGATAGTACAACCAACTACTTCGCATTGACAGGCCATCCTGACATCCTCCAGACTGGATCCTGGATGGAGGCTACCTCCCCCATGTTGTCATTCGAACCGGCATAAGACGTCTGCTCAGGGACCGCCTGACCTCGATCCAGGCACAGTCCACCACGGAAGCCACGCAGGACAAGCTGAACTACGTCAAGAAGCTGAAGACGCTACCGATTGCGATTGCCACCGATACCGCCAACGAGCAGCATTACGAGGTTGGCACCGGTGTGCTGGCTGCCTGCCTCGGTCCCCGCATGAAGTACTCTTGCTGCCGCTACCCGACCGGCAAGGAAACGCTTGCGGAAGCCGAGGTCGCGATGCTGGACGAATACCTGGTCAAGGCACAACTGAAAGATGGAATGCGCATTCTAGACCTCGGGTAAATTATAGATCGTATTAGTGCTTTCTTCGGTCTGTGTTTTGTTAACCAAGACACGGGTCAGATGCGGATGGGGCTCGGCCTCGCTGTACTTTGCCGAAAAGCTCCCCTCGGCCCAGATCACCGCCTTTTCCAACTCCAAGACGCAAAAGCAACACATTGACGCCGAAGCCAAACGCAAAGGCCTCGGCAATCTCGAGGTTGTGACTGGCGACGTTGTCGACTACGAGTTCGAGCCGGAGCACTTTGACCGCGTCGTCTCCATCGAGGTACATATTGCTCAAGACAGCTCTCTCTGTGCTAGAAGTCACGACTAACTCAAAGTCTAGCTGTTTGAGCATATGAAAAACTATCAGCTTCTGATGCGAAAGGTGGCGCGCGCGCTGAAGCCCGGCGGCAAGCTGTTTGTGCACATTTTCGCGCACGCTACCACGCCGTACGATTTTGAGGATGGTTGGATGGCGACGCATTTCTTCACTGGCGGCACCATGCCCTCTTCGGACCTGTTGCTTTACTTTCAGGAAGACTTGGCTCTCCAGGACCAGTGGTGGATCAATGGCGCGCACTACTCCAAGACGTGCGAGGTGAGTTGCCGTGCTTCCGCGGCAAAGATGATGATGAATGCTAATTCGGGGCGTCGCTGAATCAGGACTGGCTCTCCCTCATGATCAATAACAAAAAGCAAATATGGCCGCATTTGATTGAGACGTATGGGGAAAAGGATGCGGCAACTTGGTTCAACAGATGGCAGATTTTTTACTTGGCCTGCTCGGAACTGTTTGCGTATGCGGGAGGTGATGTCTGGGGAGTGTCGCATTACTTGTTTGAGAAGAGCAACGTGTAACAAATATGTCCATCATAATATTCAACTTCGCGACATTGTAATTAAAACTAAACTCATCAATGTAGGAATAACCATCACACAATCATACATGAGAATTTGGCTCATTACGTGCTAAACCGCGTGGTCATGCCACACACTGAAAGGAAATTGCTAAACCATTGTCTTGCATTGCTGCGTCGCAGCCGTCTAAATCTAGAACCAACTTCACGTCCTTCCCCTCTGTCACGTTAATAGCAAATGCCCTTGTGAATGGGGCCAAAGAGGGAACCACCGGGAATGGTGTCGTTGTTGGCCTTCCACATCCTGTCGGTTTTCCGGCAGTTGCTCTCGCCGCGGTTGTCGAGCATAATGTGCAGCGCGGAGCGCTCCGGGCCCTTTTTGGTCTCCTTGACAATAATGTTAATGTCGGTGGGAAAGTCGACACGGATCTGGTTGACATTATAGCCGTCCCAGAATTCGCAGTCGCTAGTCTGGTTGTTGAGGCTGCGCAGCGTGCTCAAGTAGGTCGCCTTGATGGCGTCGCGGTCGGCCGGGGCGTAGACGGAGTCGATGCGCAAGGTGAAAGCCTCAATGGGGCCGAGTGTGCCGGACTTGCATTTGTAGCCGGGATACATGACGTCAAAGGAGCCCGAACAGGTGATGTCGCGGCAGAGCTGGTCAAAGGCGCTGTCGAGCTGGTCCCAGAGCAGCGCGAGCGACTGCTCCTTGGTGGGGTGGCACTTTGGCGCCTTGCCACTGGCACGGCCGCAGGGAGCGTGGGTGTCCCAGAAGGCGCCGTACCAGTGCTTGACGCCGAAGCGGGTGTCGGCACGGGCGATCACGGTGGCGACGGAGAGGGCCGGCATCCCGAGGAGGGCGAGGAACGAGAATGAGTGGTTGAAGCGCATGGTCGACGGAGGGGAGAGAGTGTGACCGGGAGGGAAAGAGGAGGGAGAGAGAGGGGAGTTATTCCGTTGTTGGGCGCGGCACAAGAGAAAAGTTTTATAGAGGATGGATGCTGCCGGCTTCCAGTCTATGACGCGCGGGGTTGTCCGGTTCAACTCTGGGCGGCTTGTTGGGCAAGTTACAGACTACACGATGGCTTCTTCTAGACCGAGACCGAAACTGTCGCGTTTTTTAGGTAACGAAAAAAGGTGAACCAGCCAGTTGCGTGATCCACCGAAATTAAAGCAGAAATCATTAGCTATTAGTAGCGCCAGCTTTATCTTAACTCTGCCAATTCCTCTCGCCCTAGTCCTACACTATATGAAGGATCTTTGGTTAAATTACCCACTGACTGCTGATGAAATGACTATTCTTTGGCGGGCTATTTATTTCATGATGTGTATTTCACGTCGCTCGTCAGTTGGCATTCGATATTCGACCCCTTTAGAGACATTACCCGTCACCTCAGACTGCAATATCGGAAAAAAATAAAGACAGGCTAAAGGCGCCGTAGCGGATATGCCACGCGATCGGCTTCGCTAGCCGGCCCCACCACTTCGGCGCTGTGCTGCAAGCTAAATTAAGCCGGGCGGAGCCAAGCTTTGCTCGCCCCGCGTGCCCCGTAACCCCCATAGTGCACCATCAAGGATTATTGTTTCTTCTTCATCTTGTTTCTCCCGGAAACAGGTCTCAATTATTTGTGTTATGCCCCCGAACCTGTGAAATCCGAATGTATCAATCAATGACCAACATAATCACTCATCGTCTTGATCCGGGTGAAAGGATAGGACAGATACCGAGGCATGACAGTTTTCAATGATGATTTTCAAGGCTCGCGACGATCGAGTTCAAGATCTTTTCTTTATTTTTCATGTCTTTTCTCCCTTTTCAATTTCTCTCTTCGACGCTCGCAAAGGAGGGCAGACAAGTAATGCTGCCACCCCCCCCCCCCCTTTTTTTTTCTTCCAGAACCGGACTGTCATGGGATGACGGAGCATCGGGCCAGTGCATTCACAGGGTATGAAGCGTCTCGATGGCCAGAGGCCAGACGCTGCCTTGATTGAATGTAGCAGAAGCTTGTCAATATTTTCTTCACACAGGCATCTTTGCAAGACGCTGCACACCGGTCAGCAAAGGATGCAGCTGAGGCCGCCTGTTCTTGAGCCGCTCAATCGGCGCGTTTGATACTCTAAAGGGTGATGTGTTTCAGGCTGCTTTCGCTCAAATTGTTTGTGAATTGATATCTCAACCACTGCTTATCTCTGTGCGAGCTTGCAAGGGAACAAGTCATAGTCTTGGCTGTCCTTGTCGCAATCCATCGTGTATGGCTCATCAAACAATCGCCATTTGCCATTTGGGCTTTAGCATCCGATCGCGGCAAGTTGCCGAATTCTGGCTTGAGCAATGCGCCGATCGCGGCAATGCAACACTGCTGTTTCCTGCCTGGTGCTTGCCTCCTCGCCGTTGCCAAGAGTGAGCGCCGATGCCTTGACAGCGAACAAGGGCAAAAAGGAGGACAAACAAATTCGACAGGATACATAGGTACTGGAATAATTGAGAATGAATACTTTGGGCAAGCAACACAGCATGCCGCTTCATCACACCCGTCCGCACAAGTTCATGACAATCGACCGCCTCTTGGCACTGCGATTGCAAAACTTGAATTCTCTGCCACTCTAATTGTGATTTCATACTGTCGCTGTAATATACAATGGTACGAAATCGCCCTTTAATTGCACCCTGCAAACATCACGGTTCATGATAAGTTCGGCAGTGCCCCGCTTTCATCTTAAATGAAGTCGTTGTGCAACCTGCATCTCCCATTCACGAATCATCAAAGTGCAGACAACACGCCACCATGCTACCCAATATTCTCGTCAGTACGTATTTAGAATACAAAAAAGACACTGACTCCATTGCCTCGTGGCTAGCGTCGACTGCAAGGGCAGCAGGCTTCAATACAAGCAACCTGTCAGCTCCGCCCAGCCTGGCCGGTACAAACGGAGGCCGTCTCAAGGGAAAGGCGCGTAAGCAGGCCAAGAAAGCCTCCAGCAAACCCGTCGCGACGTCTACCAAATATGTGATTCGCATCCGTGACTTTACGGTGCTTGCCGAGTACATTCTCGAAAAGGCCATTGCTGTCCCTTTGTCGTTTCAATCGACCCTTGATCGTGCCATTGCAGCGCGCGCTGGCTTCGGAGCCCAGCTCGACGGTGAAGGCTTCAGTGTCGACCCAAAGGTCGATGCAAAGCATGAAAACTTTGTCGACGGTATGAATTCCCGTTTATGATAGCTAGACAAGCACACCTGACTTGCTGCAGTGCTGAAGCACGTCAGAGATATTCTCACGTCGCTTATGCCTTTCCCGGATAAGGACAAGTCTTCTAATCGAGGCGATACTGTTCAGAACCGATTTGCTGGTCTCACTGTTGACGAACCGTCAGAAGCCTTCTTGTCTGCTCCAAATATCCAGAGACCAACGAAACCCGCGGCCGACCCGGTCGACTATGCTGCAGAACCTCCCACGTCCTTTGAGGATGCCATCTTCGCATTGCGAGTACTTATGAACGACATGAACAAAGCCAGGGCAAGTATCAGATCAGTCTGGGAATTCTTCAAAGTTGGAGGCTTCGATGTCGTCCCTGCGGCTGTCACTACCAATACTGTTGTTGAACTTGTCCGCAATATGATTGAGGATGTTCTGCCACTAATTGAGATGCACGGCGGCCTCAAATACTGCATACAAAGATGCTACATGGTAAATTGTCTACTCAACGGATTTTCGGTCTCGGAAGTGACTACTGGAAACGTCAAAGACAACTTCAACTATGACACCTACGACGAGGCCAACGAAACATATCTCATGTCTTTTCGCCTGTTGGAAGGCTTCCAAGGTGTCCTCGAACCGGGAAAAATCCCTCTATATAATAATGGCTTTTTAGCAACGTTTGATGCAAATAGCGATCGTACCAAAAAGTCAGGCGCGGACAAGTTTCATGATGATCGCGCCCTTTTGACGCCTGTCCTCACAGATTTGATCACCATTGTTCTCAAAGTGCCAACATGGCCAGTTCACGACGAACTTTTGCGTGGCATGAAGGAATTGGTGCAGAACGGCCGGATTCCATTTTATATGGTATTTGCGGCTCAAGTCTTTCTCGACGTGACCTACACACTTGGTCCCGACATTGAAAGAGGATGGAGAATTTTTAAGGGACATACCAATTTCATCGTCAACGATCTGGAAGCGTACTTCGAATTTCATGAGAAAGCCAAGCTCCAAACCTGGGCGCCCTCCAATGACCAAAACATCAAGCTTCTACGCGAGGGTATACTATGGCTTGGCAAAGACCCCGTTCACCAAATTCTGGAAGAGCCTCTCAAACGTCAAGGTGTCCAGGCCAGCAAAGAAGATCTTCATCGCATTTTTCGCATGTCTCCGGTGCTTTGTGGACTGGTACTTTACCAAGCTCGATTTAATTATCGACAGGCCGGTATGGCGGTAGCGGATGCATGGGGCTCCATTCAATATGCTGGGCATCTATACAATGCGCTGCAAAGCAATGGCCTGCTGGCGAACCGATGGAAAGACATGGACCTTGCAAAGGTGATTCTCGGAATGGAGAGCTTTTACGCGGGCGGGGACGAGCCGCGGACACTCGCTGATCAGTTCAGAAAGTATTGTCTGCAAATGGGAGTCTCAGCAGCTGCATTGAGCAAGAACTGGCGAAAAGGGCGTGCATTGGCGTCCAAGGCAGGGCCCCGTGGCCTCAAAGTTAACGCGCCGGTTGCTACCATGTTCAAAGAGAGATACGGTCACGACCGCGATATTGTGCTCACGAGCGAGCAAGTCAACCGCATCATTGAGCTCAGCGCGTTTGAGCTGGAAACGGATGAGGAGACGGGCCGTACCGTCCTGGGCCAAATTGGAGATGAGACGAAGTTGAAGGAAAAGCAGAAATTGCGACACGAGATTGAAAACGGCTTGAAACCCTCGTCGCGCCAGCCGACGAAAGAAACCCGCATCTCGCTTGGTCAGGTGACGGAGATGTTGGCCAACACATTACAGGCGGAAACGATTGAGTTCACGTTCCCGTACATGACGATGCACCGTTGGTGCTGGCGGCTGTTCCGCGCTGTGCGCGATCAATGCGACTCGCAGCTCAGGCAAATCATTGGTCCAGACTATCTTGAGAATGAAAGCCAGCTTACCACCCTGACAGGCTACATCTTCATGCTAGCATGTGGAGCCGAAGGCCATGTACCGAACATGGGTCCGATGAAGGCAGCTGCCGAAGCTTTGAACGGGATGCTGAGTGCGGGAACAGGAGGATATATCGTTGAGGATATATTGAAAGGTGCCCTGGGTATGCCAGTCGTGTTTGTTGAAGAGCGTGACGAAGGGGATGAAAATGCGGTGTAGACCTCATTCACCGATGTAGATCTCAGTGACTGGATCGATATGACAACTCTAATGAGATTGATTTGCTGATGTAATGCTCCTATGCGATTGTCTGATTCCAGCGGACCTTGACCTTCTCTATTGGCAATCAGCTCGAACATCACCAAGAGCATATTTGGCTACACGTCAAAGGAGGGAGATTTGCTAGACCTTGATGAGTATAGCAACCATATAGTATTGCGACTGAAAGGCTCATGCAGCAAATCATCTTCAAAAAGTTTTAGGAGTACGCGATTGTGATGGTCAGTCACCATCTAGCAATTCTAATGGAATCTGACAAGGTTGTCATGCTGAACGCTGACACTGGCCGCATTGTGAAGGACTCAGCGTCCAGGAAGCCCGTGGAGAAAAGTAATACTCGCCCGGGAAAAATACCTCTGGACGGGGACAAATACAAAACAAGTGCATATGCTTACCAGAATCTGACTTGAGTGAAGCTTACATAAATCGATGCCCTGATAACCAGGCTGAGGTCATGACAATTCAACTGGTACATTGTCCGACCATCTGCAGAACCACTGAGCCAGTGGCGATGAGAACAGCATCTACTGCGGCGTGGAGCTGTCGCTTCTTCCATTATTCCTTGAATGCCTCCTATGCATCTCCATGTTGCGGCTTCCGCTGCACCTCCTTTCGATTCGAAGCGACGCATCGGCTGTCATCACGTCGCCTTGTGAGCAGATCAGCAACCCAATCTCCAGAAGGAAGTGCATTGCCTGAGACGTCTGATTCTGACTCGGGCGTCCGTTTTCACGCATACGACGATGCTGAATCCTTTTACGGATATGTCCGTGGTGGCTACCATCCAGTGGCTATTGGCGATCGACTGGGCGGTCATTACAAAGTACTGAATAAGCTTGGCCACGGCGGCTATTCCACTGTCTGGCTTGCGCGAGATGAGAGGTTCCAGCGGCTCGTTGCGGTCAAGGTCTGCGTGGCGGACATGAGCCCGCGCGAGTCTGAGATTCTATCTCTGTTGAGAGATTTGCCCGTGGCCAATGGTGACGGTGCCAACAGCGTCTCGGGCCGCGGCATGATACATACACTCCTCGACACATTTCACGTAATTGGCCCGCACGGCACCCACATGTGTCTGGTCACTGAAGTAACACGGTGCAGCGTCATGCAGGCAAAACACAATGTATGCTATGCACCAATGAGGCTGCCCGCTGCGCGTGCTATCGCGGCTCAATTGGTTCTTGCAGTTGGTTACCTACATGATAATGGATTCGTCCACGGAGGCAAGTGCTGGTACTTAATTACTATCCTGCTGCCCAACTGACTTGACCGAATCCAGACCTTCATCTGGGTAATGTTCTGCTAAGGCTCCCATAGGAATGTCATCTCTGGTCTGAAGAGGAGCTGTTGGAGCACTGTGGAGAGCCGGAACTAGAAAAGCTTCAAACATTCGGCAACAAACCGATTCCCCCGGGAGTCCCGCACGTCGTCACTATGCCCATCTGGTTTCCCATGGAGAGAGTCAACATGCTTCCACTGTCGGACGCGCGTATCAATCTTGCCGACTTTGGCGAGGCACACCGTCCTTTGCAAGAATCGAAATTCGTGTCCTGCGCGCCAGAGTATTGTCGCCCACCAGAGGCTAGGTTCGAGCCAACGAAGCCAAAGTCGTTCTCAAGCGACATCTGGACCCTCGCCTGCAGCGTCTGGGGCACTCTGGCCCGGACTCCCCTGTTCAGCATGTACTGGCCTACTGAAGATGCCGTGACGTCTCTGCAAGTCGAAGCGCTTGGAAAGTTGCCTGATGAATGGTGGGAGAAGTGGGACGCGCGCTCCAATTACTTTACGGGAGATGGCCAGCCTATCCGAACCAATAGCGATCCTGTCCGTACACTTTGTTCGAGATTTAGTGATGCTATGCAGGAAGGGCGTCTCAGACACAAAGAGACAATGAGTATCGATGAGAGAAAGGCTCTGTTTGCCATGTTGCAATCGATGCTATTGTACAGGCCCGAGCAGCGATGCACCATCAAGGAGATTCTAGACTCGGAATGGATGATCAAGTATGCGATGCCCGACTACGAAAGGATGTGTACAGGGGCCTCTGACACTGTGGGTGGATGGAAGGGCACCAGCTCCAGGCTGGCGTTGATCAGACCAGAGATGATCCCGACTGAGAGACGAATATCTCCGCCGGCCTTTTGAAAGAGACAATTTCCACAAGCCAGGAACCGACCATCTCCACTCCCCCGAATGAAAATGGTCGCGTCTGTCACTCTGATCTAATCAACCCGGGGCATGGACGCAACGCGGAGGTATCAAGGAGGAAGATACAGCGGGCCTGACCGGCTTCATAGGATTTCTACACCACTCAAAAGAAATACTCCACATAACCTGGATAGAAGCACTAAGACTTGCCACAGTAAGCAGAAAAGGATGGGATACCTTCCGAGTTCCGGCTGGCAGCGGCTCGCATTTGGCGCCTGCTTTGCATTCCCCCATGGCTTGTGGATGAGAAGATCGAAACGCAAAGAAAAGCATGTGACACTATGACTAAAACACACAAGAATCGTGACACGATGCGTGGATTGCTAGCTTCGGCGGTATTTGTGCCAATATCGGGGTTCAAGGGTGACGTGAGATGAACCATTTTCCCCATGCCTTTTTGTTAATCTACACCCGAGGCTTGATTTCCGTCAGCCCCATCGATAGTAGATGAAATTGTACCTTCCTTTTTGGGTAGCAGCCGTCTTGAACAGGGCTGACTGCTTACGGTTCGGAAGCCCGCTTACTCCCAATAGAGAAAGAGTCCCCCCCCCCCCCCCTGTAACGTTACCAAATCCGTCCGCGGGATTAACGGTTTTTGCCATGTTGGTTCCTCACCGATGTCGATTTTGTCCGATGGCCGAAACCTAAATAGTGGTAGCACTTGGAGGACGACTGTCAGAGGATTGATCCATAATGGCAACTATACCGGAGACGAATCACAGTAGGTATGGTCTGTGAGTTGGTCTCCATTGTGCCGAGAGGTCGAAGAAGTTGATTGTATAAATTACTCTTCGTTTCTCTCAGTTGCTGACAACAACTTTGAGCTCAACTTATAGAGCAGACTACTTGACAGGTAAATCACAGCTTCAAAGTCTTAGTCCCTACTTTGACCACTACTCGTCACAATGAAGTACACTCCCTCGCTTCTACTCTTCTCGCTCATTTCCACTGCGGCAGCCATGCCCCACGAGCTCGTCGCTCTATATGGAGAGTGCTCCAGCAGCGCCAACTGCGCGCCCGGATACTGCTGCTCGCAGTACGGCTACTGCGGTACCGGCGCCGAGTACTGCGGCTCCAACCCTCCCAGTGGCGGCGGCGGCGGCGGCGGCGGCGGTTCTTCCTATCCGGGCCTCGACGCGGTGCAGAGCCGCAACGCGGCCGCGGCCATTGGCCAAGTCCGCGCCGAGGGGCTCAACCGCCAGGCTTGCTTGGCCGTCATCAGCACCGCGCTGCAGGAGTCGACTCTACACATCTACGCCAATCCCGTGGTTCCTGCCTCGATGAACTACCCGCACGATCTCGTCGGAGGTGGCCAAGATAGTATTGGTAAGTTTAAAAGACAAGAAGGAAATCACACACACACACACACACACACACAACAAAAAAAAAAGTAAACGACATCTGGCCCCCCATCTTGATTAGATTTTAAAAACTGGAAATACTAAAATTAATTGGAACAAAGGCATGTTTCAGCAGCGCCCCGAGTACTATCCCGACATTGCTGCCGACATGTCGGCGGCTGGCAGTACCCGCCAGTTCCTCGCCGTCATGAAGCAGGTCCCGAATTGGCAAACCATGAAAGTTTCCGCTCTGGATCAGGCCGTCCAGAGAGCCGAGGCTGGAAACTTGTATGCCCAGCGCCTCCCGCTGGCCAACCAGGTCTGCAGCGCGGCGGGCTTTTAAGCCGTTCTCTCGGTCGACTTGTTCGCCGCGCGTGATAAGAACGAGCTTTTACCGCTGCTAGCAGTGGCCATCTATTCCTTCTCTTGTATATAGTTACATTTGGTACATTTTTGCGGATCTTCTCCACGTGTATATAGTCACATCTGGTACATGATGATTGGAACTTGTCCACGCAGTACATTAGGATTTGTTATATCGCTGCGAGTCATGGGTGACACTAGGTAGTTTGTATAATAATACGGAAAAAGGCGACATGCGCCGGCATGAATAAGCTAGTCTTGACCTTTAAGCAGCAGCCGGCCTTGCAATCGCTACTGAACAGCGTGCAATGATGTGTGTGCATGGCGGCTAGTGTGGTCACGCAGTCTTCCAAACTGGTCACACACCCACCATCTTGTGTCTGCCCTCTTTCAAGGGCCACCGAATGCATCTGCCTGTCCCACCGTAGCCAGCGAGCCAGTGATCTTTGTCGCGCATTCAAAAGTCCTGGCTGACACTCCTCAGACGCCTCCCTAGCAGTCTGTAATGGCAGAATAGCTATTTCATCGCCATAGACTTCGAGGCGCGCATCAGTAACCCAGACTTCTACCAGATCCTGATCGGCAATTTTGGCTGTGTACCGGGTCTTGGCCGGTTTGTCAGCTTCAAAATGCCCACGTCCCATCCATTCGGTCGCAGTCCCGTCGAGGTTGCGGAATAGTGTTTTTGCTGTAATTCATCGTGTGGTTCCCCTTGAATAAATCCGTCGTAGCTTATGTAGGGATAAAGTGTTTGGAGTCCTCCTGCTGTTGAGCAAACGACTGTGAGAATGCAGCCAACCCGGCAACAATCCCAACTGCCATGACCATAACGGAAATAATAGACCAAATGACTCCCCAACACTGTGATGAGCCGCCATATCGCTTCGCAAAGACACTGGCATCTGACGAGTTGACTTTGCGGAGAATCAGATCGTCGCAGATATCCCAGACACTGTAAAGAGAGGACATGACACCAATGAACAACACGACAAATCGCAGTGCTTCGGCGTGTTTGATGAACCAGCAGGCGATCAAGAGGGCGACAGCGGACAGCACAGTTAGAATGGTCAGCCAGTCCCGCTTTCCCCACCAAAGAGTCAAGAGGAAGCAGACACCAAGTACGATGCTGGCGATTTTTGATGCGACTATGTTGAAGCCGCAAAAGGTAAGCAACGCGCCGATGATCGAAGATCCCAGGTAGCCCGCCGGGAGCGTGATGGCGCTGATGCCGCCCACCATTTTAGTGACGCCGCCTTCGTTTGGGTCGAGGCTGATGGACTTGACGCGGCCGCCGGTGCAGACTGCTGTGATGGCGTGACCAAACTCATGAAAGGCAATGACAAGCATCTATAGCAGAGAATTGGTTAGTAAAGGACGTTTTCACCATTGTAGCACTGAGCTGATTATGCATTTTGTGTCGTTTTGATGAGGCCATGACAAAGAGACAGAACAGGCCGGTCGGCACTCACCTTGAATGGCCAGAGAATGTTCTTGATGTAGGGAACATTCCATAAAATAGCAATCACGACAACGTAGGCAGCGATGACGCCGAGTGTTACTTGCTGTGTGTGGTTGGGGTGCTGTAGGTTGCGGCTGACGAGAACAGCATGTTGAGGTTGATGCAGCTCCTGTTCGACTTTGCTGAGCTGTGCAGATAGTGCCGCCGCCGATGCGGGCAAGTATGGTGGCATTTTGAAGGCGCTGATGAATTGCTGCGCTGATGCTTCTGGCGACGCTGTCTTTCAAGGCGGTTCAGGGGACGGGAGTCGGGTAGACGCGAGCGTGGAGTTCTGGGTTGCGAAATACAGCTATGCAGGGTCAAGAAAGAAACAAAGTCGAAATCGTCGAGAGCAGCGAAACGAAAGAAGAAAATGTTTAGGTCAGGCGGCTGGGCAGCATTTCAAGTGATGGATCACCCCCCCATACTTGGTATTGATTGTCCCACATTGTTGACGCGGCAGCTGTTGCAAATGAGTGAAGGTGGTGGCGCAGGGGAGAGAAAAAAGGTGGCTGTGGTCCTGTGGAGAGGCTGGTGGCGCGGACCGTAAGACCGGCGCAAACTATTTTTAGTGCATATGATGATCATGGACCCTGCGATCTGCGCTTGTAATATGGGTTTAGGACGATGACATTTTGCGAAGAAGAAAAACATTAGTGATATAAGACATGACAGGTCATGGTAGGAAAGCTGTCGAATATCTTTTGACCCGAAGATGGCATATCCACTTGAGCCCTTGTGGCGGTGAAATCACGTGGATGAAGGGTACTTCAGCGACTGCGCCACCTTTCACCTTGGGGGCTCGTATGTACGCGCATCTAATGTTCTCCTGACGCGTACCTATTTTGCCATCTATCCACAGTATTTATCGCTATCCACACTGTCTCTGTTGGCAGCCATCATGACAACGATGCGCAGTCAAGCCCAGATGGCCGTCACCACAACTTATCGTTTTCATCATTTGGAATCGAATATTTGCATTTCTCCAAATTTATATACCAGTCAAAAGAGCTCATACACTATGTACGTGATCGTGGGTAGGTCCTCATTTCCTGAACTCGTTTATTTGCAGGACGACCACCAATCGCTCAGCTTGACGCAAGTGTACGGAGCCTTGCACACTGTTGGACCGTTGTAGCCATTTCCACCACACTGAGCATACTTATCCAGTCCACCGGACGGAGGCGGAGATGAAGTGGTACACGGGCTTGAGGTCGTTGTTGTCCCAGGAGGGACAGTCGTTGTTGGGCCGCCCGCAATGTCGGAAAGCACCTCCTTCAAGTAGCCACTGTTGGAGTAGAGCTGCGACATGTCCCACATCATGACGCCGCCAAAGCTGGAAAACTTTTGCGAGTAGTTGATGGCCGCCTTGAGCTTGGAGCCCTCGGTGTATCCGCCGCCAGCACCTGGAGCCGCGGGAATGCCTAGCAGGAGCTTCACGTCGGGGTTCTTGCTGCCGTGCGCCCACTTGTCCCAGACGTCAAAGTTGAAGGCGTCTTGCGTGGTCGCGTTCTCCTTGAAGTTGGACACGCCACACCAGTTGTTGTAAAACTGAATCATGACAAAGTCAAACGCGACGGCATCAAGAGCGGCGCCCACGGCTGCGTCGGGGAAGACGCACTGAGGGGCAGCAGCCAGGTAAAATTTCTTGCCTCCCGCACCGTCCATGAGGCTGCGCAGTTTGGCACCAAAAGCGGGGAGGTTGTTGGTGGTGCTCTCAAAGTCAAAGTCGAAGCCATCAACAACGGCGCTGCCAAAGGGACGGTTGACCTTGTTTCCCGACTGCACGGGTCCAAACATATCCCATACCGTCTGTGCCGCAGCCTCGGCCTCACTAGGGCTGGACCAGCCGCCCTGAGAGTAAGTAGCTCCGCCGAGAGATAGCACGATTGTCTTGCTGTGTTTGTCCTGGCACGTCTTGATGTCCTCTCTGGCATACGTGGTTAGCGAACCGACACCGGGTCCTGCAACAGGGTGCAGAAATGTGCAACTTACTCAATTTGGGGGCAGTTCAAGACGTCTTTGTTGTCAGCAAACGCTGTGCAGTTATCGCCTGCATTCGCAAAGTTTGTGATGGCAGGAGTTATGCCATTCATGAACGCGACCGGGATAACCTATGTGTCATTAGCCTCATGAAGTGGCGGGTACCACTATCGGTGTCGTGCTTACGTTGATATCGGTGTCTGCATCAAGTGTTAGTGTCATTTCGACTCTTCAAATTCTACCATCTGTTGTGATGATACTTACTCTCGCAATAGTATCCAAGACGCTTTTGGGCGAGAGGGCCGCTGCCTTGGTTGATCGAGTTTTGACCTTGGCACAAGTCAGAATCTTGACGAGGAAGAATCGCAAATCCAGTGTCCTTACCCCAGTAAATGGCAATGTTTTTCTGTGAGCCTGGGCTGAACGTGTTGTTCAGTGAGCCTGGGCTGAATGCGTTGTTGCGTGAGCCTGGGCTGAATGCTGCCATGGAGGTGGGGAGCACGGCAAGCAAGCTGGCCACCGTAGCCAACGATATGAAAGACGCCATTCTTGCAACAACTTTGGTTGAAGTTTCTCACACTCTTGGTATAGGCGTGTCTTGAGTTGCGAATGACTTGAACTAAGAGGGCGATCATCGGGGAGGGGCCGGCGGGCTATATACGTGCATTCCAGACTATTGGCACATACCAGTTCCCGCGATGGGTTGGTGGCATAAATGCCGGTGTGGAACGCTTGCCACTAATTTCGGTTCATGGTCCTTCATGTGACGTTGGACCGCTTACATTGGGGGCCATTTAGACCTTTTGAATCATATCCGGTGCGCTGCTACCTTTTTCAGAGTCACCCCAGACCGGACAATCTCTGCTACGGCCAATCTCGAGGCTTCCAGCGTGTGGACGTCGTCCAGTCTCGTTTGAGGGGTGTGGTTGCGAATGGAGTTGTAACAAGGCCATGTACACCGTGGCGATACTGTCAAGGGTATCTACACGGCGCAGCTCCCATTCGTCATTGTTTGAGGTTAATGGGCACAAGGCAATGCACCCAATCAATTACGACTGGTCCAATTTACTAGTTATTGCAATAACTGTATTGTAAACACGCGCGCCGAGACTCTACATCTCGCGCGGTACTTTGGTGCTCGTCGACCTCCACCGTGTGCCCGGTGCAAGGCCGAGACGGGAGCTAGATGCTGAGAGTGGAGAGGCCGTCGGCGGCGTGTGCCTGCATTGACTGACCTTGTAGTGTGATTATCAAATCATTAGGGACTTGCGACTATGCTATTACTTTAAAATCTTGTCCAGCTTTGTTGAGTGGCGTGTCGCAGAAGAGTCTCCAGTATGCAGTGCGATTTCTTGGCCAAAAGCGGTGCCCTCCACCGGCTGATGTCAGTTGCAGCACATCCACGTGCTTGCATGCCAGTAGTGAGTGTTGCAGCAGAAAAAAAAAGAGATTTTGGGACCTACCTCAAATCACGCCGCTCTTACTGTAGGGCTTGATTTCTAAAAGATGCCGAGAACAAATGAGATGGAACAGGTCTATACCTTTCGGCGCCGTGATTTCGTCGCATGGAGTAACGTTACTCAATGGGGGGGTGGTGGTGGTGAGATGACTGAGGTCTGGCTGGACCTGAAAGAGCATGAAGGATCGAGAAATGAGCTTGTTTGGGAGTTTGATATCTTGAACCTTCCCGACTGGGAAGCTGACTCGCGATGTGGGGGGTTAGTTGGTGGGAAGCTAGAACAGCCACGAGGACGAGACGGAAAAAAAGGCTTGTCATGTACGTGGCGTTTGCCGCGTGGTCCAAGGTTGGTAGGAGGATTACTCGAAAAGCTTGGTGTGTGTATGTAACAGGTCATTAATAAATATTTAGATATGGAAGACTTCTGGGAGGCGTAGTACCCTTTTGGATGGATGGCTCTGTATAGACCCTGATGGTAGTTGGCGGCTGCCATCTTGTCTTGCCGTTACATCCTTGGCATCACCGAATCCCCAATCTTGGCCGCATCAAGCTCATCCTCCGATGGGCGCTCCGGAAACTTGGGTGGCCGCCGGAGGCTTGTTCACGTTGACCACACCACCTGAGCAGTGAGCACCAACTCACTACTGCAAGGGCATGTGGGACGCCGCCGAAAGGCCAGTTGTAGAAGCCTGACTCATTGTTCGTAGGAACCTCTACACTCTGTAGAGGGACTAGTGGATTGTTCTCGGGTAGATGCGTACAGCAATTCAAGACATTTGCAGTGTACTCTGATGAGGTTATCTTCAAACCCGGTGACACCTGGTGCGGCGTGGGACTGTCATCATGCGCTTAGAATCTCGCCTAGTGGCTTTTATAAAAGCAATCGCTGTCGCAGAACGCAGGCGATGAGCAAAGCAACACCCTAAACAGAGTTTTTATTTTTTGTTGCCTGTACCTTGTGACGCATTGCCAATACTTTCTAGGCCATATGGCCTTTTTTTTCGGGTGAGACGTGTGTGTAATCGCTTCTTGTGTCACAAAACGCAAAAGTCCAAGTGTCTCGTCCACACCACCTCGGCCAAATCTTACTCGGCGACTCGTCTAGTCTATTGGCGCTTAAAAGGGGTCGTCGAAGCTCTGACAGTATGACCACATGTTGTTGGTGTAACAGTTTTAAAAATGCTGATTTTCCATTTCAGAGTCATCGGCAGTTGTCGGGCGCCAATCACCACGAGTTGGGCCGCGATTGTGTTATCACGGCAACTTGGCAGGTGTAGTGCGGGGTTGTTGTAACGGAAAATCAGTTGCTGAGATTTGAGAAAAAAAAAAGTACAGAAAAAGTTTGAATGAATCGTGTCAAGACAAAGAAAGGTATCATCAAGAACGGAAGCCACCACCCTATACATGTGCACCACCGCAGCTTGTGATTTTGAGTGATTCAAGTGATAACTAGTCGGCATGGGCGTTGACCTGCACATCCTAGCTTTCAACTCGAAGCACAATGCAGGTTTCCAACACAGTAAAGCTCACTTGATAGATGTAGTACGTGATGCATATCATGTGCAGGATATAGGATCGGCAAGTACAGGCACAACAAGATGAGGCTTGGTCACCTATCATCTAGATACCAAAATGGGGTTCTGCTGAGCTGAGTGCGAGACGACGTGTTGATCTGAGCTCCCGTCTTTTCAAGCCAAGCATGGATTTTCTGGGTTATCGAAGGAATACCTTGTGTTCTGTGGGCAAAGTCAAGGCCACAGGTTAGGATGCAAGCTGCTCTCTTAGATGGGAAAAGACCTTCGGTCTGTACAAACGAATAAAAGTGTCACTGAATGCCAAAAAAAAAAGGAATTTTTGCACGAAAACACAGCATTAAAAAACCTCTTAAAATATATACATTGGAATAAAATACCATGCAAACATACATGGCATCAAACTATGTACTGTCCAACATATCCAACATATCCAACATTACATACATTTACCACCAACATATGTACAACCATAATTCCCTACCAGCTCCTGGCTAATAAAGCATCATCGCGCCTTGTTAATGCTCCATCAACCACCAATAACACCACCAGCGCCAGGACCGCCGAGATAAAAGTAGCTGCCCCAAGTAGTGCCCGATCGAAAGTGCGTGTCAATCGAGTAGCGGTTGCTGTCGCTGACAATCACCCCCTTGCTGCCATCATAATCGCCATCACGATCGTCCGCGCCCGTAATGAGAATATTGCGAATATACGCCGCCTTTGCGTAGCCCTCTCCCGCGAAATGACCGCTGCCCATGTCCGTCGTAGTCAGCGGGCCCTCGCTCTGATAAATCTCGCCGTACCAGTCCACCGAGTCTGCGTGATCCGCCAGCGTCGACGCCGCGCCGTTGCCGCGCGTCACAAACATGCCGGCCGGGTAGTAGCCCGCCCAGCGGCCGCCGACGGCGAGCCACCAGTTGCCCGCCTCGAGCAGGTACTGCACCTGCAGGTCGTGCTGCGCGCCGCCGACGACGGACAGCGGCGACAGCTCCATGCCCGGGTAGTACTCGGCGTCGTACTGCACCCACCCGCGGTACTCGGTGTTCCAGCCCGACACGTAGTCGCCGTAGCCCTGGTACGCATTGGTCGTGAAAAAGGTAAAGAGGTGCGGGTTCGCAGTCTGCCGCGGGTAGTTGATCCAGCCGGCCTCGACCGTCTGCGTGCCGATGCTGGGCACGTTGAGCCGCGCGACGGCCGTCTGCAGTAGCGAAAAGTCGTCATTGTTGGCCACGTACGCCTTGAACATGCTCAGCGCCGCAGACGACCCGTGGCTGTCGCCGGACTGCGACGTGGCCGAGTACCAGTGCTTGCCGGCGTACTGCCGGGCTTGGAGCCGGTTGATGTTGTGCGGAGCGCCGACTTTGGTTCGGGGAAGCCGGCCGTCGCTGCGGGGAATGGGCACGGTACCGGCAGGACCTCGCGTAGTCTCGTTGAAGCTACTGAGGTTGATGCTGTCGAGAGACTGGTCGTTGCTCAGAGAAGCCGGGGGTGTCGCAACCTCTCCCTGCATCTCTCGCTTGACCCAGTCAATGACCTGGCCATTCGCAAGGGTAACAGTCTTCTCGACAGGAAGACCCTGACTATGGATATAGCTGGCAGTTGCCGTGCCCGCGAGCAGCGAAGCCGCAACTGTATTCAAGACCTGCCAACGCATAGCGTAGAGTTGAGTAAAAGGCCGAACACTGTAAGTTGTCTTTACTCACCCGTTCGTTGCAGCCACAGGTTGCAGCACTTGTTCATCTTATTATAGCTCAGCAGCAAAATCACAATCGATACGCTCGAAGCCTGTCTTCAGCATGGTCATATTACTCTTTCCGAACAAGGAAGGTATTGTCCACTTGTAGAATTCCTATCGCACGTTACCACGGCACGGGTCATCACACAAAATGGTAGCCTCGGCCTTTTTTTCAATGCAACGCACTTAGCGCTGCTTCTTCTGCAGGCGCTTTTCATGGCCATTTCACAATTGCGATTTGACGTGTTATCGATGCTGACGAATCATTCATGAATGACATGTAAGCCGCTTCCTCTGTTTTGTACAATGTGGTGTTCTGCTCAGCAAAGTGCAAGGAATGGAGCGGCATGAGAAACATACATTTTGTCTCGGAAGCTGGTTCAATTTGAATGGTGCGAAACTATAGTTTGTGAACGGTCTCAACCAAGTTCGAATGCAAAGTCAAGGTCAACGATCCAGTCCCTGTCTGTCGGTGAATGATGTGCTCCGCAGAAGAGCATCTTGACCAGGTTTCGCCGATACAGATCTTGTGGTCGACAGTCCTTCAGCATCATCTAAATGAGGCGCCAAGTCAGGCATAGACACTTTGAGAGTGAAAGTTAGACACTGCTTATGCCGACGTTGGCTATAGGCGGGACTGGGAACTGCACAAAAGCCAGCGCTTCCTTCGAATCCTTTAACTTGTAGTAAGCGGCAATCAACTGTCCAAACAACTTGCGATCACTTGTAAAGCCCGCCCATTCAGCCTGCCATCAAGCCGCCACCAAGATGACTCGGGTTGCTGAGGTGAATTCGCTAGTGTACCTAGCTTGATCAGCAGCTCCCGCTCTCAGCCTAGCATCGCTGATCTTTCTTTGCGAGTCTCCCTGCTGGTATGCTAGACGACACCGGTTGCGCACCCTGGCCACAATCGGCCGCTGGAGGCATCTGATGTCGACACCGGATGTTGTTTTGGGTGGCAGCGAGACTGCGTGACATGCTCGCAGACCACCCTCTCGTGACGGAGGCCTTGATATGGCTCATTTAGGCACTATATGCACTGGAAGATCCGCGAGAACCCGTTGAGACATTGCTGTGGAGCGTGCATCTGATGTGATGTACTGGCGGCATGGACCGCCAGTCCTGATCGCGGCTTGGCACACGCTTTGGTGCTTGCAACTGGCACGCCCACGTGAAGTCCAGCCATTGTCTCTGGCTGCTCACTTGTTGGTAAGATTCTTTCCTGCCGACCGCCACACCGAGGATTTTGGTGTTGCGGGACTAAATCACGCTGGTACCCTGATGACTGGGGAATCACTGAATCGTAGAGGGAACTCGACGTAATGACCTTGATTACGTATCGGTGACGCGGCAGAAAACTCATGGCAGCTTTAATATCGGGCTCAGTGTTTTGAATTGATAAATTGACCGTTGGGTAAATTGCACTTTTTAAAGTCACGCACCGTGACTCTGCGCTAATGTCGATATTTCAGTACGGGTTGTCGCCCATTAGGCGTATCCCCTCACGTAGGATACGACAGCCTGGCTTCAAACAGCATGCATGTGTCTGCTTGAGAAACTACCATCTCCCCCGACGTCCACGTCCAGCACCTTGCATATAGCCTCCGTATGCACCTTGATTGCCGCCGTAGCCACCAGAAAAGTTTTGTCCAGCGCCGCCTTGCGCCGCGCCGCCAGCAGCGCCGCCACCATTCTGCATGCCCGAAAACATGGCGCTCATCTGGCTCATGTCCATCTGCGATGGATCCATCCCTGATGCCATCATTTGCTGCATCATTTGCTGCATCTCGGGAGGCATACCGTCCGCAGCGGGCATCGCAGGTGCTCCGGCGTTGTTATTACCGCTCATGCCCATGCCGCCCATCATCATCATATTGTTAAAGTCTTCCATCATCTTTTTGTTGTTGACCGCAAAAGCATCGGCCCCAAATTCGCCACGAACATTCTCTTGTTTGGCTGCATAGAGCGCCCACGTAAACTCATCAAAGCCGTAGTTGAAGTAATCGCTGATGTCCGTCCCGGGCTTACGCCAGGGCTTTTCATTCTCTGGTAAGTCTTGTTCCCTGTTAGCCTCGTCTTCCACCACACTTCGAGCGGCGTTGTCTCACCTTCGTCGATGTTGACTTGTGTTATCGGCTTGCCTACTGGGGCATATATGGGATTGGCATTGATATCGACGGTCGATTTCGAGGCCGCCGCCGATGCCTGATCTGCGCTAGGAGCGGCCACATGGAGAGCAGTCGACGATGGAGTTTGCGCTTCCACCTTTGCTGGTGCTGCAGGCGCAGGCTTGCTTGGGCTATCATTTGTCCCTGACCTCTGTGGGATGTTTCGAATGTCGCTGTATTTTGCTTGTCTATGATAGAGAGGTCAGCACCGACTGTTGGAAGGAACCGTGTCTGCGCCGTAGCGGGCGGATATGATGTCCTACGTCGGAGGTGCAGCTGTTGTGCCGTCTTTTCGTTCTGTAATGATGTCGATATCCTACCAGGCAAATTAGAATAGATTTTGTAGCGCGCAATATGTATTAGCCTACAGAGTCATCATCATCTTCGTCCATTGCACCACCCTCGTCCTCCTCTTCGCCTTCCTCAAGCTCTTCCGCAGCTCTCGTCTCAGCAGGTGGTTGAGCCTGAGCCTGGTGAGAGTCTACTTGGGGCTCCTCGGGCACGTAAATGTCGTCATCCTCGTCCATTTCCATCCTGTCACGAGGCCGGTTAGAAACTATAATGCCAGGATAAAGCTAAGAAAAAGAGTGAGATTGCAATGCCGCGTCTTTGAAGTTGCGCTTGTTGCGTGTTGAAGCTTGCTTGTGCATTCTTCGGACCCGTTGTTTCTCCGGGCAGTCAGAGCATTGCGATGCGCACTATCGCTTGATAGGATGCTACCAACCCTCGCCAGCGTTTCCACCAGCGTGGACAAGTACCCAGCTATCTAGGCACGGTCGCATGTTCAAGACTCGTAGTTCCACAGCTGTTTTGGTCGATTCACCTTTCACCAAAAGACCTGCATCAACTCAAACGAGGTTACTCAAAGCCTGGATCTAATAATACCATGTCCCTGGCGCGCTCAGCCAGTGGCCCAGGCGGTCTCACAATCAACACTGGCGCTGCAAACTCCCTGTAAGTTGCTGAGGCAGCCAGGCCCAGGAGTCCCGCTCTTGGTGCCTGCAGCACACACGCCGCTAGAAACCACAAATCTTTGCTTGCTTGCCAACTTTGCCTTGGGTTTGGCGCAATCACAGAGACTCTGCTAACCAACTGGCTCTTCCATCGTCACAATTCAGCGCGTCCTCATCCCAACCTCAATCTACTGGCGGGCTCTTTGGATCCGCAACCACAAACACAAACTCCAACGCGGCGACCGCGACCGCCGCCGGCGCGATGGCGACAACAGGCGGGCTCTTTGGCGCGGCGAGTGCGCAGCCAAAGACAAACTTGTTTGGAGCATCGACGACGACACAGGCACCTGCGAGCGGTAGTCTCTTTGGTAGCGCTGCGCCAGCAAGCTCTGCGCAGCAGCAACCCCAGCAATCGCTGACAACACCAGCATCTGGCGGTGTCTTTGGTTCAGTGGCGTCGCAGTCAAAACCTACCAACAGTCTATTCGGTGGAGGAGCCGCTGCACAACCTACGACAAGCACAACAAATACGGGCCTGTTTGGTGGTGGTGCTGCTATAACGACGCAGCAACCTGCTCAAACAGGCGGCGGAGTCTTTGGTAGTACGACGACACAGCAGCAGCCTGCTCAAACAGGCACTGGACTTTTTGGCAACGCACAGCAAGGAGGAACAGGCACAAATACTTCTGTCTTTGGACAGTCACAAGCAAAGCCATCCGGCGGACTTTTGTAGGTTACCTATAGTGCAACGGAAAACCCTCAACTTGTCTAACGTCCCCAGTGGCCAAAGTCAACAGCCAACGCAAACTGCCAATCCAGTCCCCGCAGTCCAGATCAATTACGATAACTTGCGCCCGCGATCTCGATTCGACGACCTGGCGCAGCCAATCCAAGATGAGGTGGCACTCATAGACAAGGGAATTCAGCGCGTCATCAAAATGAGGGACGAGATTGGCGAGTTTATGCCACAGCACGAAAAGGATATTCAGCAGCTCGGAAATGACGTCAAGTACGTCGAGTCAAAGTTTCGCATGGTCCAAGAGGCTCTCAACCGCGACATTCAAACTGTCAAAAGCCTGCAAGACGTCACGAAGAAGAATATTGGCGACGCGCAGCTATCCTTCAAAGCGGCAGATAACTTGAAGCTTCCTAGCCATTATCACCAGACGGGTCTTTTCGCGGGTTCTGCTCCGTCGTCCGCCTCCAACGGCACCGATGCATCATCTGCACAGTCCAATGCACAGGACCTCATCACCTATTTCAATCGAATCTGCGACGATGTGGAAAAGTACAAGAAGCGACTAGACGAATATCGCGGGGAAATTGAGCGCGATATGCCTGGCGTCGAGAATGGGCTATACGAACAAATTCGAAGCTTTAGAGACCGCAATGCCGCCATGAACGGCAATGGCGGTGGCGTTCAGGATCAGCTTAACCAGGTGCTCTCTGCGCTACGAGAAACTGGCAACGCGATTGTCGCCCAAGCCGGTCAGATTGCGGATACGCGAGAGCGTCTATCCCGCCTCCAAGCTGGATTCACTGATAGCGGACTTTATGGGACAAACTAAGCGAAAGACACAAGCCGGACAATAGACGTCGGATTCGGTGGGATGAGCTGAGGTGGCTGTTGGCACATGCATTATCTGGAAGCAAATCTGCATGGCAGATAAAGTGTCTTGTAATTTTTATGAATAGTAGGCCCAAAAAGCGATGATGGATTACATACATTTCTGGCCAGGAATTCAAAACTCGCCGCAACTGTGCCCTGTTGCTATATGTCTTGTCAAGTTTTCAGCTCTAGCCCTGGACAGCCATCGTGAAAACGCTCTCTGCTCTTGTGCACTGTTTCAAAAAGTACTAATTGATCATAACGCCGTGCTTTTGATGAAAAGGCTAGCTGCATTTTGCCACGAGCAGGCTCCAAGGCTTCAAGGCCTTTGCAACTATATACAAATCTGAGCCCAAACGTCGGCAAATGCACTGCCTCTTTTCTTTTCCCACCACTGAATGTAATCCCTAAAGATACAGCAACCGCAGTTGCGATACGCCATTTATAAAAGACAAAAACCCGAGCGGTAATCTGAAACAAAGACCAACCAAGACGAATGGCTTTGCCGCCTCAGTAAGTACCCTCCCCTCCATCGTCACCATCTCCATATTCATCACCAAAGTCCTCGCCATTGTCAAAGAATTGCTCCGCGTCATAGTCGCCCGCATCCTCATCGTCGTAAATCTCATCCTCTTCGTCCTCCCCCGGCGCGTCTTCCTCGTCGCCCTCGCCCTCTTCCGCGTCTTCCTCACGTAGCGCCTCGAGCTTATCCAGCAGCGACTGGCCGTTTGCGCCGTCGCCGCCATCGTCGCCCGCGGGCAGAGACATACCAAACGCCTCCTCCGCGTTTGGCAGGGTGCTCACGCGGGACAGCTCGAGCTTGCGCTTTTTGCCCGCGCCGCCGCCACCGCCGCCGCCGCCGTCAATCGTCTCGAGGAGCTCCTGCGGGAAGAGCTCGCGGCAGACGGGCCGGCCGGACCAGTCGGGCAGCGCACGCTCCTCGCGGACAAACTTTTGCGAGTAAGTCGGCATGGATGTGAAGGGGTCGAGCGAGGCCTTGTTCTTGACGCCGTAGACGGCATTCATCTGCGACTGGCCGTACGTCTTGCGCGGGGCGGTCGGGTCGGTCAGCGACGTGCGCTTGGACGTGTAGAGCGGCGATGAGTGTATCTGGCGACGCAGCAGGAGCATGTAGTGGACGCTGTTGGACTCGGTCGTCGTCAGGCTTCGTGGTGTGGGCACTTCGTAGGGCTGGAGAGCCAGAGAGAACTCGGTTAGTATTGGGGAGAGAGGAGGGGGGGGGGAGCGCACGCAAAATGGGTATGCTTACAGGGAAGAGCTCTGATGGCCGCGCATCAGGTTCGTCGCCCGTGTCCCATGGCACGTTGGGTCGGCCGCCGCGACCTCCTCCACGACCACCGCGACCACCGCCTCGTCCGCCACCTCTGGACATGTCGGGTCACGCGTGTCGCCCAGTACGGCGCGTATCGTTGTGGTTGTAGTCTGAATGTGAGCCAGCTTCCCGAAAAAGAATTGATACAAAAATTTCTCCGGCGACGTAGTTTGAGAAGCGCGGGCGCGCAGCGAACTGACACTGGCGGGGGAAGTGTTCAACTTTTTTTTTTTGCCGCCACTTTCAAGTAGGTATCCATCTGGTAAGGCTGGGCGCTGAGTTGTTAGTGGGGCATTTCACAGCGCCGATAAGGTAAAGGCATGTAAGTTTACTGCGGATATGCTATCTTTTTTTTTCTTGCAAAATGAGGACTATTCAAGGTTTACCAGAAACGAATCGAGTTCAATGGAGAAGAATTCTCCTAATTGTCTCTCGCTGTTGATGCCGCTCACTCCACGAAGCAGAGAAGTAACGTCGGGCACCCACTTGTGGGCCACAACCCCTTGCGGGCCACCTCTTCCCACTAAAAAACGTAGAAATATACCTTTTTTAATAGACTTTCTAGCCCAACTATGTAGAGAATAGCTATATAGAATTAATAATAAAATACTATAAAGCTTACTCTATAGTACTTAACTTTTCCTTTAAATAGATCAACTTTCATTAAATAATAATAATTAGCTAAAAGTTAAAAAAAAGCCTATTTTTAGTAAATATTATAATATTTTACTTATTTCTTTATATTTTATATAATTTTTATTAAGTATATAAGATTATAAAATAATGAATTAAAATCTTAATAATATTTTATAAATTAAAGTATTTTTTCTTCTTTTTTCTCCTTTTATTTTAAACTTACTTTTTAACTTAAAAGTTACCTACTAAAAAGACTAGATTTTTTATTATAAGATTCTAACTTATATAAATAGCTTATAATAAAAATGAAAGATTTTAGATAAATCTTCTTAAATTCTTAAAATTAGTAATAAAGTATTAAGGAACACTAGTAGTTTTTTAGTAAAGCTTAATTTTTTAAGAAAATATAACTAATTATATTAATTTAGTAAAAGTTATTTAGAATCTGAAATTCTTATAAAAAGACTTCTATACTTAAGCTATTTTTATTATATTTTTAGCTATTTGTTATTATATAATATTCTATTTTAGTGTAGCTTTACTAAACATGGTGGCCTAAAAGGGGTGTAGCCCGCAAGTGAGGTTATCTGGTCAACCACGTTACATATGTGCCGATTTTCCGTATCTTATGAATGTTGTGCTATTGGAGCGGCAGCCTCGCTGACCAAATTCGGGCTTGGTCTCCCGCTACCGAATACTCGGCTTGAGCTGTCTGTTGGAGTCCTATGTGGCGTCAGCAGGCGACGGAATGTCGGAATTTATCAAGCCAAACATCGCGGCGACCACTTGAATTTCAAAGAGGACGTTACAAATTTCGGGGTTCCCGGATATAAGCTTAACAGAATTATCTTTCAAGAAACAGGGAAGGACTAATAGCAGACAAGCTGTATATCCATTAACCCACTATGCGGAAGCTAGTTTTTCACAAAGCCTTGGCAGCCACGCATTTCACCTGAAACCTGAAATTCGAAAGGCCCTCTTTAACTAGGACGTCCCTAGTAATAAGTGAAGACGTCTCGGAACTTCGGACCGATCTGGTCGCTTGGCAATTTGGTGAGCGTCATGCGATATATAATCGGAAACTGCCGAGAGCCGTATTATATGTCCGGTAGACAGGCTTTTTTTTAAAAAAATTTGAAGACAAGTTTGGTATAATTCATAACACAGAAAAACAGAACCTAACGTCTACGCGTCTTACTCTGAAAGCAATTATTATTAAAGAATAACTAATACTATCTCTATAATATCTATACTATGCTTTAGTGCGTGATTTATCTCTAGTCTAGTATAGGTAACATTGTACACCGTGTATGCAGTGTAAGGTCTCACGACTCTATCTAGAAATGCCTATCGCAGTAGAACCGGACCCTCGCAATACAGCATTGGCGGCCGATGTTGGCCCTGATTAGGCCTAGGTGTGCATAGCTAGATAGAGTAGCCGGATTCGTGTCTCTGTCCCGTAATCATTGGAGTGCTGGTATGGCACGAAGCTGAAAAGGGTCATCAGGCGCAGCGTTGCGGTGTCTCCGCCTACTCAAGCATCCCTCGACTCAAGTTATCTCAACTTTGGTGGATTCGACATATAGGGCTCAAGCACACTTGTCAACCAGGCAACATCCTCTGTCAGAAGCGCGGCGTGGATATCTTTTCTGTGTTGTTGAGACTGGGACCGCTTTTCGAGCGATGTATATGGTATGCTGCCCTGTTAGACAGGCCCACTCGGATTAAGAAACAAGATTGAAAAGATTGACAGCATGATTAACTCAATGCTCGACGGCCAGGTGCTCGGACGGTGTGAGCTAGATAGAGCTTACGTAGACCGACAGTGCCATAGCAATCTAGTTAGCTTCGGACTCCACGAGAACAGGCTGGCGTCATCTTTGTACATGGCCGCGCGATTGCCACCGGTTTATTAGATATAATGAACGTTGTAATATAGGTCCTTACCTAGTTTCGTGATTGGCCTGGCGTAGCAATTCAGAATTGAGCCAACAAGCGGTTGGTTGCGCAATACCGGCATATAAAGGCACAACTAGGCTGCCAGAAAACACAAGCTCAGAACACGCCTTCGCTTCGGTTCACCGGATCCGTTTACATTCAAGTGGGTAGACAAGACATTTTTCACAGGATGATTCTCCCGTCGACTTTGGCCCTAGCTGGGCTTGCCGCGGCTGTAGCTTCGTCTACCGGGACAACAGCCTTGGACGCCCAGGGCGCTCCCGCCAATGTAGCCACAAGCGCTTTCATCCTCGAATGCCAGAGCAGTCAAAATCTGGATCCGATCGTCAAGGCCGTCGAGGCGCAGGGCGGCGAGATTGGCCGCCAGTTCGACTCCAAGGTCTTCTACGGCGTGTCGGTGCGCCTGCACAACTCCACGCTGACCACCAATCAGATGGAAAACATGCCAGGCGTCACAAAGGTGTGGCCCATCGAGGCGGAGAAGCAACAGGTAGAGCTGCAGCCGGTACAGTCGCCGGGACAGCGGTCCGGGCCTCAGCGCCGTGACACTTCTTCGTCGTGGAACCACATCATGACGCAGATAGATAAGCTGCATGCGGCTGGATTTACAGGCAGCGGTATCAAGATTGGCATTGTCGATACTGGTGTAAGTCTTTCCTCTGCATATGACAGAGAGAGAAGAAAATGAGAAAACGAGATTTCCTGGCTGACACGGTTATCCAGCTCAACTATACACATCCAGCCTTTGGCGGCTGCTTCGGCGGCGACAATTGCCGCGTCGTTGCGGGCGACAACTTCTCCAAGGACGGCAACAAGGACGACCCCATGGACTGCCACGGCCACGGCACCGCTGTGGCGGGCGTCCTCGCCGGCAACGACGCCAACTTTGTCGGCGCGGCGCCCAATGCCACGCTCGCCGCCTACCGCGTGATGGACTGCAACGCTAGATTAAAGCCCGAGGACCTCATGGCCGGCTGGCTACAGGCGTACAAGGACGGCGCGCAGATCATCATCTCCTCAGCGGGCTGGCAGGGCTCCAGCTGGGACTCGCACCCCGTCGCGGCCGCCGTCGCGCGCATCGTCGACGACGGCGTCCCGTGCATCGTCGGCGTCGGCAACTTCAAGGACGCGGGTCTCTTCTCCGCATTAACACCGTCCAGCGGAAAGGGCGTCACCTCCGTCAACGCGTTCGCGCGGGCTCCCGGCGCGATAGACGGGCCTGTCAGGGACGCCCCCATGGCCAAATTTTCGACGTACGGCCCCAACTGGGACCTGAGCATCAAGCCCAGCGTCGGCGCGCCGGGCGACGACGTTCCGACTGTTAACATCCGCGGCGAGTACGAGAATGTGTCGGGGACTTCGTTTTCCGGCCCCCTGGTCGGCGGCATCATGGCTCTCATGGCCGAGGTACGCGGCTCGTTCGATCCTGCGCTCCTTAACAGCCTGCTCATGTCCACGGCTGTACCCCAGGGAGCGCCCTTCTCCGTTGCGCAGCAGGGCGGCGGCTTGGTCAGGGCCTGGGACGCCGCTCACGCCACGACGCTCGTCGAGCCTGCCGGACTCGCCTTTAACGACACTCTCCATCGCGCGCAGTCTCTTCGGCTCCGCATCACCAACACTGCCAAGTCTAACGTCACCTACCATATCGATACTGTCGCAGCGGAAACGCTTTATACCTTGCAATATGGTTCCAATGATCTAAAACAAAGCCCTCCGGAGAAGAATGCAGCCGATATCAAGCTCAGCCAGCGCGTTCTCGTTCTTGGCCCCGACCAATCGGCCTTTGTTGACATATCGGCCGCAGATCCCGAGGGCCTTGATCCTAGCCGCCTGCCAGTCTGGTCGGGTTGGATTTCTATCAGCAGCTCTAGCAGCGCGAACAGCAGCTCCAGTAGCGGTTTGCTGACTGTTCCGTATCTGGGTCTCTCCGGGTCGTTAAAGGAGCACCAAGTTCTTAAACCAGATGGGGCTGCACTTAGTACTCAAACGTTTGGCCCCGATTCTGCGTATGAGTCCAGGCTCTCTGATGGCCACTATTTTAGCTATTCAATTAATGATGGTGGCTCATTGGACCTTGAATTGCCCATGGGCATCAAACCTCGCCTTGGAACTCGTCTTGCACGAGCCGAGGCTGTGCCGGTGTCGCCACGCAAGTGGCTTGCTGAGCGTTTAAAGGCCAAGGATCTGAAACTCAAGGCCTTTACTATCGAGTCACTCTCTCATAGCAAATCCACACGCAAGACATGGAATGGTCAACTGGAATCGGGCGATTATGTCCCCGTGGGTACATATAAGCTTGCTGTGCGCGCCCTCAGGCTCTTTGGCGACGCTAATGTTGAGTCGGATTGGGATTTGTCAGAGACTGTGACGTTTAACGTCGGAGCAGGAGGTGGCAAGGACGCCTGCAAAATATATGACTCCGGCCAGACAACGATTCCCGAAAATGCCTTGTTTGAGAGCTACAAGGAGTGCCTCCAGGTCCATGGGAGCCGGCGCGGTCCCTTTCCAGACTTACCTTGGATTTCTGCACCTGAAGATGAGGCCGAGCGCAACAAGTGCATCGACGACAACATCACGGAAAAGTTCTGCGGCACCTACCGGTTCTGCAAAGCGCACGAGGATAAAACCCTTGAAGAGGGCCTCAAGTCCCCATTCATGACGTGGGATGATTGCGTCCGGGGCCACGAGACGCTGTTTACTACGCCTAGTTACCAGTGGCGGAAACAGGACTGTATGGACAGTAAGGATGAAAGGACTTGTGGCACGGACACTTGGTGCACCTTGGGCTTCGGTACACAGAAGGGCAACCTTCGATTCAACAGCTCCGAAGAGTGCAAGTGGGCTCATGGGATATACTAGGAAACCAGACTCGGAGAGAAACATGCGATTACTGAGGATGCATCGCGCAAAAGCATCATCTTTAGGAGCAATAGGGAAGGAGTGTTGCTATCGGTTCATGTAGCAGAGAACTATGGCCAGTGAACCTGGACGCCTTTGAATAGGAAACAATACAACACACTACCTATCTGCTTTTGCTGCCGCAGAACTTGCGATTGTTATGAAAAGTAATTTTTCATTGTAGAGAGCTTTGTAAATTGCCATGGCTTGCATTTTGCTGCGGTCGGTTTTGACAAGTCGGCCGGAAACTACGGCGCCGATGTCGCGTCTAAATCGACCAAATGCCGCCGGTACCGGGCGAGGATCCTTGGCGCTTTGTAAGAAGAGGTACTCGCGGCACCGGGTCAGAGTGCTAGGAATGGGGCACCACCATTCGCTGGCTAGCATGGAACACCTGGCAGCGACGTATATGAAGCAAGGTCGAGTCGAGGAGTCGGAGGACCTTGAGATGCAAGTTTCCGAGGCTCGAACGAAGGTGAGTCCTTGAAGGAGCCTCTTGCACTGCTTTAGCATTGCTGGAAAAGGCTTCTCGCACTGTTATCCCCGCTAAATAAAGGGGCAATGGATGAAACTTTCTTTGCGGATCGGCATTCAGTGATCCGCCACTAATAACAGGGGTCTAAAAAGCATCTACAGTCTCGTTAAGACGGTAAGTCGCGAAAAGATGTACCGGCTCAACCCTCAGTCACTTATAAAGAAACTTACGGCTGATAAAGGGAGCTTTCTCGTGATTCTATAACCTGGAAGCAGCTCTCTGGTCACGTGAGTTGATTTGTTCCCCCCTCCTCTAAAAGGGTTGGTGAAACCTGACCTCGTAATGCTCCGAACCCAGGATGCCGAGGATCGCGATCCTCTACGCTATCTTTTCTGCCCTACCTACACAGCGAATAGCAAGACATATCTTCTCATTTTCCAACATGCCTCAAAGTCGGAGCCAAGTCATATACGCGCCCTCGCAAGAACCACCTCGAGGCGCGCAGTCCGTCTTTTTTGCCGGCACCACGAGCAAAGTCGATTCGACAGACTGGCGGGATACGCTCGCTGCCCTGCTCTCCGCGCATCCCATCACAATCTACAATCCATACCGTGCAGACTGGGACAGCACGTGGCGGGAAGACGTCGACTTTGCGCCCTACCGCGAGCAGGTGGAGTGGGAGCTCGACAAGCAGGAAAAGGCCGACACGGTGATTGTCTACTTTCACCCGGCCACGCAGGCGCCCATCAGTCTGCTCGAGTTTGGTATGAGTGCAAGAACACCAGGCAAAATGATTGTGCTGTGTCCCGAGGGCTACTGGAAGCGAGGCAACGTGCAGATTGTGTGCCAGAAATATGGCATCGAGATGGTGCGGAGTATTGAGGAGCTTGGCAACGCTATTGTGAAGCGATTGCTTGGTAATGCGTGAATTGTCGGTGTTCTGTACGCTGTGATCCGAGACTGTACAGGAGCAGCAACTGCAGCACTGCATTCGAGGTAAGTGGTGTAAGATCTCAGATTTGTAGCAACTCCCCCGCAATTCTAAAAGTGATGTTACGAGAACAAACTCACCGTGTATCTTCCACTCATGAATGCTACCAAGATGAATCTTGGTGTTCGTATTGCATAGCAGCACTGTTATGGACGGATAGCGTCTCAAACGCGCAGTGCTAATAGAGGCCAATCCGGGCCGAGCTACTTCAGTCACAACTAGCTTTGTATAAGGTTTGCCAATAGTTCAGCACAATGACCCGCGCGATCGCGGTAGGCTCGCCTCGCGGCCAAGGAAAGAGAAATACGAAAGAAACCCGACGAAGGTCGCACGGACCACGGTGAGCCCGAGCAGGGCATGCAGGGTTCGTTCCGGGTGGCAATGCAGGCATCACCTCCACCAGGAAAAAAGTCATTTGCCAATACCATACGAGAGCAGACCACTTTTTCCCCAGACGGTTATAGGAAATGTCTATTTAGACCGCGCGCGAGGTTATTACTAGTTCCCGCTTACGCAGCGGTAATATCCACCTACCCCAGCTTCCATCGTGGGCGGCTTGCCGGGAGTTTTGGCAAGTACGGACGATGTAATAAGCAATATAGATTTGTAAGTCACGGGCCTGGATTTGTAAGTTACACAAACGAACGGGCCCAATGAACAATAGTTCCTAGAAAAAACCTCGAGCATGTATAAAGGAGATGGCGGTCACAGAGTTGGCCAAGTGCTTCTGCTCTCGACGAATACAACTTTTATCAATACGCGCAGATTGAGCCTCATTACCTAGTTACCGCACCTATGCAGCACTCTGTTTTACTTTTGGCCTTGGGCATTGCACTTGCCCAGGCAACGTCGACCTTGTTCTGGGGCGGCACCATCATTGCCTTCAACAGCACCGACGAGTCCCTAAGTGTCATTAGAAACGGCTCCGTCCTTGTGACGGACGATCGTATTGCCGCCATCAGTAAAGAAGCTCGGCCAGGAAATCTCCCAGCTCAGACGGTCGAGGTCAATATCACTGATCAAATCATCACGCCTGGTTTCATTGATACGCATCGTCACGGGTGGCAGACGGCCTTCAAAACGATTGGCTCCAACACCACCCTTCTCGAGTATTTTTCTCGATACGGCGAATTTGCTGCCGCTTCTAGCTTCGAGCCGGAAGATGTCTATCTCGGCCAGCTTATGGGGCTCTGGGAAGCCATGAACGGAGGCGTGACGACGTTGCTGGATCATGCCCACCACACCTGGTCAAACGCCACAGCATATGCCGGCCTCAATGCGTCCATTGAAAGTGGTGCTCGTGTATTCTGGTCCTACGCTTTTCACAACATTTCGTCTTTGAATTACACCATTGCCGACCAGTTTCCCAATTTTCGCGAAATCGCCGAGAGCAACATCTTCGACGGTACGACTACAGAGCTTGGTATCGCCTTTGACGCGTGGGGTCCCAACCCCAACATCCAGGAGGCGCAACAGATTGCAGACTTTGCTCGCCAGTATAACGTATCTGTGGTGACAACTCACAGTCTCGCTGGCCCGTGGGGCAACGACAATCTGCCCGAGGACGTTGCGCGCTTCAGTCTGCTAAACGGCACCATTCCCGTCGTCTTCTCCCACGGCAGCTTCATCACTGCTCAAAGCGCTGCTCTGCTGCGGTCCACCAACCAATTCGTATCCATTACACCCGAGTCGGAGATGCACTATGGCCACACGCATCCTCACGCCTATGTTCTCCAGGACCAGGCGGCCCTCGGCGTCGACACACACTTTACCTACTCGAGCGACATTCTCACGCAGGCGCGCATCTGGCTACAATCGGTCCGCTACCATTTTTCCTGGAATGTTTTGCAGGGCTGGGCTCTGCCATGGCGGAGCCCGATGAGCGCAGAACAGGCATTCAAGCTGGCGACGCGGGCGGGGGGGCTGGCGCTGCGGCGAACCGACCTGGGTGTCATCGAGGTCGGCGCCAAGGCCGACCTGGTGGTGTGGAATGCGCGAGACTCGCTCTCTATGCTGGGCTGGGTAGATCCTGTGGCCGCTGTCATGCTTCATGCAAATGTCGGCGATGTTTTGGATGTGGTGATTGACGGCAAGTTTGTCAAGCGTGACGGCAAAATAGTAGCCGAGCAATATGAGACTGTACGAGGGCAATTTCTAGCGAGTGCGCGCAAGATTCAGAAGATTTGGCGAGACATGCCCTATCCAAGCTTTGCAGGCGAGTCCTCCAACGGATTCCAGTACGAGGTGCCCGTCATCGCGGATACGCAGCGTGGAGGGGGCAATGGTTATGGCAAGCTGTTTGTTTAGCCTTGCAGTCAAGAATTCTGCTACTCAGCTATAGTTTTTTAGTACATGGCATATTTACTATAGTGTAAGAATTATTTGACCCTACGATGTTATTGCAAGACTTGGCCCAGATGCGCACCCGACGTACGAGCTTTCTGTCGCGAGATTACAGCACAGTACGCAAGTTTGAGCAACGTTGACATGTCACTAACAAGGCCATTTTGTTTTCTCTTTTTTTTTTTTTGCTCTTATTTGATGGGCTGACGACTTCATATTCGTATGAAAACTCGTCGATTCGTTGTTACAGAAGCATACGGCGGTCTACTAGAACCTCCTGTGAGTTGCTCGGCTATCTTGAGGGAGAAACCGAGTTCTGCGGCTACAAGTACAGCTATTGCTTTATAATAACGGCAGTTGAGAGGCGACATAATATTATGCGATACTATAAGTACTACTTTTTCCATAGGCCAGTCAATTAGCCGCCAGTCAATCAGCGCCTATTTACTCCATTAACCTATTCTGTCGCTCTTGAACCCAACTCAGACTTGACCTCTGAGAGGTACTAGATTACTGCAGTTAACAAAGTTGGACTAGAATAGAACTAATATCAGCAGTTTTTAGAAGCTTCAGGTAGATACATCACACGCATTCTCAAAGCCTGCCACGGCAGGCGGCCCACGGCCTTTTCTAATCAAAGGGGGTCCTTCAATAGACAGGCAACAAGGTACAAATTTAATGACTAATTAAAAGACTTTGTGTCAGAAACTATATCATGAAAATGGATTGCTATAAGGAAAACGCTTTTGATCAAGTACTATGCATGGAGGGATAAACAAAAACCTGCCGTTTGGTCATTATTGATGTTGTGTTCTTAACCAGAGCTACGCACCAGAAGAAGCTGATAAACTTTTTAAATAATTCATAATAAATATTGATTGATTCGGAGCCTACACTCATTTTGTTCTTCATTATCTGAGACTGACCTGTCGTTATAATAATGACATTTTAAAAGTAAGCTGCCCTCCCAAAACCAGATGTTTTTTTTTGTTCCCTCCATGCTATACTATATCTGAATGAGGGTGTGGAGTGTTTGAGTCTCGCGACCTCGTAGCTCCGCCGCCGTTGACAAAGGGACAAGCTTGATAGCTGCAGCAAGCTTTCACGAGTCTTGATGCAAACTTGAGACGCCATACTAAGAGCAAATTTCAATGCCATGTACACGTACACATTAGTGCACTCAGTCTAGTAGTTGCCCTATATATGTTCGCAGCGGCTCCGCTTCGTCCTCTAACAAGGTATCGGGAAACCCAGTCAACCTAGTTTTTAAGAGATCATCATTGGCTGTGGCGGCCTTGACGACCGCTCGAATTACTCTCGTCGTAGATGGCGGCCCGCAGTTCGTAACTCTCATCACACTGATAAATCTTTGGAAAAAGTCTATGAGGTTGTAGTGCATAAGAAGGTCCGATAAGTCAATCATGGCGAGCGCCGCCCACTGCAGCAAGCCGTGGCCCGTGTCACGAGCCAAATTCTGTGGCAGCGGGACGAGCTCCGGAAACGAGGTCTGTGAGATCGCGCGTAAGTCGAAGACTGCGAGACGCGGGAGGATACGCAGCAAACGGCCCTGTGCGAGGGAGATTTGGCGCTCCGTTCTCGATGGGCTGTCCGCGTCGTTATCCTCGCTGTCTGGCGAGGCAAATCTGCATAATCGAGGGATAATGGCAAAGAGCTGCTCGCTACCAAAAATGAGATTCCAGAGATGGCCGTGGCCGGGCACACGCCTTTTAAACATCTCGGCCGGAAAGGCGGCAAAGGCGCCATTGGTTGCAACGTCCTCGACGACAACGCAGTCCGTCCTGAGCAGGTCGCCCAGGACTCTGGCGGCGCGCTCCGTGACTGCGGCACTCTCCGTATCCAGCCAGCAGGTGAGTAGCGCGGCAACGAGCTCCGGGAGAGTGCTGAGCAGCGCGGCGTCGTCGGGCCCGCGCGCCGCCTTGTGCAGCATGGTGAGCGCGAGCAGGTTCGCGCTAGGCAGGGGCGAGCGCAGCGCGGTGAGGATAGATGTTGAGTCCGCGAGGGTGAGGACGCGGCTAAAAGTGAGGGGCCCGAGCAGCTTGGCCGTCATGGAGAGCAGGGGCTCAGGGTCCCGGGAGGAAGTGCTGGTGCTGCGGAGGAGCTGCGTGAGAGGGAGCAGCACGGTGTCCAGCAGCGGGGGGATGTTTGCGTCTGCGAGGAAAAGAACATGGTCAGCATGATCGAAGCAGGGTTACATTGCGTATGGGGGGATGTGCATGCTCACCGTTAAGTTGTAGCTCGACCTCGTCAAAGAGCCGGGCGTTAATGGGCGTCTGGGGGTCGCGAAGCTCGGCGAGGTGCACGAGCAGCTCTTCGAGCCGCGCAATTGGTACAGCGTCCATAGCTTCTGGGACTACTCTATCGCCTGGCATGCTGAAGAGATGAAATGTGTTTGGCGCGAGCCAGTGATGGCTTTGATCAAGGTCGATGAGAAAGAAAGAGGTTGCGCAAGCGCCCCTGCCTGGTGTAGGTCTGAATGAGTGCAAACGGCCCACACAGCGGGGTTTAAACCATCTACATGCTGAGCAAGAAGTACTCGCAACATCAGTTACGAGATGGTACGGAAACAAGATGGCTGATTATTTTTAGATTACAAAGAACCAAAGAACTGATTTGCAAGTAATCTTCAACGTCAGAGGAAATAAGGGCTATTAAATAGGCCGTCTAATCGGTCACAAGGTCTGGCGCTATATCCGTAATTGGGCAAAAAAGAGAGCTTTGCTCCGCGTTCAGTTGCGTTGCCGCGCAAAACCCACATTCAGGTGCCGGAATGTTTTTCTTTGGCGGATGTATAGTCATTTAGTGATCAAATCCGCCCTTGGATTTGAAAGAAACGGGAGAAACCACTTCTACACCCTGCGGCTAATTCATACAGAGAGATAATACCATATACCCAAGAATGCTTTGATAGTTGAAGCGCATTCTTGCCGCTTAATTTCTGCTACAATGATAATAATAGACAAAAGGGTCGAGATTTGAGCTGTGCACTAAAACACCAATTCTTACCACCCACAGCTTGCAACCCATTTCAGCATATCAAGAAGTCACATTTCTTGTGTTAATTCTCATATTCCCAGCTCTCATCTTATCTTCATTATACACACATTCTGTACACCTTTCTGGGAAGGTGGTGGAGCTACAGTGATGGATGCGGGGCTGGGGCTCAATAGCGAACTTGTCGGTAGCACTTCAGCATTGTCATTACGACTGCCAAGCACGACCTGCACATTAACAGAACGGGTATCTTGACCGACTTTAAATCCCGATCTCCCTTTCCTAAAACCCACCCCTCAAGCGCAGTTCGCTTTCCGGAAAGGGACCTACACCTCCAACTGTTGGGCGCTGTGTTGTTCCTACAAGGCCAAACGCCTCCCAGCAGACGGCACGCCTCATCCCATCATCCCATCATCTTCCAGACTTTCAACGCTGAGCAGCACAATCAGTACTGCATATACTACATCGAATGATACCGACTAGGGCTCTCAGAATGGCCGCCTCCGTCGTCTCTCTCGAGCAGATCCCCTCGCTCGCCTCACTCTACCGCGACTCCAAGCTCGCCGGCGGCTCCAAGACACCCGACGCCTCGCCCTCCGCGTCGGCCAACCAGCGCGCTGCACTCATCCGTGGCGACATCACCAAGCTGCAGGTCGACGCCATTGTCAACGCGGCCAACAAGTCGCTGCTCGGCGGCGGCGGTGTCGACGGCGCCATCCACGCCGCCGCCGGCCCGGGGCTCCTCGACGAGTGCCACACCCTGGGCGGCTGCCCAACAGGCGAGTCGCGCATCACAAAGGGCTACCGCCTGCCCGCTGCACACGTCATCCACACCGTCGGGCCCGTCTACAGCGGCAAGAGCGTCAGTGAGCCGCTGCTCCGCAGCTGCTACCGATCCAGCCTCGAGCTCGCGGCGCAAAAGGGCCTCAGGTCGGTGGCGTTTAGCGGCATCAGCACGGGCGTCTACGGCTATCCCAGTGTTGACGCTGCTGTGGTGGCGTGCAGAACGATCAGAGAGTACCTAGATGAGCACGACGGCCCGCTTGAAAAGGTCGTGTTTGTCACGTTTTTACAAAAAGATGTCGATGCCTATAATGCGACTATTCCGTGAGTGTGTTGCAAACATTTGCTGCTGGATGTATGCTAATGAATTTTGCTTTTGCAGAAGATTCTTCCCTCCGGCTGACAGTACGGATTGAGGGCGTGCGTGCACCTTTTATGATGGGCAGACAAGAAATTGGGCAGGTGATTCGAGAGACTGAGATATAATTAAATTGAACACAGAGAAAGCCGTCGTCGGTTACCACTGACCGGCTATAATGACACCCAAATTATGTTTGTCGTTCCTCTACTAGTTTGGTAATCATCGTCTTGAGCTCCTCCACCTCTGACCGAAGCTTCCTCACTTCGAGTACTGCCGCGTCGTCCTCGACATTTGGTCGCACAGAATCGCAAGTCTTGATCCATCCCTCGGCTTCAAAGTCAACCTCGTGCGCCAGTTGTTCCCATTCGTGGACCACATCTTCATCTTCCTCGCCCCTAGCGCGATTCTGACGAATCTTGTGAGCCGTTTTTGTCTCCAAATATGCCGCCACCACTAGTAAAGGGGAGTAGAGGAATGCCATGATCCAGTCATTAAGTGTTTCGTAGGCGTGCTTTGGCAGCCACCACTCGGTCAAGGCTGAGACGATAATCTCAATCAGGTTGAGAGGAGCAATGTATACGTTCTCGTCAGGGGCCCGAACAAATTGCATCGTCTTCTGGGCAAAGAGTGCCAGAAACTCGTCGTCGGCGTTTTCGTAAATATCTTCGTAGGCCGAGTTGTACAGTGCAATGAGAATGTTGAGGAGGATAATCTGTCTGGTGTTAGCGCGCGGGCGATGGTGGTTGTTAGATGGCAACGAACCATGACAACAAATGTGAAGCAGTAGTAGAGTATGACGCCCCATGGGTGAGCAAATGATTCGAAACCATCGAATTCCGGACTTTGCATAATTGCCTTGAGCATCGATTCGACAATAAAAGGCACGTCATCAACGAGATTATTCTCCGTGATGTCAAGACCAATGAATGCCTGAAGGAACCCAAGAATTATGATGACGAGCAGGGCAAAGAAGATCATGGACTCTTTCATCATAACCTTGAGGACAACCAGCATGGCACCAAAAAATCGAAAGCTGTCGAGGTAGAGCATGAGCCGAGACCAAAACATGGGCGCAATAAAGGCCAACAGGTTGTAGCTAAGCTGAGTGTAGGTTTTCCTGTAACCTGAATCGAGGTCGTGCATGAGTCCGATGATTTTGAAGATGAAGGAGACAGTAATGAATGAATAGAGCAACCCGTTAAAGGCGTTCCAGAAACCGAGGATTTGGTATCCGGCCTTGTAAAATTTGAGCAATTCGTCGCAAATGAAGCCCAATGTGAATATGTACAAAGCTACTTCTGCACCATCGAATCCGCCGCCGGCATTGACCGAGTTAATGGCAGCCGTGTACAATGCGAGATAGATGAGCGAGAAAAGGAGCTGCGCGGCATTCTGGTACCGCGGTGCTCGCATGCGATCGGGGTCCATGTGGACGAAAAAGTTGGGATTATCCTTGTTCTTGTAGTCGACAAAAACGGCCGCGTCGTTTTCATCCTGCACCAGCCATCCCCGCCAGAGGTAGTCTATGCATTTCTGGTAGCCAGATGAGCCAATGACGCGCACAGAGTGCAAATCGACAGCCTTTTCAATGACATTGACGGGTGTCGTGGGTCTGCCGTCTACGATGAACGAGTATCGTCGGAGTAACACTACATGCAGGAGGTAGTGGGTGTCGTCCTCGGACTCAATTCTAAGACATGAATTCGTTAGCAGCGGAAAGACTGCTGCGACGGCGGCGAAATCCTACAATGCCTTGGCAATGACGCCACAAGCCTCTGCTCGCAGATTGTGCAGGCCGGCATCCCATAATTCGGCGACCGCCTCGCGGCGAAACCATCTCTGGTTGACGAGTAGTGAATAGACCTGGACGAGTTGAGTGAGTAAAAGTGAGTGATGGCGGGGTGGACTATGGCGCGCGCGCCGTTGATTACGCACAACACAGGATTTATGAGACTCGCCGCCGGCTTCTTTGGCGGCCTGAAGCACTTTCTTGGTGATGATTTTGCTATGGGGCGTCGTCACCCGCGCCTCTTCCATCTCGCAAGGGATGCATTCTTGGACAAGATGCCGCAGACGGAGACAGACTTTGGTCACGTCGGTAGCCGGTATGGCGGAAGTGAGTCGCTCCCTGACATGGGGGGGCACCACTGTGCGAGAAATAAACAGCCGAAATTAGTTCTACATTGATGTCCAAAATGATGCGAGGAAGCCGAGCTGTCGGTGAGGCGGCAACGTACATGCGCGCTCCTCCTCGTGGAGCAGGTCGCGGCGGGAAGCCATGGCGAGCGAGTCGGCGATTTTTCCACGGGAGCTATGAATCGGGCCAAGCTTGTCGCGACGATGGGAAGAGGGAAAATTGGCGTCACAGAAGTTGATTCGAGGCAGTTCGTGCAATGGCAAAGGCAAAAGAAGAGGAGAGGAGGGTATGGGCGGCGGATGCGAGGGGAAGGCCGCAGCGGAACAAGCTTTGCAAGCCAAGAAACGTGCTAGAGGAGCTTCCAGCCAGGGCGAGCTGAAGTATGACGAAAGCAAAGCACGATTTGGGGCGGGATCTGCAACTAGCAAAATGGGACAAGCTTGGAATCGGAAGCTTTCAATAAACTCAACTTTGCGGGGTCCAGCTTGGTGTAGCATAGCTTCTTTTACTCTTATCTTACTTTGCACGTTTGCTTCCAACAGTAAACGGTTGAGTTTCGTCTACTACCCTAACAAAAGCTGCAACTTACTGATTTTCCAGCATCAGCAAAGGCACTCCACAGAACCATGTCATCAGCTCATTCAATACCCAAGTCTATTGCCCTTTTTCGACCTTTGACCCTACGCCACCATGCAACAATCGTGATGGCTGCCTGGCCACACCCACACCCACACCACGCAACCGGCGGTGACCCCTTGCTAGCGCAATGCCGTATTCCGCCCAGAGGTTACCAGCAAAGATTCTGCCTGCATGGTGACTTGTCCTAAAGAACAAAATCGCCAGCTAGTTGTGTGCGCGTGGCTGTGGCAGGCAGTCACCGTTAAAACGCCTTACGGGCCGCCTTTTATGGCTGCCGCCGAGCCCATTGACACCACGCACGGTGATGGCATCTGCTTTCTGTTGTGTCATTATGCATCTTAGGCGCCGCATCCTTCGTTTCCCTATACCGACCTGGCAGAAAAAGGAAACATAATCATTGTGCGACATCAACGGGCCGTAATCGCTCGCTCGCCGCCACTCCCCTGTGATACCCCGGATGCAATGGGCAAATTCGAGCCAATGGTTCGCCTAGAACCAAGTCTATTAGTTTCGCTACCATCGAATATGCGTCGAATATGCGCCCAGCCTGGGCCGCTCAGCTTCAAGTATCTCACCCTCTGAGTCATTCCGCTGCGTAGACCGTCCTTTTCTGGACGCAGGTCGATCCTGGGTGAGGGCCTAGCCGTCAGCCACATCACACAGCTTTGAGACGCCGCTGCCTAGGATGTCTGCCTGATGCCGCCTTGCTCCAGTGAATGCATGCAACCCTGCTCCCGGTGATAAATACGCCTGTATGCAGCCGCACACGGCTCGATTCCTCGTCTTTTCTACCTTTCTCTTCACTTTTTCTTCATCACCATTTGCGCCCACAAGCCGCATCCATGTCCTCTCGTTTGCCAGAGCGTAATACAACCGTCAAACAACAGCGCTGTGCATCTACACAGTGCCAAGTACTGCCCTTCTGTCACCCGCCGTATCTTGCTATCGCGGCGACTTTCTCCCGACTTCTCCCATAACTCTGTTCGCACAGACATCCGCCATCGAGATGGAGCAGCAAGGTAATTCGGCGCGGTCTGTCGAGGACACCAAGGCCGCCGAAACGGTCCCGCGCCCAACTCAAACAAGCCCGCCTGCGACCCAAGACACCGAGCCCGTCAACCAGACAAGCGAGCCAACTGTCGAGAAAAAGAACAAGGTTTCCGATCGGCACAGAGAGAAGAAGCAAGAAGGCAAGAGTCGAAAAGACGCAAAATTCCGAAGACGAGCCGCCGCCCGTCAAGACTCGGATACCAGCGATGAGGAGGACAATGTGAGCAGCGATGAATCAGACGTGTCTGGTAATTCATCCTCCTACAAGAAATCTAAAAGAAATACACGTCGCCGTCGCATCCGCAAGGTCGCTTCGGGAAAGCTGGCCAAGTCATCCACCTCCAGGCGCAACAAGCGGCGCTCTAAAGACGACAGTGACTCGGTCCTGAGCTCGGATTCGTCTTCTGAATCGGAGCGGGAGGGTGCGACTCGCGCATCTCGCGAAGAAGGGCAGAGCGGCAGCGACACTGATAAGGAAGTGCAGGATCTTCGTCGACAAATTCAGCAGTTGCAGCAGCAAGTGCAAGGGGCACTACAGCCAACCGTAATCAGCCCGTTCCCCCCGAATCCCATGATGTATCCGATGCAGAATTTCAATCAGTATGCCTTCAGCCCTCACATTTCCCCGGCTGTCATTCAGCCACAAAGCCCAGCCCCTGCACCGTCGACGACAGCGCCGCCACCGCCACCGCCTCCCCAGCAAGAGAGTCCTGCAGCTCGCCGACGCCGTGCTTTCCGACTCGGGATACCATTCGAGGTTGAAGAAGAGAAGAAGAGCAAGTCTCCCCCGAAAAAAGATGGGAAGCCATCGTTTCGCCGCGTTGACTTTGTATGGGATTCCGCTGCGCTGTGCTTCAAGATACGGGATACGGCAGATGCGCAGTCGCAGGACGAGGAAGATGAGGAGAACATCTTTCTGGTCCGGAGAACCTTTGACACGCAGGGCAGGTATCGACAGACTTTTGTCGATATTAGGAGCAAGCTTTTGAGAGAATGTCTCAAGGAGACGATTGGAGAAGTCAAAGGAGTGACCTTTGTGGAGGAGATTCCAAAGCTCGATCCCGAATTCTTGTTCTTGTACATGGATGATTTACGCGCGCATTACAAACACCTAAAGAATGTCAAGCCAGCCGGAGACACGAAGAAAGAGAGGGCAAAGAATGCCAAGAAATTGGACTTGAAGATTGTGCATCTCAAGGTGCTGCTCAAATACCTGAAAAAGGACTATACAGAAATCAAGCGTCAACTTGACTCGCTTCTCCGAAACGGACTCATCACTTTTGAGCTTCTGTGGGCTCTCTGGAAGCCCAAATCCCTCGCATACACGACAACGTACGGCGACGACGACGAGCCGCGCGTATTCCGTGTGGAGGGCGCGGAGCGGCACGCAAACATGCAAAAGGGCGAGTTCTACCACATTGACGGCAAATATTTCGAGTATGACGGCAAGAACTTTGGCTACGGAAGCATGGCCGAGGAGGTTGGATCGTTTCGCGGCACACGCAAGATTACCAGCCTACCGTGCTACCCGCTCCGCTTCCACCGCGACGAGGAGGGCGTGCGCCGGAAGCTCACGGAGCGCGGCAAGAAGTTTGTCGAGCTGCGCGGCGTCCACTACAAGAGCTACTCGGGCATGGCGTACCTCAAGAGCAAGAAGCACGGCGTCATCAAGTTCAACGTGCAGCAGAGCCGGATGATGGTCGACACCAAGACGTTTCGGCGCATCAACCCAAACTACCACCTGTCGCCGCTGGGGCATGCAGCAAACGGCTCTCTGCCTCCGGGAAGCATGCCGGACGACGAAGATGACTCCGACTGCGGTTCGTACGGGTCAGACGCCTACAACAGCGACAATGGACAGCTCGAGGTCCTCACCACCGTGTTCGACGAGGGCAGTGGGACGAAGACGCAGGCCTCGTCGACTGCCAAGGGGGAATCATCCGACTCGTGCGGCAAAGCCACGCCCTCTTCCTCGGGCGTAGATACCGACGGCAAGAGCAAAGGCGACAAGACGTCGGAGAAGAGCGCCGACGACGACCTGCCGCGGGCGCTGACGGACGAGGACTACATTCTGGCGTCGCCGGTGGTGCTGGGGTTCGCTTTCGCCGAGAAGCAGTGGCTCGAGTTCACGGTGACCAACGTCGGGCCGGTGCGATGGAACGACCAGGCGTGGGACTCGCTGGTGCTGGAGCGCGAGACCAAGGACCTGATCAAGGCGCTGGTGACGTCGCGGCGCAGCAACGCGTCCAAGACGATTGATGACGTGATCCAGGGCAAGGGCAAGGGGCTAGTGACGGTGCTGCACGGCGCGCCCGGCACGGGCAAGACGCTAACGGCCGAGGGCATCAGCGAGCTGCTGAAGTGCCCTCTCTACATGGTGTCGGCCGGCGAGCTAGGTACCGACTCACGCTACCTCGAAGCCGAGCTGCAGCGCATCCTCGACATCTGCCACGCCTGGGGCGCGGTGCTGCTGCTCGACGAGGCCGACGTCTTCCTCGAGAAGCGCAACGTGTCCGACGTCCACCGCAACGCGCTCGTCAGCATCTTCCTCCGCCAGCTCGAGTACTTTCAGGGCATCCTGTTCCTGACGACGAACCGCGTCGAGACGTTTGACGAGGCCTTTCAGTCGCGCATTCACATTGCGCTGCGGTACGACAACCTGGACGGGAAAGCGAAGCGCAAGATTTTCAACATGTTTCTGGCCCGCATCCGCGCGCTCGGCAAGCTCAAGGTCGACTCGCTGTCCGACGAGGATCTGGGCCGGCTGGTGCGCCAGGACCTAAACGGCCGCGAGATTAAGAACATTGTCTCGTCGGCGCAGGACCTCGCCATCAGTAAAGAGGAGACGCTCGGGATGAAGCACCTGCTGCAGGTGCTCGAAGTGCATGCGAGGTTCAGCAGGGATCTCAAAGGCGGCACGGGCTACGAGGATGCGATGAGGAGCTACTTTTGAAAGAGATCCTGGCAAGTGCGTCGGTAGAGGGAAGAATTGTATTTACGACCTCATCTTTTTATGTCCGTTTACGAAGCCATTTGAAAAACTGAAAGAATCACAACTTGGAAATGCGTACTGGTAAATGAGCGTGGCGTGGCGCTGTTTTCTTGTGAATGGGGTGATGTGTTCAACCCCTGAGCAGCTCGTCCGAGTCAGTTGGGAATGCATCTGATTACTGAAGAAATTTGTAGAAAGCCAGGATAAGAACTGCAGTCAATAAAACGGAGTACAGATTACTGGCCGCCACCACCCGTCGTTGATGCCGCAGTGGCAGGCCTCATGATCGACTGGCCAGCTTTCGACCGCCATTTTCTCTCCCTTTTCTACCGATAGAGACATGAGCGGCTTGCGACTATTCAGCGGCTTGGTATAGGTTGTCTCTCCGTTCGGAGTACTCCGTGCCGATAATCCAGCCCCCAACGCGTCTAATTAGACAAAAGGTGTCTATTTTGGGGTACTCAAAGAATTCAGGGCAAGATCCATGTATGCCCATCCATTTGCTCGAGGATCTGAAGTGCAACCGAGATATCGCATCAAAAAAAAACCAAGGCGCTGAAATTGGTTAATCAACCTATACTGGAGCTTTTGCCCGTATTCATTATAGGTTGGCAAGGGCAACTTGCCCATGCTTACGCGTACACTATCTTGTTTTTTACCAGCATGCACGACATGGGAGAAGAACCCTGAGGCGGTCCGTATTCTGAAACGAGACCCGGCAGGGGCAGCGGCGCCGGGGCGCGGGGAAAACGGACGGTGGAGGCTGCCATCGGATGATGATCGGTGCACTGCCATCGACGAGAGCAGTTACGTGTGCGCACGAAGAGGGGAAAACCGTTGGCCATGTGTGGGCTTTTACACTCTTTTGATTATTGCACATTGGCCTTTTCCATGATTCGAGCATCCTTGCTTGACGCCATGCAACGATGATGCAGGGAAGATGACGCGCCCGGTGAGGAACCATTGTGTAGAGACGATTCAGGTCAGGTCGGTGGCAACGTATTGAATGGTGGCTGGCTGGCTGCTTGCAAATGATGGCATCCACTTTGTAATCCCCTGTTTTTTTTTTTTTTCACTTGGACGGTTGACATTTGACAGGGAGGCTGGAAGATCAGACGACTGCTGAAGACGGTAGTCCCGCAGCAATACGAACAATAGCATGCGGCATGTCAGCAGAGGGTGTCAAGGTGTTTATAGTTGGCTTTCCTATCGTCTTGGATGCGGGACAGGGAAGAAGGTGTTAATATTCCTGCGAGTATCTATGCATGTTGTAATCCGTATTGAATCCTCCAACGGATACTTTCACAAGGAAGCTACTTGCATGGCTCAATGACGATAGTCGAACAAGATGCGACGGCAAAAGCAAGAAAAGTTTTCTTTACAGGATCAACAGAGTGTCGATCCCTTTTTTCCCCTCGTCAACACACAGGGATGCACAAGGCGGGCCAAAAGGACTGAGAGCATTTCTTGTGTGTGTACTCCGTATCCGTACGGAGTACTCCATACTGGTAGTACTGAGTAACATATCGATTCTCATGGTGTTGCTAGCGTCAAGCTTATCTAGGTATACAAAGGGAGGAGAGCAGATGAGCCACGACACAGAATTTGACACGAGTCGACATGGATGTGTCTGCTGTAAGACAATTTCTTCTCTTCACTAGTCATTCTTTGGATTCCCTTGACTCATCGAGGAGGGCGAGCAGATGCCCACACGGTGAGAAAAGTCTGCATAAGATTGGAAAAAATCTGCACAAATCTCAAAAGTCGAGACCCTTTTACTCAAAACGATGTCGGTAACCTCAAGCGGCAACATTGATACTTGTCCTTGTGAAAGTACTTGTGAAAAATAACGCAAGTACATGATGATTGATGTCTCGACGCACATCAGACGTCTGGGACTTGGGGTGGGTAGCCACTCCGTCTTGTACGCTCGGTGGCATGTGAGTCTGGCATTGTCTCCGTCCTGACTAAAAAAGCATGCATAAACGATTCTTTTCGTCGATTTGATTTTTTTTTTTTTCTTCCGTCTTGTGATTACTTGACGGCGACTAGCAAAACGGAACGTAGCAACGGAGCAGGTTGGTAGGTGGGCCAGGGGTGGATTGAGGGCGGCCGTGATAGACGTGGTCTAGAACGGTCGATGGATCACGTGTCAGGCACGCGTCAGCATTTTGACAAGCTGCTAAAAGTGGTGTCTTGGCGACTTGGCAGCGGACCCCGGAGGATTTGTGTAATAATTCGGAAAAAAAGGGCATAGAACTGCTGCGGGGCTGTATATTGTGCCTGCTCAATGCATCTTTTTTGTTCAAGTAATCGTTGTACAGAGTGTTTTTGTCATCAGGCAACGCTACGGCAAAAGCTCCCAACGCTAAGGTATTCGTGGCATTGTAGTACGGGCCGAACTTCTGACCTAATAAATCAGAGTTTGGGCCAGGCAAGGCGCCTGCCGAGACGGTCGACTCTCACTGGGCGAAACGCCCCTCCAACCTGACAATCTAGCCAATAACGGCCCATCTGTGCCTGGCGGGCCCTGACCTTCTCTTTTTTTAGTTAGTTATCCGTTCGGGCCTGTTTGTTCCCCCGTTTAGGGGGGGCGACTTGTTTGCATGTCAAGAGGTTTGCTGCAGGTACCTGCCGGAAGCCACCTGCCCAGGTACCTAACGGCCTGCTCACCGGTACCTGAAGGCATTTCGGAAGCAACAATGCAGACCGCTTGGTTCATTATTTGCTCAGGATGACTGGTCTGTAACCCACTAACGCCCAATCACCTGTACTTGTTTTCGGGCGCCAACTCACAATGAAAAAGTGTGTTCTTGTGGCCCTGCATGGTACCTGCATGCCTGCCTGTGCCAACGCATCTGGTGGCCCAGAACAGACTCTGCTGGCGCCGTGTGCGCTGAGGCCGTTTCATTGTGACATCCGTCCCCCCCAACGTTGGTTGGCCCCCCAAATCGGGACCCCCTTGGGGGCCTGGCATTCGCTCTCCCGCTCTCACCCCCCCCCTGCTCTGACCTTCATAATTCCCCGGTCTCCCTCCACGCTCCTTTCTTCGCTCCTCCCTTCCTTCCTTCTTCTTTCACGACAGACTCATCCACAGGCCACGCCATTCCATTCCTTAACAAAAACCCCCGACGCTCCCTATATCCTCTCGTTGACGCGCTTGTCACTCAAGCATCACACTCCTTCAAAAACCTTTTGACGTTCTGATTTGGTCGCCCACGGAGTATTCTGCGAATACCAGCACCAAACAAACAGCCCTTCTTTCAAATATCCAGTTGCAAAAACTCGCGCCCGATATCCTAACGAATCCAACACGATGAAGTTTTCTGCCACCGTTGTCCTGGCTGCCGCCATGGGCGCCTCTGCTCACCCCAGTCGCCACGCTCACCACAACGCTCACCGTTCAGTTGTGGGCCGCGAGTTCGTCATGGCGCAGAGGCCTTCTCCTCCTGCTCCGGCCGCCACCACCGTCGCCCCGTCTCCCTCGGCCCCTGACGTGAGCGCCGCCTCGTCCAGCTCCGCCTCTACTAGCCCTGGCTCCGGCTTCAAGCCCTTCTGCGGCGGTAACAAGAAGCGCGCCACCCTCGCCCAGATTGCCTACGCCGGCAACACTGGCGGCTCCGGCAAGTACGGCTGCAACATCATGCAGATTGACTCGAGCGCCGCTTCCTCGTACGACTACACCATGAAGTTTGTCAACAACGGCGGCTCGGAGGAGGCCTGCACCTGCTGGAACAAGATTGGACCCGATGGTGGCATCAACGGCTTCTTCAAGAACAACCAGGCTATGGACTTTAAGCTCCCCGCCAACGGCGAGGCCTATGTTGCCGTCGACGGCAACTCGCAGATTGGCTGCGCTTGCGGGCCCGGCGAGGTTCCTACCACCTTCTTTGGCCAATTTGCCAGCACTTGGGTCGAGGCTGACTTTGGCAACGAGTCCAACAACAAGTGGTCCGGTTTTGACGCCTCGGCTCTTGTCTCTGCCGCGAATGGCCTCGATATCCCGGCCCTCAAGGTCTGTGACGACAAGACCTGCTCTACCATTTTCAAAGGTGGCAAGGGCGATAACGCCTACGTCGGTGGCATGGAGGCAGACGATGGTGTCGGCGGCAATGTCGCGCCCGGCCCTCTGGCCTTGACCGTCACGGTCAACTAAATACTTGTTGACGATGAGTGTTTGTTGGCTGGCAATTTCTTTGTTTTCAGATACCTCGAGGCTGGATCTTGACCTGACATGGCCTCTTTATCCATTTTTTGAAAGATGGTTATGACGGGCAAAGACGCCCTAGTGGCGTTTGGTGTGTTGGCAACGTCTTTTTTTCATTTTTGGGCACCATTTTTACGGGAATCCTTTTGATGGTTCGTGAGGGGTGTGCAGAGGCAGCTAGGTTGTTGCACACGGATATACCTAGTCTACCGTCGTATAGATGGCACACCTTGTTCTTGGATACATATTTTTTCTTTCTATCTTTATAAATGTCCTTAACACAACATGCGTACCATGATGGCAATGAATGTGTGATTTGGGATTTTTAATTGGGTTTTGCGTCGCCCATTGGTACATAGGCCTAGAGTGCGTATTGTGAGGACGTGTTTTGATGTGGTGCTGCCATGTCGCCAACTGGAATGCGTTGCCCATACAAGCGCTGTGAAAGACCAAGACAAGTTCGTCGGCCCACACGGCAGTAACAAACAAAACAACCAACCCGGCCAACCGGCCGTGACAAAGGGGAATTCCGAGTCAGGCAACGATAAAGGTGTGTGGGGGTGGTGAGAAGTCTGGACGGAGTAGTTTGCCGGCATTGAGATGGCTAGTCTTGCACATGTGGGTGACCGTTGGATCCCGCACATTTCAAATGTCCAATTTTTTTTTTTTCTAAGAAAGAATCTGCATTACTAAACACAATGTTGCTCGACTGACTCGTCAATTAAAAGAAAAGAGGCTTAGACAAGTTTTATTTGCGGCTTTAAAAGGGAAATGCAACTTGCAAACTCTGTGACTTACGAAGAGAGGGCGGGTCTGGCATCGGCAAACGTGTTGGTTGACAACTTTGACACAATCATGCATCCGCTGGACCCCTGGAGAGGGTACCCGAACTAGCCTACCAAGCCTGGGTACTTTCTTTTAGAAAAAAAAATTATTTTCCTATTCAATGTCGTTTGTGACTAGCGAGGGAGGGTTTGGGGCTCAAAGTGTCGCATCTCTCTCTTGTGATGCCCAAGGAGGGGGGGAGCTGCAGTCGCGTGTGCGGCCGCTGCCCAAACTTGGCAAGACGATGGCAGAAGAATTTCGGAGAGCCGTGTTTTCTACTTGGGGGGGGTTTTTTTTTCTTTTCTCGTGTGTGCCCGCGCACTTGACAGTACCTTGCGAGTTTGCGCAGAAAAAAAATTATTCTTTTGCTTTTCCTTTCCGTGCTCGTGTGCATTCGTTTCCACGGTTCAAGCTTGCGGGTGTCCCCGTTGATACATGCAGCAGCAGCCACACAAGGCATACCAGGAGACCTCTTTACAACCCAGGTCGTAACCGGCAAAATATCATTTCTGCATAACACCTCTATCCTTTCTTTTGCATTCATACAATTTTGAACCGACCGTTTCGGAGTTGCTGAGAGCCATTTATGCAGCGTTGGACATGCACCTTCCCCCCTCCCTCCCTCCTCGCCGGGTGACTTTGGACCAGAGCCCGTTGTCGTCTGACGATGAGGTGCGTGGGGGTCCACCTCGGCCGGAAAGGGAAAATTCTTTTGCACGAAAAGAATTTCAGTCTTGCGCGTTTTTTTTTTTTTTCCCTCCCTTTTTTCTTCTTTTTCCCCTTCTGGCACATACCCTATGAGGCATTTCACTGCCTATGGTCATGATTGGTCATGCAGGACACTTGTTCATGCGACGGCTGACCTAGCCTGGGGTGAACTGCAGCCCCCCCCCCCCAACGTGTACCGCACAGTGTAGAAGCACTGGCTAGACAGCCACCCGCACATGAGCGTTTTCCCACTTACAACAATTGTCGATCAGTCTTCGAATATACCTTTTTTTTTTTTTTGCAGAATCTTTCGTGTACGTAGAGACTATTCAGTCATTACCTGGCGGATAGATGGCACTCGAAGCGCTGAATGAACCAAATAACCCTTTGTAGGGTAGCGAGCCCAAAGAGGCAATTTAGAGGGCTCCTACCTAACTAGTTGGGCCGAACGTACTTTCCAACGACATCCGTCCTCAAAAACTTCAAAAAACGCGAGACGACCACGTAAGCCAGACTCGCCTGCCCAAGACCTTCAAAGTAGAAATAACGAGCTTCCGAGATCAAATTGTGCTCCTTTACGTGTGCCCTCTACGTGGGCGCCTTTACTTGTGCTCCTTGACTTGTGCGCCTAACCAGGCATGTCCAGCAGCCAAAGCACACGCGACAGCGGCTCACCATGACAATGAACGACCACAATAGCCAAGAGGACCGCAGCGACGACGACGACATGGCGCTGCGTCGTCAAAAACTCATTGACTTTGCAATTACGCAGCTAAAGGCCGCCCGGTACTGCATCCCCGAGCTCGAGGCGCTCCTCGTCGCCCTCGCCCCGAAAGTCAAGTCGGTATTCGCCACGGGCCTCGTCACCTTTGTGCGCGATCTCATCCATGACGTGCGCACCATCGAGGCCGTCCTCCAGGAACCGGCACTACGGCAAGCGCTGCCGCCACCGCAGCAGCACCACGAGGAGGAGGAGCCTGGCTGCAACTCGCCGCACGCCAGCAGCAGGGCCGATCTCGACGCGCTGTGGAAGCGTCTCGAGCCACGGACGACGGGCGCGTACCAAGCCATTACGCGGTGGAAAGTACTCCGACGCTGCGCGGACCTCGTCGCCGTGAAGCGCACGTTTCAGGGCTCGGTGCGCGAGGCGCGGCGTGCGGCCGTTCTCGCACGCAGCGGCCCGCTGGCGGACGCGGCGGACAAGGCGCAGCTGCACCGCACGATGCGGGAGCAGGCCAAGGCGGAGGTGGCAGTCGTGGAACGTGGCGCGTGCTGGGTCGACGTCCGCTGGATCAACGCGGAGCGGCTTGCGCGACAGATGACGGACGCGGGATGGTCGTGGGGCGAGTACGCGGCCGGCGATGCCGTCGACGCCGATGAGTGGAACGACATTCCGTTTGTGAAGCAGGTCAAGCGCGTGGTTGCCGCCGCGAGGTGCAACCGTCATGAGTACCAGATTCCGAGGATTCGGCTCGTGCTGCCCAACCTGGCGCGCGGCGCGCAGCTCGACATCGACGTGCTGCTGGAGCAGTTGTCGCGGCTCGACCCCGGCGTGGACCTCGCCATCGAGGATTTGACGAGCGATTTCCTGACGCGGCCCGCGGGGAGCCTCGACGACGCGGTACGGAGGCTTGTTGGTAGTGGAAGTCTGCAGGTGCCGCTCACCGACACGCTCAACCTTGAGCATACCGTGCTCGTCGATCTCATCTCAGATCTCACGCATATCCGGCTTGTGCCGTACGCCTGGCAGTCGCGCACTACGCGCGCGCAGATTGAAGAGGAAAACACACATCCTGACGGCGTCATGGCGCCGTTCCTATATCCGCTCCTGCGAGGGCGTCGCCTCGTCTGCACGCACGAGGCCGCGAAGCACTTTCATGAGATGCTCACTACGGTTGGAACGCAGACGGAGCGGGAGCGTGGCCACCTGCTCGTGCCGTCGCCAAACTACACGGCTGCTGCGCAGAGCGCGTCCTCGTCAGCCACCACCACTACCGCCCGCGCGCGCTTCAACGCTCTCTCGGAGCGGCCCCTACCGGCCGACGTGCAGTTTCCCGTCGAGGTGCTACCGGCCAACGAGCCATGGAACCAGGACCGCGTGCGACGGTTCGTCGAAGACGGGACGCTGCCTCCCGTGGCGCTGGATATTGCGCGCCGCGGGCGTCTGAAGAGCTCCAAGCTGAGCACGTACATGCACGGATGGCGCGAGGGCGTGGTGACGCTGACGTCGAACAAGGAGATTCGCGCGCATTTGCGCACATGGGTTGAGGCGGGCCGCACCAACGACGCCGAGTGCGGGCCGATGGTGTATTGTGTTGAGGTGACGCGCAATTTACTGGCTAAGAACGCGGTGCCGCCACCGGGGTGGATGTATTGGAGCGAGGGAAGTGAAGATTCAAGAGGTGGACAAGGGGAATGAGGAGGCGGACAAGGAGGATGGGCAGGCGGACGCGACCGTCTAGATTGTATGACAAAGGTTGACAAATGGCATGATTCACCGAGGTATAGATAACAGAAGACATTGATGTTGGCACTGCAGGACTAGAAGAAAAAACGCATAGACATGGTGTTTAGAAGCGTAGCTTTACATTCTACCTAGAAGGTATAGCGCCTGGTGTTTATAGCATGTTTAACTAGCGATGACTTATTCATAGCGAATGCTTCCCAAGCCTTTTTTTATATCTGCCCTTTTTTTTTTCAACCGCGAAACTCTACCATCCATTCTTAGCCTTGACCAGAACATGGCGACCCAAATCAGTGATTCAAAGAGCCCCCCAGATAGTTGCAGGTTCGCCCCGGCACCGTCACTGCCGCGCAAACGTGTGCCTCTTTAAGCATCTCCAGTCGGGGTGCTGCTGCACACCATCTCGGTCGTCGTCGAGGGCGTCGCGGCCGTGACCGTGGTGGTGAAGAAGACGACGGGTCCAGGTCCGAAATTCATGTACGACGTCTCAATGGCGTCGCAGCCGTGGCAGTCAACCTCTTGCGTGGCAGTCGCGGTCTCGGTCCAGACTGTCTGGGTCGGGCCAAAGGTGTACTGGGCAGCGTGAAAGACGGTGGTGGTGCAGGATTCCTCCACGACGGCGGCGTCGCGGACATCGATGGGAGTGGCGAGGGCGGTTCCGGCGGCGGCGGCCAGGATGGTGAGGAGGACGTGAGAAACCATTGTGATTGATTGGACTTGGGAGGAGTGAAAGAAACGTTGGGGAGGCCGTTTGAAAACGTGTAGGTGGCGTAACGTGGACGGATAAAAGGTTTTTATGTAAAAATGTCTTTGAAGATTTTGAGTCAACCTAGATATGCATGTGTGAGATATGGCTCGAGAATCCCAAGGTTGCTGCTTCCTTTTGCGCACGCAATGTGCTTTGGGTTTTGGCAGTACGAACCTGAGATTGATTTCAAGTAGGGACAAAAGGTTGAGTAGATGAGGTAGCTTGTTGTGCTGGTAGATTCATCTCGGATCGTCGGCCGCTGCACATATTTATATTCACGGCCGAGGTTGCGATGAGGCCGTTGATCCGGATGCGGCTTTAGGCGGCATAGTACAAATATTGACGCGGCATAACTAGCACGATGAGGCGAGATGCGAGATGCGCGTAAGAAAAAAAAAACCAATATATGCAGCAAGGAGGAAAGTAAAAAAAAAAAATTTCTCATCTTGATCTCATAGTAGGTGGTACATGGTGCTATCACGATGCAACATGCTGCAGGCTGCATGCATGTTACGGCGACGAGGGGATCCGTTCAAATGGTTTGGGTGGAGAGTGGCGTGAGGCCCGGACATGCAGGAATTAAGTTGATTACAGTAATATTATCAGACTTGTGAGGTGCTAAAACCAATTTGTTCAGCTGTCCCTCGTTCCCCTAATTGCGTACCCTGCTTGCCCAAACTGCTTGCCCCGTTGCCAAGCGATCGGCTACCGATGCCGAGACGTTGTAAAATGGTCAAGTTTTGGGATGGAAATCGAGTTGCAGCATCTTTTCTAAGCAAAGACAGAGATTTTCTCAAGGGTGGGTAATGACTAGCTAATTTTCATGCAGAGTAGTAGTAAGATTTTGACAATTTGTTTTTTTTTTTTTTTTCCCTTTTTTTTTCTTCTTTTTTTTCATCATATACGTTTTGATGCGCTGATTCTGGAGACGGCTGACACGGATCGCTCCGCTTTTTCCTTCTCCCTATCGGCAAAACGAGGGGGGGGGGGGGGCGTCCGGCTGCACCGGCCCGCCCGCCACGCCCGACACGACCGCGACCGTTATTTTTTTTTTCCACCACTACCATAAGACAGAACAAGATTTTTTTTAATTCTTTAATAAATCACAAGGAAAAAACTTTTTTTTTTTTTTCATAAAATTATGCCACAGGTGTCATCGTCGGCACACAAACAGTCTCGTGCTCTGTATACGGCGTCGTCTCGCGCGTCGACGCCGTGGCCGTGATGCGCATATTCTGACAGTATACCTGCGGAATCGTCTTGACAAACAGGTGCTCGCACTCGTGACAGTCGACCCACGTCGTCGACGTCACCGTCGACGGGTACGTGCGGAGCGTGCTGTCAAACTCGCACTGCGGCCAGTACGGCGGCGTCGGGGACATGGTCTGCGTCGTGGTCGAGGTTGTGGTGCAGCCGCCGCCGCCGCCGTTGCCGTCTTGGAGGTTTGAGGAGTGAGCCTGCGCCGCCGTAGTAGTAGTAGTAGTCAGGGCCAACAAGGCGGGCAGAAGAAGAAAAAGGTTGAAAGAGTAGACAACAGTCATGATCAGTTATAGACAATTGGTGGGAAAGATGGAGTCACAAAAAGACGAGATTTTGCATTGGAGAGGGGGGCCAATGTTGAACATGATATATGTGCTCAAACAACAAAAAAGTCGAATAATAGTTTTAAGACAACTCCACATATCCCGCAGCTTTGTACGGATTAATTTGAATCTTTTATTGTACGTAAAAAACTTGCTTTTCAAAGGATCTATGCAAAGACACACACACACAAGTACTCAATAGCGTGCAATTGCAGACAGAAAAAAAAAAGATCGACATGGCCATTACTGCTCTCCACCGCAGGCCATTCTCGTATAACGAACGCTCTTGACAAAACAACAAAAAAACTTGCGCGACACACCCCTTCCCCTCTCCCCTCTCCCCCCCCCGGCGCCACTCGCACACACACACCACACTTACATCATGGGCTATAGCTATAATACAGGCGGATACGTATCGGCATTGCGTCCCCGCGGGTAGCCGACCGGCGTCTCAAAGAACTGATGCACGTCGTCGAGCGGCATCGGCACATTGAGCTGCGACCACGCGCCTCCCCACATCCAGTCGTCCGTCTCGTCCCAAGCCCAGCCGCCGCCGCCGCCGCCGCCGCTGTCCCAGCCCGCGACGAGAGCCTCGACAACAGCCGCGCCATTATCCTCAAACATGCCGCCGTCGGTGCCGGCGCCATACTGCAGCAGCTGCTGCTGCTGCGGAAGTAGCTCCTCGACGAGGACGCCGCTGTCGCGTGCCACGTCCCGCAACAGGGCAAGGTCGACGCGCGCCGCGTCGGTGGCGCGCTCAACCAGCAGCTTCACCGTCGCCGTCTTGCCGAGCCCTTGCTCGAGCGCCTCGGTGTGCGCGACGCACGCCGACAGAAAGCAGTGACCCTTGGCCGTCACCTCGCCCGCCCGCATGCGTCGCAGCGTCCAGTCTAGCGCCGCATCAAGACACGCCCGCAGGTCCGCGTAGCCGGCCGCCGCCGTCGGTAGCGACGATGCTCCGAGACGCAGGGCACCTCCGCCGCCGCCGCCGCCGCCTCCGCCGCCGCCGACTCCAACGCCGCCACCGCCGCCGCGGTCGTGAATGAGCTCTAGCGCGATAATGCACGCCGCCTGCACGGGTACGTTCTTGAAGAGACCGGTGCCGTATAGCGTGAGACGCTCAAAGTCCTCGGAGACGGCGCAAAGCGTACTGTCGACGTCGCGGGTGGGGGCGGCGCGCCGCTGTCGGACTGATTGCGGCGAGAAGCCCCAGAGGTCGGCGACTTTGAGGGCCCCGTCGAGGCACATTTTGCGCGAAAAGTAAAAGCGAGGATCGTCAAAGGCGGTAAACAAGACGGGAAAGTGGAGGGCGTGGAAGCACCGGTACAGAGTCACCTCGGCGAGCGAAACGTGAAAGGTGTTGATGATGGGAGCGGCGGCGGCGGCGGCGGCGGCGGCGGGTGCCTTTGCCGCGCTCGGGTCTCGTATCGCCCCGTTTTGGTGTCTGGTGAGGACGCCAATCGTCTGTGAAAAGGAGCGGCAGGCTCTTGTCAGCTCCGCGTTGAAGCGCAGCGTCTTATCGTAGTCGATGCCCGCGCGAAAGTCGTTGATGTACTGGAGAAGCCCGAGCCGGACAGGAAACGACTTGAAGACCTCGAGCGGCACCGACATTTGCGTCGCGACGCCGCTAAATGTCCGGCGCCTTCTCACATCATCCACCGCGTCGTCGTCGAGCGCGTCGTCGTCTAGGTCCGCCGGCGGCAGGGTGTCGTAGTCGTCGCACGAGATGAGCGGCATGCCGCCCGCCTCAAACGAGTACTGCAGGTTGAGCTCGAGAATCGTGGCCCACAGACGGCGCCGCATCTCGGCCTTGTACACCGTCATCTCGCTCAGGTGGCTCGGATCGCGGTGCAGGCCCATGTACATGGCCGTCCGCAGCAGCGAGCCGGCCATGGTCCACGTCAGGTCCGACGACACGCCGCACGTCATCTTGGCCAGCGTCAGCAGGCACATGATTTGTATGCCCGTCAGCGTCATGCGGCCCTTTTCCGGCGGCAGAATCAGCCACATGTGCGCCTCGTAGATCCATCGCGTCGTCGTCGCCCGCAGCGCCTCGGTCCGGTCCCGCACCGAAGAGCCGAGCACGATGCACAGCTGCATCAGCACCACAAACGCCTCGTTGGCCGCCGACGGCTCCTCCCAGTAGCTGGCGTACTCTTTCCAAAAGGTCGGGAGGTGCAGCACGCGCAGCACGCCTTCGTAGGTGCTCGTGTAGGCGTGTACGAGGTCGTCGCACATTTCGCGCGGCAGCATGTTTTTGCCAATGTTGAACGACGACAGCGGCTGGAGACGGCTGTGCTTGATCTTTTGGCAGAGAATCTTGCACTGATGCAAGACTTGAAACAGCTCGCCTTGGGTGTGTTCTTGGTTCTTGAGCATGCTAAGCTCGACGGGAAACTAGCAGATAGAATGTTAGAGAAGTTCTTGATAGGGAAATGAGGCACATGGGGGCGCGAACCGATGCTGCAATATTCATCCAATGACTTTGACCAAAATACCGCCCTTTTGAAGTGCTACCCTTTGGCGGAGGCGTGTATTCGCTGCGACGCCGCGCATGACGCTCATTTCCTCCCCGCTGGGCCTCGACGCCGCCCGCCGCTGCTGCCGCCGCCGCCGCCGCCGCCACCGTCGTACTACTCCTCGACACGTCTCGATGAGCCTGCTTCGCCCCCGCCTGCTCATGAATAACCGCTGGCGACAACGGGCGTCCCGCCGGGGGCGGCGCTACTGCTGCTGCTGCTGCTGTCGAGTAGCTCGCCGACGACGGGCGGAGGGGCTGCCAGGTGCTGCCGCGGTGAAACTCTTCCGAGTCGGGCGTGTGAATCTGGGTGGCCCTCGCCGTTGGCCTCAGACGCGGCGGTGCGGCGGTCGCTGGTCGAAGCGACACGGACCGGCCCGGGGAGGAGGGTGAGCAGGGAGAAGATGACTGTGCCGTGGGAGGAAGAGCAGCAGCAGCGGCGGCAGCGGCAGCGCGAGCCGGCTTTTTGCTGCGCGATTTGGGCGTGTGCGTGGGCGCGTACGTGCATGACACGGCGCCGCCGGACTTGCTGCAGTGGTTGCACGGAAAAGAGCGGTCGCACTTGATTTTGCGCCTGCGGCACTGCTCGCAGGATAGCGGCGGGCGGCGGCGCTTCTTGGTGGTAGTGGTGGCGGCGCTGGTGCTGGCTGATGGCGGCGGCGGCGGCGGCGGCGGTGGTGGTGGTGGCTCGGTCTGTTGAACCATCTCGGCCATCTCGGCCATCTCTCCTCGGGCGGGTGAATGAAGCGAACAAGGGCGAGTCGGTGCTAAAACAATGAGTGGCTTGCCGGAAAAACAGCGCCAAATCGTTTAAAAAGCAAAAAACCAGCTCTTAATGTATATAAGACCGCGGATCAAGTACAAATCGGGGCAGGAGCGATCGTATGTTCCTTTTTTTTTTTTTGTCTCCGTTCACCTTGAAGCTCAGGCGCGCGCAAAAGAGTCATGCAACATATAAAGTAACGACTTTGCGCAAAGTTCCCTCTCTTTTTTCCGAAACCCTCCCCCCCCCCTCTTTCCCAAGGCAAAAAAAAGGCTAAAAGGCTATAAGGGCCTGGTTCAAGCATGGTTCGAGTCTGTGCGCGCTGATTGGACGCTGTTTGAAATCACCGTGGGCTTTAGTCTGCCTGCCGTAACGGGTATAGTGGTCGATCCAAAACGAAAACGCCGACCTTGCAAAACTGCAAGCCCGACGGCTCAAGGGCTGAAAGCGGGATAAGCGATAAGGACTTGCCTTGCCGGTGGGATAGTGTTAGATTATTATAAATATAAAACAGACCAAGGAAAAAAAAAAGCTTCAACGTACAAGCTAGAAACTCTACTTGTCTACTCAGTATTGAGGACCCTCATCACGATCCCCGGTTTTCGACCCTCTGTTCTGGAACAGTGGCCTGCCGCCCAGCCGCCATACTAGTCATGCAAGCCCAGCCCATGACATTTCATTTCTGCACTTCGAAAGGGCGTGTTCCATTTCTGCGCAGCATCTTTAAAAGCTTATCTTCATCAAGGGCCCCAGATCGGGGGAGGCTCGGTATTGACAGCCGTGCACCAAGTCGACGTGTTTCAAATTCAACGTGCCAAAAGAATAGTCGAAAGCAGCAGCCAGAGCCACCTTGGTCAAATCAGATGCAGGCACACTTGCATGGTCCTGGATTTACGGATATTAGCAGAAGAAAAAAAAAATAACATGACAGATACTCTGCCTGTATTGACCCTGCTTCTACTCATTAGCCGCGCTTCTATTTTACCAAGCATGATTCTCTAGCATCGAGTATAAGCAAGAATCAAGTCGAAGCAATCACAGACCAAGCACCATGTCTCATCTGAAATGCAGCATTGATCAAAGTTATCATTGTACACAGGCTCTTCAGCCAGTCATCTTTCCATGAGCCCAAAAGGCATCGATAGACCCCGCCACAGGACTGTGGTTTCGCATCAGTCCCACCAGCCTACTGCTGGCTATTATTCTCTCATCTATAAAGCTATCTCCTAACTATGGTATTACTCCATTGCATCGACCAGACTCTCTCACATGTAGCAGCTTAGAGCAGGAGCTCCAGAGGGTTCTCAATCACCTTCTTAAACTCGCGGATCCACTCAGCACCCACGGCGCCGTCGACAACCTTGTGGTCAAAGCTAGCCGTCACAGTAATCTGGTCCTCCCACGCGACACCGGTCGAGCCATCCTCGTTCTGAACGGGAACAGCCACCTTCTTGGTCGTGCCCACGGCGAGAATGGCAGCCTGTGGGGGGTTAATGACAGCGGTAAAGTGGTCAACGGCATTGTTCATGCCCATGTTGGAGATGGAGATGGTGCCGCCCTGATACTCCTCAGGCTTGAGCTTGTTGTCGCGCGCCTTCTTGGCCAGCTCCTTGACCTTGCTGGAGATGGACTCGAGGCCGCGACCCTCGACGCCAGTCACGATGGGCGTGATGAGACCCGTCGGAGTAGAGACGGCGACGGAGACGTCGACAGAGTTAAACTGACGAATGCTTTCGCCACGCCAGCTCGAGTTGACCGCAGGCACCTTCTTCGAGGCAATCGAGATGGCCTTGATAAGGAAGTCGTTGACAGACAGCTTATACTTGCCTTCGGACGAGCTGTTAAGAGCCTGGCGAAGCTTCAGTAGCTTCGAAACGTTCAAGGCGCTCGTGACGAAGAAGTGGGGGTTGTTCTGGACAGACTCTTGGAGGCGGCTGGCAATGACCTTGCGCATTCCGCTGACCGGGGTATCTTCGTACGTGGCACCAGGAGCAGCGGCAGTCGGGCCGCTTCCGGCCTTCTTGACATCCTCCTCGGTGATCTGACCGCCCTTGCCGGTGCCCTTGAGAGCGTCGATGCTGACACCCTTCTCTCGCGCCAGTCGGACGGCAGCGGGGCTGGCGTTGGCGGTACGGTCAAGGGCCGTCTCCAGCTTCTGCCCGGAAGAAGCATACTGCTCGGGCTCGGGGGCCGGGGAGCTCGACTCGGTGGGAGCCGGGGCATCCGACTTGCTCTCCTCAGCCTTGGGAGCGGCCGGCTTGGCGTCGCCACCAGCATCCTCGAGTGTAAACTTTTCAAAGGCCGAGATGTCGGTACCTTCATCGACAAGAACAGCGATGGGCTGCAAGATGTGTTAGCAGAAAACAGCAAAGGCGGCTACGGGAACCGCGTTGAATGGGGCAAGTGCTCACAGTGCCGACGGGGACATCCTTCTCGCCAGCCTCCTTCAGGATCTTGGCAATGACACCATCTTCCTGAAACTCGAAATCCATCTGGGCCTTGTCCGTCTCAATCTCGACGAGGACCTCACCGGGGCCTATGGTGTCGCCGGGCTTCTTCTGCCAGGCGCCCAGATTACCAGCCTGCATGGTCGGGGACAGGGCAGGCATCTTGATGACCTGGTGGTCGGGGAAGGAAGCATAGCAGCGGACGACGTGAGCAGCGAAGCCATTGCGCAGGGCGCTGTGCGTAGGAGCGAGAACTCGCCTCCGAAGAGCGGCGCTGAGCATATTGGTCGTGTGTGAAAATGGCTCGCAACGAGAGCTAAGTAAGACGCGGAAATTCCAGGGGGCGAGAGGGAGGACGGAGACGGCGGCAGGTGCTCGGAGGAAGTGCAGCAGTACCAATTGGAGGCCAGGTCAATGGAGAAGTCCGGACAATGGGCACAAAGCAGGTGTCGCGCTCGCGGGAATTGTTGGCAAGGAGGCTCAAACAAGAGAATCAAAAAGCTTGGGGTTGCAAGTCCAGTTTTTGCGTTGAGCTGCTATCTACTAGCGGGAGCTTGGAAGCTAGCCCGTATTGGGACTAGCGCCACGGACGGCTGCCGGCGCTCAGCGGTGCGGCGGTGTCTTGGTGGACGATGAAGCCTCTGAAGCCCTGTACTGAGCGACTTCGGACAGTGCATAATTTCGTCTACAAGCATATCGGGAGGCACCAAGTGGGCCGAATGGACCGCCTCGCCGCAATAAATGTTGCACCTAACCCAGAGATTCTTACTTAATCAGCAGGTGCTCCACCAAGATTGTTCCCAGCATCTTCTTTCCAGGGGCTCACTCTGGAGCCAACAGCCAAGTGGATAGCAAAAGCCTGAAATGTTTCCAGGAGGCTCGGAAAAACTTAAGAAATATCCGAATACACTTTAATCAATTCAGACTCTCTTCTACATCTCGTCATGCGTTCATTTATAAAAGGCCAGAGCGCCAACCTGTTTCGTACCCACGAGCAGCCGAGCTGGCAACACCTCAGCCACAGGCTGTTATAATGAGAAGGTTTCGTGTCATCATTACTTGTCCGCGCCACACCAGCTTGCGCCACTGTCCAGCCTGCAGTTGAAACTGCAAAGTGCAATTAAACACGGCTTCTTACAATTACCCTCCCTAGAGACAAAAAATCCCTAGACTTAAATATTTTCGAAAATGCAAGTCTGTCATCATGACCTAAATTCTGCGTCTCCTATTTAATATGCACATCATCTTGACAGTGTAGACCGTAGTGCCACAGACCCCTTGGGCCCTTGCTGTCGACCCTGACGCTGCGTGTCCGACAAGCCGCATGTGCCGGGGTTTCTCCTGTCACTGCCACATGCACCTCTGCTAGCCCAAACCTCTTGTCGCAACAATTATTGTACATCACACGATACGCAGCCCTTCACAACTGTACAAGTTACCCTTGGTAGCAAAGTTTCGCAGCTCTCTCCCATCGCTCGGCAATTCAATAGAAGCGCTCTGCCCGACAACCTGGCGAATGGCAGCTCGCTCTCCTGACGCTCCCCAATGAGCTCCATCAAGTTTGTCGTGTCCTCTTTGGACACGATTGCTGCCTCCAAAGATGCACAGCGCATCAAGCAGCTAGGCGAGTTTGCCAAAAAGGCTCTCGATGCCATCAAGGAACAAGAACAGCTTCCGGACCCCGAAATTGTCTTTGCGCCCCTGCAGCTCGCCACGCGAACCAATAATTCCCAACTCACCACTACGGCCCTCGACTGCATCGGCAAGCTGATATCGTATTCATACTTTTCAGCCGAAAGCAAGCAAGAGCCTGTCGAAGGTGACGCGGCGACACCCCAAAAAGCACCGCTCATCGAACGTGCCATCGACACAATATGCGACTGTTTCCAAGGAGAGGCTACCGAACCAGAAATTCAATTGCAGATTGTCAAGTCGCTTTTAGCCGCTGTCCTCAATGACAAGATTGTCGTGCATGGTGCAGGACTCCTGAAAGCTGTCCGACAAGTTTACAATGTGTTCCTCCTCTCGCGGAGTACACCAAACCAGCAAGTCGCTCAAGGCACCTTGACCCAAATGGTTGGTACAGTATTTGAACGTGTCAAGGCACGACTGCACATGAAGGAGGCTCGCTTGAATTTGGGAAACCTCAAGCATAGCTCCAGCAATGTCACATTTGACAACCAGGATGGCGCCAACGGAGCCAACGAACACGACGAAGGCCCTCAAGCCGCTGGAGAGGAAACGGCCCCAGAGGATTCTGGCGCAAAACTCACTCTCAAAGATTTGGAGCATCGAAAAAGCTTTGATGACTCTGCATTGGGTGATGGGCCTACTATGGTTACTCATATCAGACCAGCCAAGAGCAACGGCGAACCCGAGTCCCCGGGCCACGGCACGAATGCCCACGCTGACGAAGAAGCGCTTGAAGCTGAAGACGAGGTCTATATACGAGACGCTTATCTCGTCTTTAGATCATTCTGTAACCTCTCAACCAAAGTTCTCCCACCGGATCAGCTTTTCGATATTCGTGGCCAACCGATGCGGTCAAAACTCATCTCGCTGCATCTCATCCACACCGTTTTGAATAACAACATTTCCGTTTTTACATCACCTCTTTGCACCATCAAAAATTCAAAGAGCAACGAACCAACGAGCTTCCTCCAGGCAATCAAATTTTATCTGTGTCTCAGCATTACGAGGAATGGTGCAAGCTCTGTCGACAAAGTCTTTGAAGTCTGCAGCGACATTTTCTGGCTGATGTTGAAATTTATGCGACCACCCTTCAAGAAAGAAATCGAAGTCATTCTCAAAGAAATTTATTTGGCTCTTCTTTCCCAGAAGAATGCCCCAATGTCACAAAAACTCTACTTCATCACAATTCTCAACCGCCTTTGCGCCGATCCCAGGGCACTGGTGGAAATCTATCTCAACTACGACTGCGACCAGACCGTGGATAATATCTACCAAACCATCATCGAGGATCTCTCCAAATTTTCCACCGCATCTGTCGCTGTCACCGCAGTCAATGAGCATGTATACGAGGAGACCAGAGCCAAAACACAATCGGCCAGCGAATGGCAGCTCAAGACTATTCTTCCTCCTCCCCTGACTGTGGCTCACATCCTCCCACAGTCGGATCCGGAGCCCGATTACCCTAAAGAATACGCCGTGAAGCGTATCGCTTTGGAAGCTCTCGTCGAGGCGTTGAAATCACTTGTGAACTGGTCGGCGTCGGTGCGGCCTGAAGCCGGAGTTGCGCGTGCGGAAAAAGACAGGAAAATATCTACCGACGACCTGCGCGCATCTATCGATCCTAGCATGAGCGATACAACATCGCGCATGGATACACCCTTGCCGCCTTCAACGCCTGTACTTGATGACGATCCGGCTCAGTTGGAGCGAGAAAAGGCGCGGAAAACAGCACTGATCAATGCCATTCGAAAATTCAACTTTAAGCCTAAGCACGGCATCAAGGCTCTCGTCGCCGAAGGCTTCATCCCGAGTGACAGCCCGGAGGATATTGCCAAATTTCTTCTTAAAGAAGACAAGCTCGACAAGGCCCAGATTGGAGAATATCTGGGCGAGGGAGATCAAAAGAATATCGATACTATGCACGCCTTTGTGGATGCAATGGAGTTTACCAAGCGGCGCTTCGTCGATGCCCTCCGAGTATTTCTACAGTCGTTTCGCTTGCCTGGCGAGGCACAAAAGATTGATCGATTCATGCTGAAATTTGCTGAGCGCTATGTTCTCGGTAATCCCAATGCATTTGCCAACGCCGACACTGCGTATGTGCTCGCCTATTCTGTGATCCTTCTCAACACCGATCAGCACAGCAGCAAGATTGCGAAGCGCATGACAAAGGAAGAGTTTATCAAAAACAATAGAGGTATTAACGATAATGCCGATCTTCCGGATGACTATCTTATCGGGATTTACGACGAGATTGCCGGCAACGAAATTGTCTTGACCAGCGAACGTGAGGCTGCCGCAGCTGCTGGGAGTGCACCTGTGCAGTCGACTGGGCTGGCTGCAGGCTTTGGACAAGCCTTTTCCAACGTCGGACGTGATCTCCAAAGAGAAGCATACATGCAACAATCGGAGGAAATCTCTGTGCGCTCAGAACAGTTGTTCAAAAATCTGTTCAAAAGTCAGCGCCGAAGCACTACCAAGACGGGCCCAAAGTTCATCCCGGCCACTTCTTTCAAGCACGTTGGCTCCATGTTTGATGTGACCTGGATGTCCTTCTTCTCAGCGCTATCCTCCCAACTGCAGAAGGCTCACAGCATCGAAGTGAGCAAGCTTTGCCTCGAGGGCATGAAGCTCGCAACCAAGATTGCTTGCACGTTTGAGCTATCAACACCAAGAGAAGCCTTCATCTCCGCGCTGAAGAATACCACCAACCTGAACAACCCTCAAGACATGATGGCCAAAAACATCGAGGCAGTCAAAATTATGTTAGATCTCGGACAGACCGAAGGTAATGTCCTACGAGAATCATGGAAGGATATTCTTATGTGCATTAGTCAACTGGATCGATTGCAGCTCATTTCCGGCGGCGTAGACGAGAGCGCCATCCCGGATGTTTCAAAAGCTCGTTTCATGCCACCACCGAGAACCGAAACCTCTGACTCTAGAGCATCAACATCTTCGCGACCGCGCAATCGCGGGCGCTCAGGAACGGGTTCGCGCGGCTTTTCAAACGAAATTGCTTTGGAAAGTCGCTCTGACGAAGTAGTACGAAGTGTCGATCGCATCTTTTCCAACACAGCCAATCTGTCGGGCGATGCCATGGTACATTTTGCCAAGGCCCTCACAGAGGTCAGCTGGGATGAGATCAGAGTCTCCGGTTCCAACGATTCACCCCGCACATACAGCTTACAAAAGATTGTGGAAATCAGCTACTACAACATGAACCGCGTCAGATTTGAGTGGAGCAACATCTGGGTAGTGCTGGGTGAGCACTTCAACCAAGTCGGCTGTCACAACAACATGAATATTGTCTTCTTCGCACTGGATTCCTTGCGACAGCTTTCCATGCGTTTCTTGGAGATTGAAGAGCTGGCTGGTTTCAAGTTTCAGAAAGATTTCCTCAAACCTTTCCAGCACATTTTGGCCAATTCCGATAACGTGACGGTCAAGGACCTTGTCCTGAGATGTCTGATTCAAATGATCCAAGCACGAGGCGGCAATATTCGCTCAGGATGGCGAACCATGTTTGGCGTCTTTACCGTCGCAGCCCGCGAAACCTCAGAGAGCATCGTGAACCTGGCCTATGAGAATGTCAGCCAAGTTTACAAAGATAAATTCGGTGTCGTTGTCGCCCAAGGAGCATTCACTGATCTCATTGTCTGTCTGACGGAATTCTCGAAGAATCTCAAATTCCAAAAAAAGAGTTTGGCAGCTCTTGAGCTTCTGAAATCCATCATTCCAAAGATGCTGAAGACGCCAGAGTGCCCACTTTCGCAGCAACCGGAGAATCGACCAGAGACAAAGTCATCGCCAAAATCTAGCACGTCTATCGAGGAGGGATACTGGTTCCCGGTACTTTTCGCATTTCACGACGTTTTGATGACGGGCGAGGACCTGGAAGTGCGCTCGAATGCCTTGGAGTACTTTTTTGCCACTCTTATCAAATATGGCGGCGACTTTACTCCCGATTTCTGGGACATACTCTGGAGACAACAGCTTTACCCAATCTTCATGGTGCTGAGGTCACGCCCCGAAATGGCAAATGTCTTGCATCATGAGGAGCTGTCTGTCTGGCTTTCAACAACCATGATTCAGGCGCTGAGAAACATGATTACTCTGTTCACTCACTACTTTGAATCGCTAGAGTACATGCTTGATAGATTTTTGGAGCTGCTGGAACTTTGCATTTGCCAAGAAAATGACACCATCTCCCGGATTGGCAGCAACTGCTTGCAGCAGCTTATCCTTAAGAATGTTACCAAATTCGAGCCCGAGCACTGGACGAAGATTGTTGGGGCTTTCTGCGAGCTTTTCGAACGGACGACAGCTTATCAACTCTTCACGGCAGCAAACGGCACGTCTCCTGCCGCTCTGTCTCTGCCGTCCAACGGTATAGACTTTTCTGGTGGTCTCAGCCCGGGCGGAGAACCAACTGTGGATGAAAAATCCCTTAAAATCAATGGCGGAGACGAAAATGCAAGTTTTTCCGACAACGAGTCAATGAACCGTCCAATCTCCCCGCGACCACTTGATGAAGATGCACGACGACCGTCAATCGGCGCAACAAGCCAAACTCCGCTGGAAGAGTTCAAGCCGGCATCCACACTGCAGCAGCAGCCCGTTGTTGTCACTGCGGCGAGAAGGAGATTCTTCAACCGCATCATTTCGCGCTGCGTTCTGCAGCTCCTCATGATTGAGACGGTCAACGAACTCTTCAGCAACGACACTGTGTACGCCCACATCCCATCAACAGAGCTGCTGCGCCTAATGGCGCTTCTCAAGCGATCATTTCAATTTGCAAGACGCTTCAACGACGACAAGGAGCTCCGCATGAAATTGTGGCGAGAGGGCTTCATGAAGCAGCCTCCCAACCTCCTAAAGCAGGAGAGCGGAGCGGCCGCAACCTACGTATCCATCTTGTTCCGCATGTTTGCCGACAATGCCCCAGAGCGTCTGGACAGCCGGGCGGATATCGAGTCTGCTCTCGTTCCGCTGTGCAAGGATATTATAACCGGGTACTCTACGCTGGTGGAGGAGAGCCAGCAGCGAAATCTGGCCGCCTGGCGTCCTGTCGTGGTGGACGTGCTCGAGGGGTATGCAACTTTCCCAGACGATGCGTTTAAGACGCACATTGGCGAGTTTTATCCGCTTGCGGTGGAACTTCTTCAAAAAGACTTGACTGCTGATCTCCGGGGCGCTCTGCTCACAGTGCTTCGCCGCGTGGGCGAGGTGTCTTTGGGCATAGCCGGCATGGCGAGCAGGACCGGCAAGAGACGGGAGAGTGTCGTCAGCGCTGCATCGCAAGGAGCCGCTGGAGATCAAGAACAGGCCGCGCGCAATATGCTGTGATGTTGGCAACGCGATGGAGAATGGATAAGTTGACACATTATGACTTTATTCCTCTCAGTCAGACCAAGATTGATGCAAGATGATCGTGACACAGGACGCGTTTAGCTTGTTTTTTTTGTTCGCTTCACTGTTGCTGCCATCTATAGGGTTTCCAAGTACTTAGATAATTACTGGCACGGTAAAAGGCTATATTGATTTAAGCATGTGAATATTCACCCAGTTCTAGCAGTCCGCTTAGCATATGTATTTGATTTGGCCAAGACCTGCTCCTCCTAGGAAGCTCGACCTCCCACAAATCATGTGCACCCAAGGTACATAATTACATCACGCAGAGGCTAGCAGCTATTTGTCTGTATCAATCAAGTCAATCGCGATAATTGCCTACTACCTACACCATGTAGATAAGGCATGCAAACGCACAGATCCAAATGTGCTTGATAAGGCTCACTGCATCAGCCTGGCTTCGAGCCAACATCGCAAGTATGGAGGGAGAAGAATTGAAGAGAAGACTGTACATGCAAATGCTGAAAAAATTCCAAGTTCAGTTACGAAACAGAGTGAAAGACGACTTGGTGCCCCAGCAAGATAACAGAACTAGGGTAGAATGGCAACAGTAAACCACGTTTTAGGGAATGAAAAAATACGCCGAGTAAGGCTGATTTTGTATTTTGATAAATCATCAAGCCACAACTACTCGAACAGAAAAACGCATATTCAACTTTGCCAGTCATCGCCGTCTGACTCACTGGGGTGCAACCCGAAGGAGGGGCAGTTCAAGTCGTACATCGCAAAAAGCTGCCCCGCCATGCCCAGGTATTCAGTCCTGCCCCGCAGCTTTTTCTCCCTTCTTGTCGCAACTACAAACGCCCCAAAGCCCCAGACTCTTATCAAAAGACACTTTTCGAATTCTAGATTTGATTGAGCTCGATACTAGACCAGGAAACCAATCGATTTTTGCGGCCGAAACTAGCCACCATGGCCGACGAAGCTACAAAGTCGATGGCGAAGCTTCAGCTCGACGAGGAGACTGGCGAGATGGTCTCCAAGGCTGAGCTGAAGAAGCGCCTGCAGAAGCGCGCAAAGAAGGCAGCCCAGGAAAAGGCTCGTCAGGAAAAGGCCGCCGCTGGCCCGGTCGAAAAGAAGGCGCCGGCACCCAAGCCGGAGGAGACCCCCATCGACCCCGAGGCCATGTTCAAACAGGGCTTCCTCGACGACGTCTACAAAGAGCGCCCGGTCAAGAACGTCATTACACGTTTCCCCCCCGAGCCAAACGGATACCTCCACATTGGACACGCCAAAGCTATCGCGGTCAACTTTGGATTTGCCAAATACCATGGCGGCGTGACCTACCTACGATTCGACGACACGAACCCCGAGAAGGAGGAGGAAAAGTACTTTGACGCCATCCAGGAGATTGTCAAATGGCTTGGGTTTGAGCCCTACAAGGTCACATACTCTAGTGACAATTTTCAGAAGCTGTATGATCTGGCAGAGAAGCTGATCAACATTGGCAAGGCCTACGTCTGCTATTGCGAAGGTATATGACCCTGCCCTAAAAATGCTGCTCCGGGGCTAATCCATGTTTCATGCAGACACCGAGATCAAGCTCCAGCGCGGTGGCGAAAAGGGTGCCAACCCTAGATATCGCTGCAAGCATGCTGACCAGACCCCCGAGGACAACCTGGCCAAATTTCGAGACATGCGCGACGGAAAGTACAAGCCTCGCGAAGCTTTTCTGCGCATGAAGCAGGATATAACGGACGGCAATCCTCAGATGTGGGATTTGGCCGCATACCGCATAAAGACCGACACCCCTCACCACCGCACCGGCTGGGACTGGAAGATTTACCCGACCTACGACTTTACTCACTGCCTGTGTGATAGTTTCGAGGATATCACACACTCGCTCTGCACCACCGAGTTTATTCTCAGCCGTGTTTCGTACGAGTGGCTGAATAAGTCACTTGGGGTGTACGAACCGATGCAGAGAGAATATGGACGTCTGAACCTGACGGGCACAGTGCTTTCGAAGCGCAAGATTCTCAAGCTGGTAGAGGAAAAGGTTGTTCGCGATTGGGATGACCCTAGACTGTATACACTGATTGCCATCCGACGTCGTGGTGTCCCTCCCGGGGCCATTCTCGAGTTTGTCAACGAGCTTGGCGTCACCACAAACATTACGACTATTCAGATCCACCGTTTTGAGCAGAGCATTCGCAAGTACCTCGAAAAGACGGTACCACGTCTGATGATGATCCTCGACCCTGTTCCTGTCGTGATTGAGGATGCCGAGGAAGTTGAGGTGGACATTCCATTCTCTCCCAAGGATCCCAATATGGGATCGCACAAAGTCAAGTTCACACCCACTGTCTACATTGATCGTTCCGATTTCCGTGAGGAGGATAGCAAGGACTACTTCCGTCTTGCGCCAGGCAAATCGGTCGGTCTGCTCCACGCTCCCTACCCCATCAAGGCTACCTCCTTCACCAAGGACGAGGCCACTGGCAAGGTCAAGGAGATCCGCGCCGTGTTCGACAAGGAACTGAAAAAAGCAAAGACTTATATCCAGTGGGTTGGAACTGCTGGGTCGAGGACGGTGGAGGCCCGCATTCACAACGCCCTGTTCAAGTCGGAGAAGCCCGAAGACGCTGAGGGAGGTTTCCTCAACGACTTGAACCCGGAGAGCGAAATCATCTATCCCGATGCTCTCATTGAGTCGGGCTTTGACGAGGTCAAGCGTCGCGCTCCCTGGCCTGAGGCGGCGGGCGAGAGCGCACTGGGCGTGGGCGGGCCGGAAAGTGTGCGTTTCCAGGCCCTCCGTGTTGCCTACTTTGTAAGTCATTTTGCAACTCGATCTAACAGGATTTGCGTTGCTAATTTTAAACAGGCTGTAGATTCCGATAGCACCGACGACAAGATTGTTCTCAACCGCATCGTGAGCTTGAAGGAAGACGCAGGAAAGAAATGATTAGCAATGGTATATTGGTGAGGGTACCATGACATAAGGATGGATTTGCATTGGAATGAGCGAAGTGAAGAAGGCGGCAACATGGCATTGGAGTTTGGAGTGGGCAGATAGATTCTGTACGAGGACATTGTCTGAAGCCGCGGCGGCTGGGAGATGGCTCTGCTACATTTTCGTGCCGACGGGAACTGGTAGAAAGAGTGCACATAAGAAATTTCACTTCCATTGCTTTCCTGTTGATATTATCTTGGATAGTGTTTCTTGATAACCGGAACGAAGTAGTCATGTTTATATGCAAAGTCGGGACCTTTTCTAGGCTCGTCCGCATGACCACGGTAATAAAGCGTGGCTGAGACTGGAACCGCGCTGCCGGCGGCGCGCACCGAGTGATAACCCCACGCCCCACCATGATGGCAGGCCGCGAGCCCGCCGCTTTCGGACATGGCACTGACGGCGGTCTGCAGCCGCGCAAGTCGGTTGCAAGACTGTTGAGCTCAATATTTACGTACTGAATCAATGTGTCGTGAATACTTTGGATGGTCTAGTTTCTTTCGCAATAAAAGTATTACAAGACAAATATTCTGCTTTATTAGCCGCCCGCCGCGGGGCGCGGAGCAGCAGCTGCCCCTCCGAGACCCTAAACCCCCACCATACCTTATCCAGGCCCCGGGGTCTTGCCCCTCCATGAGTCGGACAGGAACAAATATCAGCGGGCAGCACCCCTCCTTCTGTTCCACCTTGCTCTCTTTCATAAAATCCATCCGTCTTCTCGTACTCTACCCGATACCCCTCAATTTTCGATCGACCTCTACGTACACACACACACACACATTCATCCATCATGACTACAGGACGTCTTGCTGGCAAGAATGCCATCATCACCGGTGCCGCTGGGTAAGCAGGGGGGAAGGAAGAAAAGATTCGGACCGCGACCCGCCAAGACTCAAGTCGCTGACACTGTTTGCTTCAATTTCAGAGGCATTGGTCTCGAGACCTCGATTCTCTTCGCCAAGGAGGGCGCCAACGTTCTCATGTCCGACATTTCCGCCGAGGCCCTCGAAAAGGCACGCGCCAAGGTCAAGCAGCTTGTGCCCAACGCCGGCCGCGTTGAAGTCCTGGTACGCCCCATATCCCCGCAAACCCGCCATTTTGCTTTCTTTTTTTTTTTTTTCCTTTGGTGATGCATATTGCCTCGTGCGTGGGGGAACCTGCCGCTAACCAGACGATTGCACGTGTACAGAAGTGTGACGTTTCCAAGGAGAGCGAGGTCAAGGCCATGGTCGACGCCGTCGACGCCTGGGGCGGTCTCGACATCCTCTTCAACAATGCCGGCATCATGCACGCCCAAGACGCCGACGCCGTCGACACGCCCGAGCACATCTGGGACCTGACGCAGAGCATCAACGTCAAGGGCGTGTGGTTTGGCTGCAAGCACGCCGTGCTCTCGCTGCGCCGCAACAACAAGACGCGCGCCTCCATCATCAACACGGCGTCCGTCGTCGCGCTCGTCGGCGCCGCCACGCCGCAGCTCGCCTACACGGCGTCCAAGGGCGCCGTCCTCGCGCTGACCCGCGAGCTCGCCATGGTGCACGCCCGCGAGGGCTTCCGCTTCAACTCGCTCTGCCCCGCGCCCCTCAACACCCCGCTGCTGCAGGACTGGCTCGGCGACGACGAGGCCAAGCGCGCCCGTCGCGAGGTGCATTTCCCCGCCGGACGCTTTGGCGAGGCCGTGGAGCAGGCGCACGCAGTCGTCTTTTTGGCGAGCGACGAGGCGAGCTTTGTCAATGGTCACGACTTTGCGGTTGATGGCGGCATGACAAAGGCCTACGTAACGGCAGAGGGTCCGGCGCCCGCGGCGCCGCAGAACAATGCTGGAAAGGACTCTCTGTAAGTTAAAGGAAAGCGGAGTATCTGTGATGCATGGTATATACGATCAGCTAGATACAAGTTTGGATGAGGGGCTGTGACATGCTTTGTTTATTCATGCGACTCATATATGTGGTAGGTAGCATGTGGTTGTAAAGGACTAATTTCAAGAACCATAAATTCACCTTTTCTTGTCGTGTATCCGTTTTACTTTCTCGTGATTTTCCTCTTGTGTATTCGCCTACCTTTCTTGTTGTCATCTTTCCTCTCTTACTGGATATGACCCATCACTGGCTCTGCCAATAGAGTCGTCATAAACAGTGCGTGATACGCATTAGCCGGTTACCGGATCTTTGTGAGGTTATTCATTTATTCATTAAAATACAGTAATTGAAGCGGTAGATAAAACAGACATGACAACCTTCCATCTTACGGCCAACCAACAGTGCATCTCAAACACTTTAGTCCATACTACGCCTGACAATTCGTTGTAGATTTCTATTTGTTTTTTTCTGGGCTTGCCGACAGATGGGCAAGCCCCCTCTCCCCCCTCCATCTAATATGCCCCGTCTAGTGAAACTGGCCTTCCGTGTTGCCCTCGCCCATGCTCTTGCTGCTGGAGCTGCCGCTCTGAATAGCACCGAGGATGCCGTCCATGTAGCGGGCGCCGCTCCACTTTTGGTGCGTGAGGACGTCGCAGCCGAGCTCCTTTTCGCGGCGCTGCACCACCTCGACGTACGCCTGCATGCCGTCCGTCTTGAAGCGGCGGGCGAGCTCGGTCGAGATGGTCGCGGTCGAGTGCACGCCGGCGAGGGAGACGAGCTGCAGGACGAAGCCTTCCTTGGCGATATCCCAGATGAAGGACTTTAGCGTCTCGGCGGTGAAGCCGTGCGCCATCCAGTTGAACGAAGGGGAGAGGTTGTAGACGAGGCCCTTGTGCGGGTGGGCGGCGCGGACGGCGCGCGCGAGGTCGGTCGCGACGCCGACGTTGGGGTCGCCCGTCTCGACCCACAAGAGGTCGGCGTACGGGCCAAAGGCGATGGCGCGCTTGGTGGCGGCGGCCATGCCGGCGCGAAAGTGGTAGAAGCCCTCGCGCGTGCGCGGCACGTCCCAGTTGAAGTAGACGGGCGTCTTGGCGTAGTGGTTGGCGAGCGCGCGGCGGCGCGTGACGCCCATGTTGCGGTCCGCGGCCGTCGTGGCTTGGAACTCGGCAATCTTGGCCTCGGCGACGCCTTCTCTGCGCATGTGCGCGACGGCGGCCTCGTCAAACGTGACGAGCTTGGTCTTCTTGACCCAGTCGGCCTCAAAGGCGTCAATCTCGGCGCCCGACGCGCCCCGGCCCTCGAGGGCCTGGATCGTCTCGGCGAGGGGCTCGAGGGCGGCGTCGTCGACGCCGAGGATGAACTCGTGGTCGCGCACGTCGACGGCCGACGAGATGAGCTTGCCCGACTCGGAGTCGGTGCGCGCAATGACGAGGTTCTCGCAGCCCATGACGTCCCACTGGAAGCGCGCGGCGTTGAGCCGGTTAATGTGCTCGCCCGTCGGCACCAGCACCTTGCCGGCGAGGTGGCCGCATTTTTTGCCGCCGTGCAGCTGGTCCTCAAAGTGCACGGCCGCGGCGCCGTTTTCGGCAAACAGCTTGGCGAGCTTGAGCACGGCCGAGAGGCCGCCGTGGCCCGTGTCGCCGTCGGCGATGATGGGCCGCAGGTAGTCGGTGTAGGGCGTCTTGGCGCGCTCCTCGGCCGTCATGGCGCGCCGCGCGTCCCACTGCTTGCGGTCGTGCATCGACTGCGCCTTGGCGAGCCGCTGCACCTGGTTCGGCACCGTGTTGTACGGGTAGTCGCCAAAGTCGGGCGAGACCTCGTTGGTCGTGGTGAGCAGCGAGGAGCACGCCCAGCCGGAGATGTAGAGGACCTCTTGGTGCGGCGCCTGCTGCGTCATTTGCACGGGGTCGACGGCGCCGACTAGATTCGCCAACGCATGTTAGCTTTTTTTTTCTGCGTCCAAGTTTCTCTCTCCCTCTCTCTC